GCTTCAAAGTCTATGCATTTGCTATACTTTGAATAGTTCTCTCATGTACAAAAATCCCAATAGTAATTCTAGAATGCCTATTCTTTATTGAATAATACATAATTCTCACGTTGAACCATTAAACGATCTCGCATAACTATCCTGGACTCATGATAAAAGTAACGTTGGCATTCTCGATAGAGGTATCCTTTACCCAGAAAAAACCTTCTGACCAATGTCAGTATCACAACCTACGATGCTTTTAATATGTATATTTCACCCGCGAATATTAAAGTAAAAGATTAAAAGATAGGGCTACGTACAAAAATTCGAATTTATCCGGGATACAAAATAATATTTGCTGAATCAATTACTAAGAATTATTTCTTATTTATTAGTTCGCTGCTACTACTAAAGGAATTGAAAATTATGATTGCCATAACAGAAGTAATGTAGTTCCTCATCAGTCATAGCAGAGAAACTGATGTAAATCTATATCAGTGAATACAATAAACCGGTTTCACTTTCCTTCTTTTTAAATATTTTATTGGACAAGTAAGCACAATAACTATTGTCAAAGGTGACAGTAAACAGTCCAACCTATGCTCTATAGGATACCACACATATAGATGATTCTTTTGATCCTAATGATTGGGCAAATACATTTCGCTACGGTTGTGATTTAGCCCTGAATCGTAGAGAATATATATATTACTTCGCCATAGTATTTATACTTTGCATTATACAATTACGGATACACTTTCTATTTCAGGATAATAATACTGATTGCATAAATGATTGAATTATGATTTTTAATAATTAAACACTCTTGGAAATCAAATCATGAATTGCATACTGGTATTGCTATTAAGACTAAATCATAAATTGAAGGCAAAAACAGATTTATCTTTATTAATAATGTAACTGTTTAATTCACCTTAAAGTTACAATAGTTAGTTTTATTAGAAGTAATTGGGGGGGGGGGGGAATTGAATTTTCTAGTTGTGTAAACTTTTCGTTAATTGAAAGCGCTCAGTAAACGAAATGATAGCTATCAATGGAACACTCGATATAATGGTGTAAATTGATAGTCTTCATTACCGCGTATTGAATATGCAATAAAAACTTTTCTATTTAATTTCTTGATAGTTAAAGAGCTGTAACTATGCAAAAATAGTTGACTAACTTTATAATAAACAGGTTCATAAAATAAAATGTCTTTCATAATCTGCAGTATATCGACTAGGCAAGACCTTTATACGTACGCATCAACTGTCAAGGAAACCGAAGCATTCTATTTCGACTAATCCTGAATTATCTTAAGTTTTTGTTAATGTTGTATATCATACAACATTTACAAATATTACTATCCTAAAGAACTTTTTAGCCTATTTTTCAGTTGAAAACCAGATCTTATCATTGAAATATAAAAATTTCTTTGCGACCAGAGATAATTGTAATATAATACGCTATTTTTTTGATATAACACTAGCTATTATCGGTTACATGTAGTTATTAGTTTTATTGCATATTCATTTGTGTATCGTTAAAACAGCAATCTATGAGATATCAGAATGATTCAATATATTATTGCACAAGCAATTCCAAAACAGCCGAAATGTTCTAGAGAATAATCATTGGCTACATTGATAAGTTTTTTCTCTCTGCTAAACAATGAAAATATTACTTTACATTTAGCCATCTCTGTGGATATGGAAAAGATTTTAAAATTGGTTGTTAGATTTGTCAATAAACAGTCAAGTAGCAAAGACTCATAGCCGAGTTTTGTTTTATTGTTTAGGATGTGCTAGGAAACTTAATTTTACTTTTAGAATATAATATCTTCATAGTTAAGAAAAAGATCAAAAATTGGATGCTATTAATAGAAAATATCTTTGTAATGAATCAACGAAATATAACATGAGATGAAATTTCGACAGCTACTCATAAGTTACTTCCTATGATAGTCATTCAGGCTATCAAACAATCGTAAAAGTAAATAAGCCATCGTTAATGTGTTTTCATACGGAGGAGAATATTTCAATTCTTTTACATATATTAATAGTAAAAATAATATTACTTGGCTTTGTTATCGTAAAGAATGAGCCGTGATTTTAAATACCAACAGTGTGCCAATTAGGAATTTCTTGAATGAAAATTCGTTTCGTATTGTCCATACAAGTAAATTATAATAATTTTAATTCCAGATTTAGTTTCAATGAAAAAACAAATCGAAGAAGCTATCAACTATATTCTTTTAGATAAGATAAATATAACCCGTTATTTTACTTCATTGATTTTATTCAGGTAACTATTGAACTATCCCTTAAGTCTACTAAGAATCCATGATTCAAATTTGTATAACTGCTGCAGGTAAAATATCAATTAAAGTTTATCGGATAAGATCATTATGATGGCAAAGTTGGATTATTCGACATCATGTTTATTAAATGCATTCGAAGATTGGCCAATTTCATGAAATCAACACTGGTGCAACCGTTTTTAATAGTTTTAATTGGTTACTGTTACTCATTGAATTCAAAACTTTACAATCCGATTTAGTATGGATGATTAACAAAATTTAGCTCATACTGTACATAACGTAAGTAATGATGCGAATTGATAGTGGTCATAAAGATTCTCAACCGCATCTTGTTAGGATTTAACGATCATATAGAAGCTGTAATGCGGCATCAATTACAATTTTGCAGTCACCGGAAAGAGGCTCTTAAAATTATCATCGTAGATAAGTAGCAATATGATTTAAATAATAATTGATATTCAAATTAAATTATAATACTATTATTCCATTCAAAGGTACCGCCTGTCTGCTACGAAGTAAAAAAATATTCAAAAAACTGTTATAATTATTTCAATTCTACCAGACAGACTCCATTATTGTAGATTATTCAATTGTTAGTTTATAATTATTGTAAAATAAATTGCTTTAAAATTATAATACCGATGATATTTGTAAACACACAGTAAGTCTAGGTTTTTTAGGATTGAATAGATGGCCAGACTCCTTGTAAACAAGGATCAAACGAAGAATATTAATTTAAAAAGCTAGATTTTATTGCCGTAAACCGACAATGAACTTACCAGTCAATTTTGTAATGGGCTATTCTGCAATATGTTAGGAAGTATTAGAGAGTTTTATAAAGTAAAATATATTGTATTTTAACAAGCAACATATTTCGTGTAAGATGACCAAATTATGCATGATTGTGGCATTATGCATATCTAAGTGCTGTATTTACGAAATTATAAAATTTTTCGACGAAGCTACTGATGTTCGATTTTTGGTGTCGATAATAGAAATGCTGTAATAAAAATATCGAAAGTACACACTAATTGTAATTGAAAGACATCTATAGTTCCGTTTGTTTTGCTATATCTTTATTAAATTATTATAATTAAATAGTAAGATAATTTTATAAATCTGATACACAGTATGAATCCAATAAATTACTTTCACTCAGGATATTCTAATTTAAATTCATATCTTAGATCATTATATTTTAAAAATTTCCAAGTAAGCTTAAGAGAATATTTCTTACTAACTAAATCAATATGGAATGGTTAGTCTAATTTTATATGGCCGAGGGAACTTTGCATCTTCGGATTTCTATTAACTTACCTAAATTAATGATAAGCTACATAGAATAAAATATCTTATTCTGTACAGCTTTGGGCGTAGATTTATAATTGGAACAATAATAACAATTTAGCCAAATTCTTTATTATAGTTGCGTGTACAGTATGAGTACACCATTGAGATATCTGCATGCTACTATAGTGAGTCATAGTGAGCACTGAGTTATATATATGCGTGCAGAATTTAATCTCTACTTCTCTTCAGCTAAATATGTTTGCAATTACTCCTGATGAAATGTGTCCGAAATATTATTATTTACTGATAATACGCGTAGAATGCTAATCAGAACCTCCGCAAAATCTGCTTAGCAATGTTGTCTATAATCATAATCGATGAACCAGAATTTCCAATTTTCAGCAATCAATTTCATATGAAAATACTACCTTCTGACATTCTCATCTCAATTTATTAAGTGAAAGAATCTACTGGGTAACAATATCTGCTAAATAGAGAAAGCGATATTTGCAAGCTGACTGTACGACGTATGTTTACATAAATTAAAATTAATGTAAATTAACACTAATGAGATAATGTCATTATAGGTACTAGAAAATCTTGATCTTACTTAATCGATATTTATAATATGGATTACTTTCTATTGAACAATAAAGCTACCATCAATTTCCCTAGGTTGAAAGAGGCAGCATCGATTATATCTAAGATCTTTAAGCCCATATACACTTTGTATTCATACTACAGTGCTTCATAGTTAAATTGATTATTCTTCACCTTTTGCTCTAGAGGATTTTGACTTAGGTTATGGTGCTTTAAATAAATAAATTAAAATGGAGAAGTAGTTATCTTATTCTTGAAATATATTTATTCCATGAATATTGATATTCAAGAGATGCTTCATCATAATTAAAACTTGAACAAAGATTGAGAGTTTTTCAACGGTTTCGCGTATAAATAAATAATATGAATGGATGCATAATGCTAGTTGATATCTTTTAAAATTTGCTTCATTTACATAGATATATGATATTTTTCTGTGGCAACTACCGATTATCTTTAAAAGTATAAGGCACAAGTTTAAGCGAGGTATATAAGTATGTAGTAAATATGTCCTTCCAAAATTCTTCTTGAATGAATATATTCCAGATAGAGCAAAGATAGTTCAACTAATGAATAAATGCTATACGAATATTCACAGTATTATATAGATTTGAAAATATTAAATAAAATCAGAAATGCGTAAGCCGAATCATTTATCAGTAATCGGTAAAGCAATAGCTATTAATGGAATAGATTGAAATGTTCATATTTTATAGACGGATAGATGAGTAGATCATGCAGATTATAAGTTTTAATTATTGGGAATAGTGATGCATGCGTCGATGAGCCAATAGGAATGCTAACTGGTTTAAAATTCAAGTAAAATAGCTAAATCATGATAATGGAGTTTTTTAAGCACTACGAAGAAACTTTCCATAGTAGCTTCCCTTCCTAGTAACATTTTCCATCGTTTTAAGACTTCTATGCCCTTTTCGGCATTTTTAATATCCAAGTTATCGATTTCATTGCGTTCTTTCTTATGTAAACCAAGTTCACATGCAAGCTCTTCCCAGCGATCAGCTAATTTATCGCCCATGATATTAGTAATAGTGAGCATCTGTGAAGACCCTAAGAAATATACATTGGACCAATTTAACAAATCCGAATATACTCTGAATATTTCTGTTATCATACGATAAAGAGAATATAAAATATTCTAATATCATCTCTCAATCAATATTACTTTAATTATCTTTCTCATGATATTTAGCTAATATGAGAACTGGCCTTTATATAATGTCGATCAACGCTATCTTATACTTATTACATAGTTACCTACTTTGCAGCAAGTGCTATGAATTATACTGTTATCTTACAAAGCTCTAAATGATGTTGCTTTTCGTTACCAATATACATACTTTTTAGTTGATCAATTGCCTTGGATGCTGGTGAAAATTCCTTCGGCTAAGTGGCAAAAAATGAAAAAAATTATTTAAATTAAAAGCATTATTTATATGACACATACGATGATAAACGAAGCAAAAATTTATATTTATCACGATTACAATTTTAATTGTTATTTTTTAATAATTCTAAAGCACGTAATCTCCGTTACTTTAGGGGTTGAAATATGGAGCCTCCTTAGCAGTGGAAATGGCAACCTTGCCACCCTTCAAGGGTAAGCTATAAAGTTTATTAGCTTTAATATCGCATTGATAAAGTTTCAGTTTTCCGTAAATTTTTGAGCCCTAGTCTCATGTTTGTAAACTTCAAAAATTAGCTACTGTAAAGAAATTTATTATAGCAGCATATTTCTGATACGAAATTTTACTATGGTAGAGCTTTAATAATCTACGAAAACATTTATCGGCAGTGTTATGAGCTAAACAACTAGCAGGATACATTAACACAATTATCTTAAATATTACGCAAGGACTACTTTAAATATATATATAAGATTTGGAGATAGATTCACATGGGCCACTGTTAAAATTAATTGGCTATGATGTAAGGTTTCTCTAGCAAATTCTGAACTGAATTGAAGTCATAAACTGCCGATAGTAATACTATAAATGCTTTAATTTCAATAATTCACTACCGTATTTATCACAATATACTTTCGTGCTGTTTTTAACCTAAGCTCAATATACTCATGTTCCAGCAATTAAGGTTCTTCAGCAATGAGCTTCCATACCAAGCCAATTTGAAATAGCTTAATATAATAAATCACTATAACGTTGCATATGATGGTATTGTAGCATTTTATAGCTATCGTATCTATTAGGGATCCATTCCTGTGAACGGATATTTTCGATTTATTATATCTTACGTTGCTATTTAAACTTCGCAATATGCGGTTATTTCTCAATAGAATTGTAATACATTTGATAAATTTATAAGTCAAGTAGACCTTTGAACGGCTATATCTACATTATTGAAAAAGTAATCTAACCTCAAGCATATGAACCATAAATTCTCCTGTCTTTGTTATAACTGTATGTCGAATATTAACTACACCAAAGTAGGCTGGAATCGACGGACAATTTTCATCTAACTGACAAGCAAATTGAATAAAAACATTTCGCCCATGAAAGCGCATCTCTCGAACCATTTTTTTCTCTCCCATTTTAGATGATGGCGAAAATTTACCTTTTATTTCTAGTTTATAATTACCAGTAGGTAGCAATAATCTTCGATAAATTCCGACCATGGTAGTATAGCTTTCAAGGATTTGCAAATTTTGATTGTAGTTAGTAATTAATGCTACGATAATTGAAAATTCTGGAGAACTTCGTTGGCTACTGGTCATTAAAATTAAGCAGTCAGCATAAATAAATTGTGGTGGATACCATCGCATCGGGCCCAGCGATAATTTCGTAATGATTGCATTAGGAAAAGGATAAAATACGGTAAAAAGGGAAAATTTTTCAACTGCAAACACCACATAAGCCTTCTTATCGTTTAAAATGCGAATTTCGTAATCAATATAATGTCTTCTCCATCGCGGCTCCTGATCAAGAGTCGTATCACTCGAGCAAATAATTAAGGGTGGCGGATTTTTAAGATCGTAAATCGCGTTATCTTCCACTAAACAACTATTGATGTTATCCAGAATATCGCAAAAATCAAATAATGGCAACTGTAATATTGGTTTTCGGATTGGATTTGTTAATGATTGATTGGGCAGATCGAAATTACTTTTATCGTAGTTAAGAGTAAAATCATAAGGTTGTAGCATGACTGATGTAGTAGCATGAGTTAAATACTGAGAATCATCAGTAGCAGAATAAAAATAGGGTGGATCAGCATACAGACATGTTATAATAATTTCTGTCCAGCTTTCTATTGGATTTGCTTGAACCGATAATTCAATTCCTTGTAAACGATCTAATGATAATCTATAATTTCCGCCACCTAAGCTGGGATAGGTTTCAATTGCTTTGTCAAATGGTGGAAGGCGAAATATTGACTGCGGATAACGATTACTTAACAATTTTGCTGAAGTAGATGGTAGATAAACGTCTTGATCCAAAGAAGAATGATTAATGCTATTCTGAGGTGCTGAATAGGGCTGACTGTTAACGGATTCATTTTGTAACCTTGATGCCCCTTTAATACTGATCCGATTGATATTTGCCCTGGAGCTTTCAGTACTTGAATTGTTTTCTATCTTGATATCATTGGCAAAAGATACTTTATTAATTGCATCCGATAGTGCATGATCTTCAACTAATGGATTTGATTTTTTCCTCTTGGAATTCTAATAAAGTTAACGGTGAATTTGTGAATACAGAATGTTTGCAACATTTAAAATTGCATTTATAGATTTTCAGTTTCAACCTGAACACGATTTTGCCAGTTTCCTTAGGTTATACTCGTATTGATTTAATTTGACATTTATAATATCTAGTACTAGTAGATTCTCTTTGCATATCTACTATTCATTCTTAAATTGTACACTAAATATCGACTAGCACTACAGAAATATACAAAACGTTACAGCCGTTCGATAGTCTATTAATTAATACAGATCGTAATCATTTTATAAGCCAACGATTTAACTGATAGTGGGATAAAGTGAGCAGATATATCGTCCAAATATAGTTGCAATTTCTTGAGACAAAATATTTGTGTAGCCGAGTAAAGTAGTATTGCCATATTTCTTAAGAGTATTAATTTCCTAAATATTATCACTCTTCTAAAGATACAATGATCGCTAAAAGTAACACCTACTGCTAAAGGTTAATGTATAGTATTACGACTTTTAAATAGCTGTTGCTCTTCTTATTTAACAACACTGAAAATTCTTGACTGCTAAGGATAATGTGCTGTAACTATAACTTTTAAGTAGCTGTTATCTTAATTAAGTGGAAACTTAACCTAAAATTTAACTCTAACCTGATGGCTCTCTGTTTTAGCAAAAGTGGGGATAGAAGCCAAACTAGCCAGTCTTTCCATGCCATGATTGTTATTTGCTACTTGCGGAATCTTTTCTAGCGTAGCTAAACTTTCACTTTTCTAAACATTGAACAAGCAATACTATCTAAGTAAGTTTTATGGTTTCTTTATTTAACTTCCCCATCTCGTAGCTATTATTACTAGTTCTCTAGCAAATTAAATTTAGAATCACCTAAATAAAAATAAATGGACTAAATTGCCTCACATGAATGAATACTTCTCCGAAATTTATTAATACTCACGTTGACTCAAGACAAGATTATTTTAGGGTTTTCACGCATTACTTTAGAATAGTATTAGCAGTACTAATAAATTTGTACAAGTTGAGAAGATTAAGTCCGATAGCTATCTTAATGTAGCTTAATACTTAATAACTCTATAAATTTAGTTATTAGGTAAATTAAGCAAAGCATTGTATGCTTTTAAAAAGATCTTTTAGCGAACCATTATTGGCGCTATCGTAAATATCAGCACTGTTACTTTGATATTCATTTTATACTGATATCAATTTTTTAACTTACTCTAACTCTTATTTTTTTCTTCTCCTTTTTTGTTCCATAACCTTTAATTAGCAAAGACCTTCGAAGTCCGCGAATTTGATCATTCTTTAAACCAACTTTCTGGTAATCATTATCTGACAGTTTTAATAAGTCTTCGGCATTATGTACTTTATAATTTTCCTTTAGTAAGCTGTTATATTTTTCCAGATAATTCTCAAAGAGTACCAAGTAGACATCGTTAAATCCTTCATTAACAACAAATCGTTTTTCTGTATCTAAATCATATTATTCATGCGAAGTAGAATGAGTAAACAACATGTATACAATAATGCTTTACTTCCTACTGCTATTATTAATAGCTGAGAATGCAATATAATGAAATAAATTTTTATTTCACACATGTACCTGTAAACTGTAACAGAAATCCTCAATGAAATTAATAAAATCTCAGTTGGATTAAATTGTTATCGCTAAATATCACAGTTTATAGCCATTTTCATTCTACTGTATTTCTAGATAGCAGACCAATTTCTAAATACTATAAACAAACGACTAACGTAGCAACTATTGTATTGTTTTCTGATACGATATAGTATGACTAAAAAATGAAAGGATTTCTCCTGTAAATTATTAATACAGAGACTAAATAAACCATAAATTAGAGACATCTAATAAGAAATTGGTGAATAATAAATCAACTAGGATAGAACATATCGCCTTCAAGAGAAATGAAGCATCTTATGCAAGTAGCAACTACTTTCTTATTTTATTGGATTTACCGACTATAGCTTTCTTGACTAAAAGAGTGATGAAATGTAAATTTTCATCAGGATTTCAATCTACTTATGGAAAATATTTAAACTTGTATACAGGTAAAATCATTTCCTCTGCAATACAGAAGATATCCATGCTCTAGAAGCACTTTCTTACCCATGTCGAAAACATGACGCTGTAGTCGGAAGCCAGTGAGTTCAATTTGATCTGGATGTAACAAGTAGAGAAAGGCAAGCAAATAGGTCGCCAATGATAAAAACAAAGCCTATAAAATATTAATGGTGGATAATCAAATTCATGAACATAAAGTCCTTGTTCCGCAATAAAAATCATCCTCGTCAACATCTACATACCCAGAGGCGAAATTCGAATCATTAACCAATTATTTGTTTCCTTCATTATATTCTTACAGTTTTCATCACTCAATCGATTTTATAACAAAAAGAGATGAATATAACAAAGTAATCCTTTAAGCATAGTCAATAAAAGAAACTAAGGCATATTGAATTAAGTATCCCTAATTTGTTAAGATAATCGATGAATGGACAACAAATTTATTTATTCTATGTATTCTATCATGTCTACGATACACATACATATATATAATGCTTGATGTAGATAGTCGTCGCTGATATTCTTCAATATTTCAGATTTGGAGATATTTAATAAAAGAGCTCTCTACGAATAGAAATCACTGCGTGTCGTAATTTGTATAGAGATCCTATTTAATGGAAAGATTTACTATCCTCAACTAATCAACAGAAAGAATCTTTTGATGCTATTCCTGTTAGCTTCCGATGAAGAAACTGATAGAATCAACACTCTAGGCAATATGTTTATAGTTTAACTGCTTATAGAAATCTACTCCGTATTGTAGTTATAATAAAACAATAAATAAGTACGGAAAGACTATGAATTTGTTATACAAGAGTAGCTGCAGTAGAAAATACTCTCAACAAATCTATAGCAGTAAAGTCGTATCGATAGTATCTACAATAAAATTCTAATCTAACTAGGTCTGATGAAGATAAATTTTGTATACTGTATTACAGTCAATCTTGAACTGTCAGTGTATCTATAGGATATCAATAGGAATTACTGACCTACTTGACTCATCAGTTTATGTAGTTTAGTGTATAAACTACGAAATCGCAATAGTAACAGTAACATCATTATTACGATTAATACTCATTTACTATTGCTGGCATGAACATGTTACTGTAAACATAAAAGTTGAAATAGCATATCCTAGCCCCACACAGACAAGTAATGGCATCTGCTCCATAATTACCCCACTCTAATCTCGCAACTATATTAGCAATTTCAGGTACTAAATAGGAATTAATTTTAATGCTTAATTCACTATACTATATCTATAAAATATCGCAGTTGATTCTAGCTTAAGAGATTTGTAATATCTCTTTGAAAGACTAAGATTAGATCATGTCCTCCTAAATACTGTAGACCTCAACATTTGCTGTATGGCGGACCGACTAAAATTTAGTATAACTTTGAGCATGCATAGTAAAGGTAAAGTTAATTATTTACAGATCACCAATTTGATTTCTCGGTAATTTCAAAGTTAACTCTCTACAAATGTTTATTGTCTGAAATGCTAGACCATTTATGCTTTGATAGGACATAAGCATCCTTTAGCAATGAAACTGATCATATCTAGACACTAAAGCTGACTTTAGTACTGAAACACTCAATTTGCATCTGTATAATTTAGAATAGCGATCATCAACAGCTAATCTGGCCTGTAATGAATCATTCTATAACCTTTACCATTTCCTAGATTAGGTTAATCACTATCTCATTTTATTTTAGCAAGGATAAAATTGACTTCCATAGAGCCTTGTACTTACTAACACAGTACTCTGTATTTCATAATACAAAATGGAAATTAAAAAAATTGTTTAGAACTTCTTAATTCAAGCTAGCCGTTGCATAGCGAATGGGCTAATAATTAATAGACCACTATTTCTGGGGCGTTGTGAGCTCTCTATACTGGTTGAAAGCTGTTTAGCATAGTACGGCGGCTTATTAGATCTTTTAAATTTTCAAGGCATTTACATTAAATTTGGCTCAGATTCTACATAAACAGAATGTTACAACCTTGAACCATTGGCTCTTGATATTTCTATTCATTTTTACTGCAGTATTAAGTTACTTTATTTCTTTAAAACTCTAATGCAAACCAATTGTCACTGGTACATGTACGGTCGGGTTCAACCAACATACAAATCACGCCGTAACAGTGGCCTATAGCAATGTTCAGCCTCTGCTATATCATTCTTAACCTAGTGATATCACTGATTTAAACACCTTCCATTCAAATGGAAAGGACTTGATAACAGATTATGTTACTGCAATAAAGTTGCAAGACCTAAAGTCTTATTTTAATGCCCATCATTTAAAATATTAATTCATCACCAACTTAAGATTTTCATACTAGTAATAATTCATAAATCTTGTACCGTCTTATTCAGTCATAAATACTTCAGAACAATTCACAGTAACTGCTTTAACTAGATAGCTACATCGTTGGTTATAGATATTTGTTGCTATTTGCAGCATGATATCAGATTCTATTCTATGCTAATGATTATTGCATACGGTAGTACTTCATAATCACTAATCAGTCCGTTACGATGAATATAATTTAATTAATAATTCAATAATATATACGATGTTCTTTAATAACCTTAGTAAATATATTTTTATATGTGGGGGAATGGCATAGTGAGCCATTCATTAGGTTGTATTAAATATCGCAATATAGACACTTATAATAATGAAATAAAAAAATCCTATTGACGAGGCTTACTTCTTTAAAGTAATTAAGAAAATTATTTTTTTAAATAGAGCTTTAAAATAAAGAATATAAATGGACTATACATGCACGAATAGGTCAATTTTTCATAGTGGCAATTTTATTATGCAATTTTTGGAAGAGCTGAAGGTAATTGTTTAAGTCATTAACTACCGTTAAGTATACGAAGTTACTGTTTTATCCTCTTCTTTGACTTTTTATTGTACCTTAGTTCTAAAACGCAAGGGAATAAGGTAATTACGGGAAAGAAAGTCCTGAACAAAAGATTTAAATTTAATTCAACGTAAGATCCACCCGGTTTACGTCAAAGCTCGTCACTATAGAACAGAAAGATTGTTACAAGAAGACATTACTAGTATACCATCTTACTTCTAATCAATTGGCTTTAATTAACCAAGCCATCATTATTGCTATTGAAATCTCGGAGTAGCATTAGCAATGGCGACCAAAACTGACCAGGAGAAACCAATGATGGAGAATCATCAACATCAAAATCACGACAGTGCTACCCAGGTATAAAATTAGTCTTCCTTCTGATGCAAATAAATACGTGGGTGCAGCATGTATTTTAATTAAAGTATCAGTTACCAGGAGCTGATACCTATGTTACTTTGTAGCTATCTAAATGGGATAGGCTAATTATTTAAGCATCAAGATAAAAGGTCTTAATAATTTAACTTGTTGCTACCGATATCCACTTCATCGACTTTGTTGAATCTTATGCACCTATTTAACGCGTTATTTTAACATTGTACTCACTTATTATGTCTATCATTTTTATTCTATCATTTCAATATATTGAACTCATGATTTAGGATGATAAGAAAAGCGCTGGTTAGTACCTAATGTTGATACAATATTAAGTGATAAATGATAATCATTAATGATGGTAAACTTGGCTTAAACTTGTAAATAAGATTAAACCATTTGAATCACTTTCTTTTAGTGGTCTATAAACTTCATGAAGTTCCTCCATTTCTGTATACTATTGCTCTAGGACTACAAGTAATGACTTCGAGTTATATTTCATCGGTTTTGCATCTACGGTAGCAATAGGACTAATTCTTTTCACTAGATTGATTTCGTTTTCACTCAATATTTTTTAATATAATTCACGTCAAGTGCCAGCGTTATCACACCATAATGAATTGATTGCCGATACTAATTGCTCCCACTATTTCTGTAGCATTACTTAACGATGTTTGGGAGCACTGTTTCTTTACCATTTGTCCTCGCCGCACCGCTTTGCATCGGTAATAATAATCCATTAGCCATAAGTCAGTTGATTTCCACCATTTTTTTCATGTCTGGCCTTGCTACGTTATTGCAATCAACATTTGGCGTCAGGTTTGTCTAAATAGGTCATTTTTATAATGTTTATAACTTACATTTCTATAATTTAATTCAAAAGCGGATGGAGCTCTACACTGAATTAGAGTAGAGAGTATAATTTTTTTTTTTTTCATTTTACCGTAAGTCCTTCGGCTGCACGAATGAACAAACATTAGCCATGAAATTCGTACTATACTGAGAGGCAACTTTCTCATGATTCGCTGGCATCTTATTTCAGTAAATGGTCATCTTGGACCGTTTCATTTACCATTGAATTCCGTGCTAGCAATGATTATTAGATTATTTAAATAGTTCATATAATTAATTCCGATTTAAAATCATATCATTAATGCAGAGCTAATATATGTGGTAGACGGTAACTACTTCCGAAGGAAAAACTATTTGTTCCATATTTATTTATGTTAATCACTTGATCTGGGACAATTTTAGTAAGACAACCACCAAAAAATAGAGCTTATAGAAAGTTTTATTCACAGATAATTACTCTTTAATATCAGTTGTGCTAGATCTCTTAAGTTGGTCCATTTGTGTCCTTTAACATGCATATTACACAGTCCTTTTGGCATTGTTTACCAAACTATAGTTTGTCTTTTAATGAATACAACAAGTGATTAATAAACCAAATTTATAGGCTACCAATCGTACAGGGAGGATCCTTTGCCTTTATAGCTCCAACTATTGCTATTATGTCACTGGATAAATGGAAAAGCACTTGCAGACCAAATATTTTACCCTGGGCAAGTACGTGATTGTATAGAATACTGTAGTACTATCTTCTTCATTGCAGGCTTTACCATTTCTATACTTAACTAAATCAAGTATTAAATTGTACTATATGTACTTGCATACATTCTTTCTCATCATCTGAAATTTGCCATAGTATTCTTAGCCACCAGAAATAAAATAGAAGACTGAGTAATGCAGAGAGAATTATTAAATAAATATTACTTGGCTTTTTGATTGTTTAGATCTTACAATGGATGAGCAAGTAAATCAAACAGAAATGTGGCAAGTTCGGATGCGAGAGGTAATTTATCCTTGTCGAAGTCGAGAATTATAGGTAGTAATAAGTTAGTAGCTACAACGCGGTGAATTCGTTTCTAATTTCACATAAATGAAATTATGCTTCTTAGTGAGTCCAACTCGAATAAACGAGTATTCCTAAATATATTTTGCTTACCGGTAACTAATTTATATTTTAACTATACTGAAACTGGTAATAATAACGTTATATTTATTAAAAGATCCAAGGAGCTATCATGCTATCATCCCTATTTCAAATATTCATTGGTTTTTCTGGTATAATTGGACTTTGCCTACGATTTATTGGACCAATTACCATCGCTCCGACGATTACTTTAATTGGGTTATCGATAATTAGTGCGGCTACATTTTATTCATGTATGAAAATGATAAATATTTAAAGTTAATAATCAGTCAATAGAGTTATAATTGTATAGAAATATGTGATCAAATATCTAGTCATAATAAAGTAATTTTGATAAATTTTACATGCTAAATTCTTAATATTAACTCTGGGTATCTATTTTTGATTATAGCTTCCCACTGGGGCATAGCGATATTGTAAGTATAAGTTATATTATGATGAAGTGTTAAATTAAATGAATTTAAATGTTAGAATAAGAAGTCCTGTATAATTTGCTCTCGTACATCATTATAATTTGTTAGGACGGTATTCTTTATCGCCCTTTTCTCACAAGTTCTGGAGAGATTTCCTGTTCCAATGCCCGCTTTTCAGAGAGGGAAAGGCTGTTATGTTACTAGAGTGCACATATTCAGGCTCTTCCCGGTACGATAATCGTTGATGATAATTAAATACTTTACGATATATCTGTTCTATTAATGATTATAACAGTTTATCATTTACCCCGAGTAAATCTTATCGTTATATCGAAGTGATAAACAAATTGTAAAATAAAAAAATACTAAAAATATTTGGGTATAGAAAATACTCGTAAGTAACAATATAATAAAAACTACAGAAAATAGTAAATCTGAGCAGCCTTTGTAATTTACTCTCGAATTGGTCTATATACGCGTATGATGTAAAAATGATGTCTGGAATCCGAAATATTAACACTCTAATGACTTTTTCTAAATTTAGGTATTGATTGCTGTCATAACATCATGGGTATTATCGGCTATCCTTACATCTGCTGGTGCTTTCACCTCAAATCGAGCTAATCCAACCTATTTTGCCAGAACTGATGCTAGAATCTCTGTATTACAAACATCACCTTGGTTTCGATTTCCATATCCTTGTATGATAAATGCATTAACAAATCACTTTAACTCCTAATGTAAAATATGAATGCAAATTAATTATAATTATACTTTAATCGTTTATATACATATAATCGTATAACCGAATGACTTGGCTTACTTTACTAATTACAATACATTTAACTTTAGTTCAATGGGGTACACCTACAGTCTCTGTTGCTAGTGTATTTGGTATGCTGGCGGGAGTATTAGCATCTATGATCGAATCGATTGGCGATTATTATGCTTGTGCTAGACTTGCTGGTGCCAAACCTCCACCGAGACATGCTATTAATCGTGGTATTGGTATGGAAGGAATAGGATGTGTGTTAGCTGGTATGATTGGCTCTGGTAACGGAACCACCTCCTATAGCCAAAATGTAGGAGCCATTGGTATAACTAGGGTAAGTTATGATATTACTGAATAATTTTATTAACCGTATAGACGATGATTCAATGTACTTTCTACTGTAGCTCTTTGAATTTACAAAACAATTGTTGATTATTGTCTTTGCTATTATGCTAAAGGTTGGCAGCCGTGCTGTAGTCCAGTGTGGAGCTGTTATAATGATCATCTTAGCCATTATAAGCAAATTTGGAGCCATTTTTGCATCAGTACCTAATCCTATCGTTGGGGGAGTATTCCTTGTTATGTTTGGACTAGTAACATCAGTTGGCCTATCCAATCTTCAGTTCTGTAATATGAATTCGCCAAGAAACATCTTTGTTGTTGGTATATCGATTATTTTTGGTATGGCTTTCCCTACTTGGCTAAGAACGGGCACTAACTCATCTGTAATTAAAACTAACGTAACAGAACTGGATCAAATTATTATCGTTTTACTCAGTACTAACATTGCTGTTGGAGGATTTGTTGCTTTAATCCTTGACAATATTCTTCCTGGTACTTTGGAAGAACGTGGTATGCATATATGGTCTCGAGAAACAGCGAATGCATCGAATGTAATGAGTTATGAATACGCAAAAGATATAAAAAGATCATATGATCTTCCATTTGGAATGTCTACTTTCTTCCAGAAATTTGCATGCACAAATTATCTGCCATTCTGTCCACCACGTTATGATGATCTGATAGAAGAATCAGAGCAACACATAGATCTGGAATCTAGGAAAGAATACATTAGTACTGTAGTATAAATAATTGGTTTAATTTAGTACAGCAGCAGCATTAATAGCTTTTGCTTTAAATTTCTCACTACGCTTTTATTTTTATTATTATCATATATTATAAATAATAGCCGATACTAACTTTATCGAGATTAAAACGGTGTTGAACATTGTCAGTTTAAGTACCAACTTTATAATATCCGCTAGAGAAATACAACTGTTGTTATGCTCTTAGGGTTTCTTCTGTTCTTAACTTGATGTTCTCCAGCTAATGTTCTCACTAACGATGACTCTCTATAAAACTTTCATTTACACCTTATTTAGTAGCCTTCATGAGTTGAATATAAGCCAACTTTAATTCTAGGTTAATTTTTGGAGCTGGATTACATTCTTATTCTATGGTAAATAAAGCAAGAAATAATTTATCATTATTCTGATTTTTCCCTTATATTCGATCATCCTTGAATGGAAATTATGGCATTGAACAGTACATATTTTATATTTTAAATAAGAAATTATATACCGAACATAAAAAAGTTACGGTCATGATTTGAATAATGAATACAGATCGTAGCTAAGTCATATAAAGGACTACCGCATCTATGATTAGAAACTTTTAGTAATCGATATCTTAATATATCTATACTGAAATCATTCGCAACCCCTTAGTTATTCTAGGATCCAACTAAGGTGCATAAATTCTATTCTACTACTTTCATGCCTTTTCTATGAAATTTATTTGACCATTTACAGTAATTCTATGTAAATGTTCAGCTATAGCTGTTCCAATTTAACCCGGTTAGTAACTACTATGATTATAATAAACATTACGATATCTAATGAATATATATAAATATTTGTAATTCAGAGATTCTATAACATACAGGCTGTTCTCAGCGATGTATAACGAAGGAAAAAAGTCCAATAGTAATATAGGAAAAGAATTCTGAATTCTGCATTAATACTCGAAGATCGGGTTAGGAAGCTAATACTTTTGTAAAGGACGGAGATTGCTAAAAATTTTTCCAGATTGTTATCGGTATTTAAAGTGTTAATTATTATTTTTACTCGTATAGCAGCAATATTATAATAATTTTACATAGTGTGATTTTCCGATTTGAAAAACCTCGACACCGGTGTTGACACAAGAGATCTCTAATACTCTAAGGTAATGAAGATTAAAAATCAAAGATTTTCCCATTTAATTTTGACATTAGCATAAGCTTGTTATTATGAATGAATTAGTATACGTTCATAAATTGAGAAATCGAAAAAGATATGAATAGACGTAATGAACAATTAGTAATAACTTATAATTAACTTATTTACTTGCATAGCTGGTAATGCGTATTCTCGTAAATAGCGATCTCCTCTGATCCTATTAAAATATGAGTTTCATGATTTCTGCTACTATAAAATTTGACTTTCAGATATTATTTACACCACAGCAGTAATGCATTATAAGATTAAAAGCATTTTTCATTATTGACTTAGTAGATGATGAAAATTGCAGTACAGAGATACGATGATCGCTAGTTAGAGAATGCTTTGTAAAATGCTTCTTAACGATATTTTGTTATACGTAATACAATATTGTTCATTGCAAGAAGCTCATCGTATGAATTCTTACCTACCTAATAAAACAGTTGAAAGTGGCTAGATTAATTATCTTAGATAAACGGATTACTGCTCTGAGAATAGCGCAGTAAATTATAACTGTGAGCACTTTTGAATTATGTAAATCATCTTTATACCTGTACCTTACAGTATATTATTTATGCCATTCTTATCAGTCAGCAGTACTCATGATCGCTTGGGGTCTATAAGGTAACCTATAATTAAAAATTAGAATTACTATTATCGTTTTTCTTCTAATTCAATCCAACCAAAGCCGACCCAATTTGATTGTATTTATCACAGGAATGATTGATACCGGTACAATATTTTAAGAGTAGATTAGAAAATTAAATTCTTATGCATCACGCGAGATAATCTTAGTCAGATTCTTGAATTAGCGTAAAATTTTAGTATCTGAAATTCGATTTCATTAGGAGGATTTCGTTAAACGATCACCAAATTGTAAAGATATTTAAATGCCTATATGACTACCTTACACATTTACTACTAAAAAATTATTGTTCTAAATAACACTAATAGAATAAAATATGAAACAGTTTATAAAAATTTTGAACAAATACAATTATGATTAGTTAAATTCATTAATTTAGATTAAAATTATATAATTCTATATCAAGATATAAAGAGTAGAAATTACTTCATTGTAGTAGCAGGTCAGTATATGTCCTTCTATGAAATTATTTTCTTAAACAATTATAGAAATGCAAGGGTAGTATAACTGTCTAATATATAGTTATTGATGTCATCGTATTCTATTTTGCATGTAGTCTTCTTATATACTGTATACGAGTATCTATGCTTTGGTAAGAAGTGCTGAACCTGTTGTGCTATGTATTGCCTCTGAATTAATATGCAAAATCCTAAGTTTTGCATATGTATTAACTTCCAGAGTATAAGACAATCCTAATCAAATTAATCTGTGATGAATTAATTATATGTAACATCGTAATTGCTGTATATCTATATTTTTGTATTGAATTTCATTATTAAACTTTATAACACTAATCAAGTCCGATCAATTTTATAAATCTACGCAAATTTATTCCAAATTTGCAATTATTAAATTAAGCTCATGCTTTCTGCCTTTCTGCTATTCAATAAATGAATCGTGCACCAATTAATATACTGTACTTTGTAATATAAATTATAATTCAAAAAATTTTTGTTTTCTTGCGATGTATGATTCTCGAGAACTTTACTTCTCAATTCAATACTATCCATTCACCAATAAGTTATCTAATAGCGAATATCACCTCTGAAGTACAGACTATTATAAGTTTATTGCCAGCTCTTTCGATACCCAATGCTTCACAATCATCGACTCCAAAAGTAAATCAGCTGATACCCGGGTTACAGTTGCCGTAAGGAAAAAATGGCATATTGTACATTATGTATTCCCATTTTAACAAGCCTAACATCACTTTACCTAAAACATACATTGATTATCAATTTATATTGACCATAGATGCAATCTGACTGTATAATTTCATTCATCGCCATTTCCGTTTTGTTTCCTTTGATAGCAAGTGACTGGAGATATTTTGCAGCAGCTTTAAAAAGCCAGTTACGTAAAGTTGTTGTTTATTATTTCGATATTACTTACTTCCAAAGTATGCTATCAGTTCAAAATTGAATAACCAGACAACTATTACAATTATTTTGCCCGAATAGCCTGAACCATAATATCTTGAATGAACCTTACATCCTTTAATCGATAGTGCATAATTTGATCCATTTTTACGCACTTTAAGGCCATAAATAATGCTTAATCAGTATTAGCTTACTTCTGTGCTTAAAAAATTAAGCTAATCCTTTATAAAGTATGAGGTAGGAGTCAGTTAAATGCGCGAAGAGAATATATTCTATTCATTTGCAGAATAAAACTTGCTATTGACAATTAAGGCCTATATACACAAGATTGATCTGTTCTGCAGGCCTGTAGACTTTAATAAAAACTGTAGGACCTGTGTGATCTTAATCATGATTAGCCTTTGTAACAATTTACTTTTTATGGTCTTTATTTACCAATAAACTTCATCGTACATGATAAATCAAAACTAGACTTAGTGCCTATCACTGAAATTTACTAACGATTGTAAATGATCATCCTGCCACAAAATACCAACCAGCACCAGAAAAATTAAATAATCACAGCTAACGATTTATCGCTCCATCATGAATATCATCCCTCTCTTCCATTAAAGTACGGTACCTCATTCGCACTATAGTATATTGGGTCTCATGGTGGTCAAACAATTACGGCCATAAAAACTTTGTTTATTAGCAATGTCATTGTAGAAAATCCTGACAGCAAGTAAAAGCTTAGAGATATTGTTGTTTGCCGTCTATTGATGAAAGTTAAACTTGACTGGAGTAATGACGTATTGCAAATTATTTATTTGTTAACCCTGCCCCTGGTTCTAACCATACGTCGTATATGATAGACTAAAAGAGTAAAATAAGAACTGTAAAATGGAAGCACAACTGTTATTAGTGCTAGCTTTTAAATGCGTTGTAACGCTATGCTTATGACGTTTCTTATAATCCTTTGGATATCAAATTATTTTATTCTACTCTATGAACGCAATTATTTGGAGTAGCCATTTCTAAGTACGACAAGTCCCAGAATAGATAAAATATTTAACCATAAGAGATAAATAAACAAACTGCTTAAACATACATACGAGCAAACTATTTTTTTTTACCGCCTTTACAACAATGTCAATTATGTAAATTTCCCATATTTTTTTGCCGCCGCCTTGATTTGATACTGATAATATATATTGTAGCAAAAGACTACCCCGGTGCTACCTCAAAATTATTTACAAAAAAATTAAGCGCTTGCTTCGAGGAGACATTGCTTGTGCCATATTTCCAACATCTAAGTTGCTAATCAATTTATTTTAATCACCTCTTCACGAATAAAATCTCGCCGTGACATTAGCAATGGCAATTAATTCCAATCATGATGATACGATGACAGAAAATCACCAACAGGAAAATTGCAATGGTACCATCAAGGTATGTTAGTTTTACTTCGGGTACAAATAAGCATGTATTTAGAAGCCTGTATTTCAATTTACCTAGATTGTAGCAACAGTTGATATCGTTCTCTAATTTTACAAAAAATTAATGGTTTAGGTTAATGCTTTTAAATATTAAGATAAAGAAGTCTTGATACATCAATTTGCTGCTGCTGGGATATCGATTTCACCAATATCAGCAGATTCCAATAGCTAATCCTATATTTTAAATATCATATTAATATTCAGATTATTTATTGTATGTATTTTTTATTCTATCTTTTCAATATTCATTATCTCATGATACAGAATGATGAGAAAAGCTTTGGTAAGTATCTAATGCCGATAAAATGTTATAGATAAACGATAATAATTAAATGATGACAAACTTCGTTTACTCTTGATTATGATTGATTTCTCCATTGCTAAACTCATAAATTAAATTGATCAAATGATTCTTGATCACTTTTTTAGTTGTCTATAAGCTTCATGAAGTTCCTCCATTTCTATATACTATTGGTCTAGGATTACAAGTAATAACTTTGTGTTTATCCAATCGATTTTTCATCTACAGTGGCAATACTCGTATAGCTGATTCTTTTTACTGGATTGATTTTATTTTCATTAAGTTGTTTAAACAGTATTAAAGTTAACTCTTAGCTTTATTCGAGCATAATTGATTGATTGCAACTGTTCTTATAATTTTCTATAGCATTACTTGACAATGTTCGGGGCAACTATTTCTTTACCATTTGTCTTAGCGGCACCACTTTGCATTGGTTTTAATAATCCATTAGCTATAAGCAACTTGATTTCCACCATTTTTTTTGTATCTGGTATTTCAACGTTATTGCAAGCAACATTTGGCATCAGGTTTGTCTTATTTTTATTATAAGTATAGCTCAAATGCCTCTTATATCTAATATTAATTAACTTCGCGATGAAAATTGTTACATGTACCATCAATATACATATCACCAGAACCCATTTCAACATGAAATATGAAATAAAAAATAGCTAATTTCTAGAGAAAAATTTTTATTGACACACATGCAACTTTTAACGTTCGCGATGTTGTACATCTTAAGTTCACTTTTTCGTATCACATAATCACATATAGGATTTTCGTGATTGTTTACATAACTATAGTCATTTCATTAACAAATAAATGATTAACAAACAAAATTTACAGGCTGCCAATCGTGCAAGGAGGATCCTTTACCTTTGTAGCACCAACTGTCGCTATTATGGCACTTGATAAATGGAAGGGTACTTGTAGTCCGAATGTTTTGCCTTGGGCAAGTAAGTTATATTAAAGAATTTTACTATCATTTCCTACTCTGCATGTTTCGCTATATGCTATGTACAACACATGACTAAACATTCATCAGAATAGTATAGCATGTACTTGCATGTATTCTTTCTTAGCTCATACATATTTCCTATCATTTTATTAACCACCAGAAATAAATTGACGTTACAGCAATGAAAGAATGCTTTATTGCTAACTAAATAACATTTTCCTTGATGATCTACGTAGACCTGACATTGGCCCAGCAAGAAAATCAAACAGAAATGTGGCAATCTCGTATGCGAGAGGTAATTTTTCTTTATGTCATTCGCTAGTTAATTAGTTGGTAATGGCTAAGTAACAGCAGAACGATAAGTTTACACATTTCTGTAGAAATGTAATCATGTCTTCTTTATAAAGTCCAAGTCTAGGTAATTTTTATAAGCTCTCCAATATCTTTATTATACTAACAACTTGTTTATATTTAAATCATGCATAAGCTAGTAATAAAAATGTTCTACTTTATTACAAGATCCAAGGAGCTGTCATGCTATCATCGCTATTTCAGTTAATCATTGGTTTTTCTGGCATAATTGGACTTTGCCTAAGATTTATTGGACCGATCACTATTGCTCCTACGATTACTTTAGTTGGATTAACGTTAATCGATCCAGCTACCTTTTATTCGTGTATGAAAGCGATTAGAATTTTTAACTGATTTAAAGAGCTATAATTATGTAGAAATATTGCATATAATCATATATTTAGTATATTACATTTTAAATATTAATTTCTTTAACACTAACTTTATGTTATCCATTTTCATTATAGCTTCTCACTGGGGTATGGCGATATTGTAAGTATAAGTATAAGGTACCGGTATAATATGATGAAGTATTAAATCATATTACTTAAACTAAATCTAAATATTAGAAAAACATTAGCTCTCTAATACATGCATTTCGCTTTTTACACATTCGAATTCTTAGGACAATATTCTTTATTGGCCTTTTCTCACAAGTTCTGGAAAGATTTCCTATTCCAATACCCGCTTTTCAGAGAGGGAAAGGCTGTTATATCACTAGAGTCCACATATTTAGACTCTTCCCGGTATAGAAATCGCTCATGATATTTTAATGATTTAGAGTATCTTGATTCTATTAATAATTATAAAACTTCATCAATTAGCTGAAGTAAATCTTATTCTTATTGGAAGGGAGATGTAATAATACAGTATCATACTTTATGATAACAATAGTAGTAGCTATTTAATAGTATAAATTAATCCTTATTTTATATACGTAAATATTGTAAAAGTAAAATACTAAAATTATTTTGGGAACGCCACTAATAAAATCTTCAGAAAATAGTAAACTGGAGTAACCTTTGAATTTTACTTCCCTATTTTCCTTTTTTCCATGCAATAATGATATATAGAACGTGACGTATCAATATTCTATTGACTTTTCCCAAATTTAGGTGATGATTGCTGTTATAGCATCATGGATCGTATCGGCTATCCTTACAGCTGCTGGTGCTTTCACCTCTGATCCAGCTAATCCAACTTATTTTGCTAGAACTGATGCTAGAATTTCTGTACTGGAATCATCACCGTGGTTTCGATTTCCATATCCTTGTATGATAAATCACTTTAACTCCTAATATAATATTATATGAATACAAATTTATTATAATTATACTGTAATCATTACGTTAATATAATCGATTATATAACTGACTAACTTTATTAGATTAATAGAATTTCGCATATCTTAATGTCATCTTGATTCACTTTAGTTCAATGGGGTATGCCTACTGTCTCTATTGCTAGCGTATTTGGTATGCTAGCGGGAGTATTGGCATCTATGATCGAATCGATTGGCGATTATTACGCTTGTGCTAGACTTGCTGGTGCTAAACCTCCACCGACGCATGCTATTAATCGCGGTATCGGTATGGAAGGAATAGGATGTGTATTAGCTGGGATGATTGGCACTGGTAGTGGAACAACGTCGTACAGTGAAAATATTGGAGCCATTGGTATAACTAGGGTAAGTTATGATTTTATTGAATAAGTTTCTTAACGAAAAAGGCGAAGGATTAATATAGTTATATCGTGGATTGCATACGAGCACTATCAAATAATTTTTGAACATCATATTTATCATTATGCTAAAGGTTGGTAGTCGGGCTGTAATTCAATGTGGAGCAATTATAATGGTTATCCTAGCCATATTTAGCAAATTTGGAGCACTTTTTGCATCGATACCTAATCCTGTTGTTGGCGGCGTTTTTATTGTTATGTTTGGACTAGTAACAGCAGTTGGTATATCCAATTTACAGTACTGTAATATGAATTCGCCGAGAAATATCTTTATCGTTGGTTTGTCACTCATTTTTGGTATGGCTTTCCCTACTTGGCTGAGAACGGGCACTAATTCATCTGTAATCAAAACTAACGTAGTAGAACTAGATCAAATTATTGTCGTTTTACTCAGTACTAATATTGCTATTGGAGGAATAATTGCTTTAATCCTTGATAATATTCTTCCTGGTACTGTGGAAGAACGTGGTCTACATATGTGGTCTCAAGAAACTTCGATTGCATCGAATGAACTAAGCAATGAATACATAAAAGATATGAAAAGATCATATGATCTTCCGTTTGGACTGTCCGATTTCTTTCATAAATTTACATGTACAAAATACCTGCCATTCTGTCCGCCACGTTATGATGATCTGCTCGAAGAATCGGATCAACGTATAGATCTAGAATCTAGAAAAGAATGCATTAATACTGATTTATAAACGATTGACTAAATTTAGTACAGCAGTAATTATTAATTGCATTCGTTTCAAATCTGCAACTTTGCCTCTCAAATTTTTTATTCTATTCTATATTACAAATAATAATAGTTGATAACCTTATCTCTTATTGAGCAGCATTGAATATTTATTAATTAAAGTACCAGCTTTGTAATATCCATCATAAAAAGGCAACTGTTGTAATGCTTTTCTTCCATTCTTAGATGGATGTTCTCCAGCTAATACTCTTATCAACGATGTTAGTCGAGAGCGGTTTAACTTATAAATATTTTCTACTTTTTATAACTAGTTCTAATCAGTCGGTGTTTAGTAATCTAGATTGGTAAATTTTTCGAAACTTCTGTCCTCTCTAACTACCGTATAACTGCCTAATTCCATATTCAAATAATCGTATGCTTTGCTATAACTAGTAAGATTATTAGTGCATGATATTTAAGGACGCCAGTACAGGCTGTGATCTTATTCCATTGTATCGTCTATTTAAAAATTATCATTACATTACCTACTGTGATAAAGTGTCTTCTCAAAAATACAACACGAACTACAGTTTCTTATAAACTTCACTTTATTACATAAGATTAGGTTCGTCTCATAGCTACCAAGGACTACCTCGCTTCAATAGGACTATCTCTGAATTATCTTTTACAGCGAAAGCTCGCGGTTTATATACCCCTTGTTACAGAATGAATTTTACACATTGCAAACATATCTTGCCAATTAAGTCGCAAGATAATAGTTTATCATCGCGCGAGCTATTCATTGTTTACGCGTCTAATTAAAGCGCCACAATACAATTCTCACAGTACTAACATAATCAGCGCTATCTATTACTATTATGAAATCTTAATGTAAACATCTCAATAGTATCAAGACAATACATATGTAAACCTCTGCTACAAATAGATATCTTCAAAATCGCACTATTTAACAAACGAGTACTACTACTTTCGTATAATCTTACAATCATAATCCAAGCTATATTTTGGGCTGCGCTACACGTACATTACGATAGCAATGGATCTAATATTGATATGAATGATATCCTTACTTGTAGGGAAAATATGATTGCATTCAATTATGAAATAACTGAAATCACATTGGTCCCAAAATAATGGATGGACAATCTTAGTTTGCTAAAATAAAACTTGATGCACTTATAACACTTTATGTTTACACTTAGCAAGGTTGATAAAATAAAATTTAATTTATTGATTATGTGTAACTAATTATAATTAACTAGTACAAAGTCCCATCGTTATGCTGACGGATTACGTTGTTATAATATTACAAACTCCCGTCGCTTTGGTGGCGGATTATATTCTTATAATATGATACTTATAGAATATTATTTTACAATAATACTTCAGACGTGACTCGGCCTTGTCCTCATTTACTACACTAATCCATGATGGTCATTTTACGGATTCCAGTAGTACTCTTCTATACGTTAACGTTACAAAATATATCACAGTTACTATTCAGGAATTTGATTTTACCCAGTAATGAGAGGTTATTAACATCCATTCACGTTAAAAGTGATGATTTAAACAGTTATGTATAATGCATTACATGAAGATAATAAATGTAATGAGCCATTTACTCTCTTACATCAGAATGTACTATAAATTTGTTACTTTTCTATTTTAAGACTAAGAAATCAATATTCAACGCGGCAAACTATGTGCAATACCTAAAGTTCACTACTATACTTGGCTGTATGTCTCAATCACCTGAATAGTACCATACGGTGGGCCAGAGGTATTTCTAGTTCAAATCGATGACACCTGTTAACGCTAATGCTACAGTGTCCACTCACCACTATACAGTGAAAATACTGTAAAGTACAGTACTTAATACTGTGAGGTACTGTACTGTCATGAATCACTAAAAGAAAACCCGGGTCGGACCGGACCGGATCGGAACGGACATAGATTAACAACCCCACCCAAAGCAGACAGAGATTGGCCGAAAATGGAAAAAAAAAAAATAAAAAATAGTGTAAGAAGGAGGAGTTAGTATGGACATCTTCGATCTGCTTTTTCGGCAGTACATGCACGAATTTGAACACATTGATGGGTTATAGAACTCATCCACGGTACAATATTATAGATTCAAGTTAATTTCAACCAAAGATCGCTTCATAAAAAGAATAGAGTAACTGAGTTAATCGTGAATGTGGCATACTAGAGTAACAACGTTGGATGGTATTTGGAAGAGTAAATTACAACATGAGTCGAAAATATGACATTTCGTGTCCAGTCCAGGTGTTATTTTAGTAGTGCAGATTGGGGATACTCTACTGTATTTTGAAGCGTACAATTGATGTCAACTAGTAGACACCATATAGGTAAAAGGAAAAAATTGACTTGTTATACTTTGCGTACTGTTCTTGTGCTTGCTACTTTACTCTACCATGCACTAATATTAGCTAGGGAGACCACCGGCAAGGCAGCGGGTGATGATTTTGCAGCATATTGCTCGTAGTGTAGAGCCAGTTTTATATACAGTATATCTGATATACGGACACGTATCGTATAGCTACTAGGTTTTCGCCTAAAGAAAACGAGAGAGGGACAGGGAATGATTTTTCATAGACCAAAATATCAGGACCGAGTACAATATGTTGCTGGTCATTTTAACTGTACTATGCTGAACATCACCACCGCGCTTGCAAATTAGCTGCCATCGTTTTGTACAGTTTGAGATGGTCACAACTCGAGTATCCTATGTAAGGTTACATTTCAAGAGCAAAATGATCTGATAGTATTCTTGATATTAATTGTTTTAAAATCATCCAGTCTAATAGCACATCGACCAATAGCTGGTTACAGTTACTGTAAGAAAAAACAGGATAATGTATGTCATCCTATTTGAACAAGTCCTGCATCTCGTAATCTGAAACATGAATTAATTAATTAATCTACCAATTTATATGGACTATAGTTGCAATCGGACAGTGCAATTTCCTTTTTTTTTTTTTATTTCCTTTAATAGCAAACAGCTGGAGATATTTTGAAGTAACTGGATTAAAATATCAGTTATGTAGTCTTATTTATTATTTGGATAGTACTTTCTTCAAAAATATGCTATCAGTTCAAAACTGAATAATTAGTCAGACGACTATTATAATAATTATTTTATCCAAGCAACCTAAATCATAGTATCTTTGACAAATCTTAAATCCTTCAATCGATAGTAGAAGATGATTTGATGCACTTTTACACGCTTATGACCGTAAAAGACTCCAAGATCAGTAGCAGCTTACTTCTATGCCTTATAGTAATCCTTCATAAAGTACAATGCTTGAGTCAGTTAGATGTATCAGGAGAATACTCGTATTTGTTATTCGTTTACAGAACACCATTTGCCATTAACAATTCACGCCTATATGCACGAGACCAGCTAGTTCTCCAAAAGGCCCAGCCCATACATCTCCATCAGTAGTAGAAAACAAACATTTCTATAATTTGTGCCGAGCCTATAGACTTGAATAAAATTATGGGACATACGCAGTCTCAATCGTGATTAGCCGTTGCAACAAATGATTTTTTTATTATATTTATTGCATTTACCAATAAACTTCATCATACAGGATTAACTAAAGTTAGATTTGGAGGCTACCATTAAAATTTACTGACGATTCCTAATGATGATCCTGTTACAAAATATCAAGCATCACCACAGAAATTAAATTAAATAGAGCTAATAATTTATCGTTCCATCACGAATATCGTCTATCTTTTTTTATTAAAACATGATACCGCATAAGTCATTAGCATTGCTGAAACGGCAACATAAAACTTAGTATATTAGGTTTCATAATAGCTAAAGAAGTACAGCCATACAAGTTTTACATATTAGCAATATCAGCATCGAAAATCCTGATCGTAATTACAAGCATAAAGATATTTTGCTTACCGTTAATTGATGGAAATTAAACTTAGCGCTGTAATAATGTCTGATTACAGACCCTTTCAATAACGCAAACTGTACTTGTGACTTGCACTACCCGTCTACCCCTAACCTTATTAATGTGCATCGTATACGAACATGCATAATAAACTAAAAGGGTCCAATAAGGACTACACATGGAAGCAGAACTGTTGTTGGCGCTAGCTTAAGGCTGGAAATACTTTATTTTCTCAACAGTAACCCACATTGAACGCAGTTTTCTAGATCAATTTCACCCAAATAAGTTGTAAAGCTACACTTAATATTCCTTTGTATCCCTAATTATGCTATATACGTATTTTGCTGCCACGATGATTCGATATTAATTACGACTATTTGCCTTCTTGCTACAATCAAGTTCAATTTCTTGATTTATTTTAGATAATTAATTAAAGTCTATATTGAAACATCAATACATTGAGTTTTTGGAGAGTATAATACTTTTGCCTTAGTATCAGTTTATAGATACAATCGAGTTAGTGTTAATTTTGTATTTATTGTTTTACTGGGCTGCATCTATTTAATGCATATCAGGGTCATCATTGTCTACTTACTATTTTTTGTCATCCAACAGAATTTGTGTCAATAGCCTATTAAAGCGATTGTACCTTCATAGACCTCTAGGCACTGGAGTACTGTACTATATGCTAATTTTTTATCATACAGTACTTGATAATGAATTAAACTCCATCAATGAATATAATGAAATTAATTGTATACTATACTTAATATATTGTTGTACATGGCCGTCCTTCAATGACTTAAGTAAATATACTTATGCTCCTTAGTTACATAACATTAGCGTATTATTTAATGAGCTATAAGTAAGACGGGACGGTATATGAATGAAATAAAAATGAAAAAGTACCATCAACTCGACACTATTTGCTATTTTTATGACTAAATCAAGCAAATTATCATATTTAAAAGAGTTTTAATATGAAGCGTATTAACTTATCCGTACATGTATCTTCAAACGTAAAAATGTATCATGACGATAACCTTAGTGTGTAGTTCTATATGGAGTTAAAAATATTACTTCTGTTTGAACCAACGTTGAAGCGTATAAAACAAATCGCTGTATTATCTTCTTCCTTGATCTCATATCGCGCCCACAGTCTCGTAGAAAAAAGGAAAGGATAATTACTGGAAGAAAAGTCTGAACAAAAGATATTTAAATTTACTTCAAACTGCAGGACATTTCTTATATTATTTCGCTTAAGACCACCCCGGTATTACGTCAAAAATAGTTACAAAAAAATAAATACATTGCTACAATACAATACAAATACAAGGATACATTGCCTGTATAATGTGCCATATTTCTGCGAGATATGTTACTGGTAATTAAGTGAGTCACCACTTCGGGAATAAAATCTCTTCGTAACATTAGCAATGGCGACTCATTCCAATGATGATACAACGACAGAAAACTGCCAACAGGAAAATCACGACGGTACTACCAAGGTATAATAGTTTCACTTGGTACAAATAAAATAGGTGTTAGCAACTTATGTTTTATATCACTTGTGTTTTAGCAACGGTTGATATCTTTCTCTAATGTTACAATCAATTAAGGGCTAGGTTAACGTTTTTAAATATCAAGATAAAGTCTTGATGAATAAATTTACTGTTGCTGCGGATATCGATTTCGCTAACTTTATTGAGTGCTAATAGATAATCCAATATTCTAAATGTCATATTAACATTCAGATTATTAATTATATCTTTTTTATTCTATCATTTCAATCCATTTAAATCATGATCCAGAATGATAAGAAACGCTTTGGTAAGTATATGATGCCCATCGATTATGATTGATTTTTCTATTGCGAAATATATTCATTAAAATAATTAATCAAACCATTCTGGATCACTTTTTTTAGTTATCTATGAACTTCATGAAGTTCCTCCATTTCTATATACTATTGGTCTAGGTTTACAAGTAATGACTTAGTCTTACATGAACTCGGGTTTAATTCTACGATAGTAATATGACTGGTTCTTTTTTACTAGATTGATTTTATTTTCATTAAACATTTTCAATATTATTACAGTGAACTCTTGGCGCTATTCGAGTATAATTGATTGATTAATAACTGTTCCTATTATTTTCTATAGCATTACTTGACTATGTTTGGGGCTACTATTTCTTTACCATTTGTGCTAGCGGCACCTCTGTGCATTGGGAATAACAATCCATTAGCTATAAGCGACTTGATTTCCACCATTTTTTTTGTATCTGGCATTGCTACGTTATTGCAAGCAACATTTGGTATCAGGTTTGTCACAATTTTATTATTTGTATAACTCGTATTACCGTGGATTGGTTCAAATACGGATGTAGTTATGTACTTACTAAATCAGAACAGAGGAACTAAAACTCTAGTTTTATTTTACTGTCAGTCTTTTGGATTTTTGAGCTAATCAAGATTGAGCGATTTAATTTCCGCAGCATTATTAAACTCAGCCTGCTATAAATTGCTAACAGTTTATATGATAGCAGTGATTCTACCGTTACGCAAATGGCTCGCATATCTAATTATAATTAACTTAGTGATCAAATTGTTCATGGTATCATCAATAGACATGTTACTAACTACAGTCAGTGGCGCAAAGGTCTTACCTAATTTTATTCTAACTATTGACCTAGAACCCTTTTATTATGAATAAGAAATGAAAATAGCTAGCTTCTATACGAAAAGTTATCGGTAGACATACAACCTTTAACGCCCGCTATAATGTAGTTTTTTTTGTATCGTATAATACACCTATTTTAACTACATAGTGCTGCACTTTCGTGATTGTTTACATAACTATAGTCATTTCATTAACAAATAAATGATTAACAAACAAAATTTACAGGCTGCCAATCGTGCAAGGAGGATCCTTTGCCTTTGTAGCACCAATTGTCGCTATTATGGCACTTGATAAATGGAAGGATACTTGTAGTCCGAATGTTTTGCCTTGGGCAAGTAAGTTATTTTAAAGAATTTTATTATCATCTTCTTCGCTCATGTTTCGCTATATACCATGTACACTTGTACAGTACATGATTAACATTTATCAGAATAGTGTAGTATATGCTTGCATTATTCTTTCTTGACCCACTTATATATGCTATCACTTTATTGATTGCCAGATATAAGTTGAGGGTGAGGCAATGAAAGAATACTTTATTGCTAACTAAATAACATTTTCCTTGATGATCTACGTAGACCTGACATTGGCCCAGCAAAGAAATCAAACAGAAATGTGGCAATCTCGCATACGAGAGGTAAATTTTCTTTATATAGTTAGTTAGCCAGTTGTAATGGCTAAGTAACGGTAGGACGATAAATTTACACATTTCTGTAGAAATGTAATTATGTCTTCTTTATAAAGCCAAAGTCTAGATAATTTTAAGGTCTTCAATATATTTACTATACTAACAACTTGTTTATATTTAAACTACCAGCGTATGTTCAAGCTAGTAATAATAATCTTATATTTATCAAAAGATCCAAGGAGGTATCATGCTATCATCGCTGTTTCAAATAATCATTGGTTTTTCTGGTATAATTGGACTTTGTCTAAGATTTATTGGACCGATCACTATTGCTCCTACGATTACTTTGGTTGGATTAACGTTAATCGATGCGGCTACATTTTATTCGTGTAAGGAAATGATTAATATTTATATCTGATTAATAGAACTTCAATTGTGTAGAGATTTATAGTCATATATTTACTTATGATAATCTGTTTATAGTAAAATAAATTTCAAATATTAATTTCTTTAATATTGACTATATGTTATCCATTTTCATTATAGCTTCTCATTGGGGCATGGCGTTATTGTAAATATAATTTATATTATAATGAAGTAAAATGTTAAATCATATTACTCAAACTAAATTTAAATGTTAGAAAAAATGATTCCTAATAGGCGTATTTCGCTCTTTACGCATTGAATTTTTAGGACAATATTCTTTATTGCCCTTTTCTCACAAGTTCTGGAAAGATTTCCTGTCCCAATGCCCGCTTTCAAAAGAGGAAAAGGCTGTTATGTCACTAGAGTTCACATATTCAGGCTCTTCCCGGTATGAAATTAGTTGAAGTAAATTTTATCCTTATTAGAAGTGAGATGCAGTAATACAGCATCAAACTTTGCGATAAGAATGGTTTTAGAATAGTATAAAATTAATCCTTTATCTTATATACGTAAATATTATAAAGGTAAAATACTAAGATTATTTTGAGATCGATATAAATAATAAAATCTTCAGAAAATAGTAAACTGGAGTAACCTTTGTGTTTTATAAGTAGTCTCCAATTCGTCTGCATATGATGTAGTAATGATATTTAGAGTATAACATATCAATATTCTGATAAATTTCCCTAAATTTAGGTATTGATTGCTATCATAGTATCATGGATCGTATCGGCTATCCTTACAGCTGCTGGTGCTTTCCCTTCTGATCGAACTAATCCAACTTACTTTGCTAGAACCGATGCAAGAATTTCTGTACTGGAAACGTCACCGTGGTTTCGATTTCCATATCCTTGTATGATGAGTGCATTAACAAATGACTTTAACTCCTAATATAATATTATATGAATACAAATTATTACAATTTTACTGTAATCATCAAGTTAATATAGTCATATAACTGATTAACTATCTAACTTTTTTAGATTAATGGAATTACGCATATTTTAATATCATATTGACTCAATTTACTGATTACAATTAATTTAACTTTAGTCCAATGGGGTACACCAACAATCTCTGTTGCTAGTGTATTTGGTATGTTAGCGGGAGTATTGGCATCTATGATCGAATCGATTGGCGATTATTACGCTTGTGCTAGACTTGCTGGTGCTAAACCTCCACCGACACACGCTATTAATCGCGGTATCGGTATGGAAGGAATAGGATGTGTATTAGCTGGGATGATTGGCACTGGTAGTGGAACGACCTCATACAGTGAAAATATTGGAGCCATTGGTATAACTAGGGTAGGTTATGATTTTTTTAAATAGTTTTATTAACGAGAGAGACAAAGTATCAATACGGTTGTATCATGAATTGAATGTAAAATAATCTGTGATTTTTCCCGTTTCGTTATATCGAAGGTGGCTAGTCGTGCTGTAATCCAATGTGGAGCAGTAATAATGATCATCTTAGCTATTATAAGCAAATTTGGAGCGCTTTTTGCATCGATACCTAATCCTGTTGTCGGCGGCGTTTTTATTGTTATGTTTGGACTAGTAACGGCAGTCGGTATATCCAATCTGCAATTCTGTAATATGAATTTGCCAAGAAATATCTTTATCGTTGGTTTGTCACTCATTTTTGGTATGGCTTTTCCTACTTGGCTGAGAACGGGCACTAATTCATCTGTAATTAAAACTACTGTAAAAGAACTAGATCAAATTATTGTCGTTTTACTCAGTACTAACATTGCTATTGGAGGATTGGTAGCTTTAATCCTTGATAATGTAATACCTGGTACTTTGGAAGATCGTGGTATGCATATTTGGCATCAAGAATCTTCGAAGGCATCAAATCAGATGAGTAATGAATACGTGAAAGAAATGAAAAGAACATATGATCTTCCGTTTGGACTGTCCAATTTCTTTCATAAATTTACATGTACAAAATACCTGCCATTCTGTCCACCGCGTTACGATGATTTGACCGATGAATCAGAGCAATATCTAGATCCAGAGACTGGAAAAGAATATCTTAGTTATAGATTATAAGTAACTAATTAATAGCATAGCAGTAATTATTAATTACTTTACTTTCAAATTTCGAACTATTACTTCCTGTAGTGCAGCCCCAAATATAGCTTAGATTACTATTATAAGACTGTACGAGAATAACTTAACTTGTAAGCTAGAGTGTAAGATTGTGTAAGAGTCTATTTGTAGAAGACGTTTACAATACGTATTGCAGCGAATCTATTAAGATGTTTATATAAAGATCTGAGATATAAATAGATTTGCGCTAAGTATGCTAGTACTGTAAGTATTGTATTGTAATGCTTTAAATAGACGCGCGATTTATGAATAGATTGCGCGATAGTAAATTTATATCTGATCTTGCGACTTAATGGGCAAGATAAGATTTGTTACAGTAAAAGCATTCTGCAACTAATCGTGTATAAATCGTGAATTTTGCTGTAATAAGTAGATTGTCAGATAGTCAGATAGTCCTTGGTAGTTAGACGAACCTAACTTCTGTAATAAAGTGAAATTTGCAAGAAACTGTAGTTCTTGATTCATTGTTTTGAAGATCACTTTATCACACTTCCATTTTTCATGATAAATAATAGTTATTAATCTAACTAAAATACCTAATATCATGTGATAAAATTATTAATTTAAACGTATACTTTAACGTATTTGATAGAGAGAGGATAAACTTTTAGATCAGTTTAATATAAATGGCTTTATGATTTGAGTGAGGTTGTAGTAGTAAATTTTACAGTAACTGAATGCATGTTTGTTGTGATATCCTTTTGGACTAGATTAATGTAGTAAAGTGAACGTTGCACACTAGGGCTTTCCATTGCAAACTATTAATGAAAATAAAGTTTATGGTAGCAATAACTAAAAATCGTTGAATATGAGATACTTTTTATTCTATGATAACAAAAGCTAAATATAGTTTATCCTTGGATTGATTTTTGCTCTCGTGACTGATCTAAGTTGATAGCAATTATTATAGTAAATAAATTGAATACAGTAATACTGTGCTGTAGCATTAACGCAAGGGGAAAATACATTTATCATACCATTTTGCAAGTAATTTTAGCAACAAAAGTTCAATAATGCTATTAAACGATGATTGTTGTCAGTATATTCTGTTAGCCAGTGGTGTTTTAAGACATTCTAGACAACCTTGTTTATAGTCTTGGTTATATAAACTGTATCGATTTTTGATATACCTCTATTTACTTTACTTTGTGTAATTACATTTTAAGAAGAACAGTAAATGTTATTCAATAAATCATTACCCGAATTTACTTTATAGAAATGGACAATGCATACAGAATATCGTGATTGTCTTTTATAGTACTTGATATCAGTTATAATTTGAAATACAGTATAAGTATATTAAATAATGTTCAAGCATTTATAAATAGTACCGTTATGGTATTCTTTACGGAATCGTTCACATACCGAATTTTAGACACCGATTGGCCACTGCACTGTTCACTACAGATCAGTTAATCTATCATTTCAAGTATCTTATTAAACAATTTGCAAGATCTGCAGGATGTTATAGTACCATTTGATAAGTTCTACGGATAACCTGCATCTAACATGCCGTTTACGCCGTAAAAACCATATATATATGTTGCTAAGATGATTGATTTTTCCGGGACAAAATTTTTTCGCCATCTCCATATCCAGGACCTAATGTTGACCGATGATACTGTATAAGGTATCTTGTAAAATATTTTTAACCTATAAGTGATCAACTCCATTACATAATATAGCAATTCTAAAGGAGCTATTTAAGAGCTATTTGTGAAGATAATACATTTCTAATAAAGTTTCTCAACGAAAACTTACGTATAATAAAAGTCAATAGATCGCATTTAATCGACTGTAAAGGTTCAGCTGCTTTCTGCTAAATTTATTATTAGTTGAAAAACATCTGTATACATGTAGTCAAGACACATAACGATTCAGAATATGATCATATGTTGAAGTTGATAAGAGATACTTAGAATGTCAAGGGAGTTTAAATTTAACAACGATTGAAAAACTTAAGGAATAACTATAATACTCTTAGCAAATTCGGTACCCCGTAAAAATTCCTTTCCACTATTAGAGGAATAATTTAAAAAAATTTTAAAATATGAACTATGCATGAGTATAAAGAATCTGTGATAAAACCGACCACGTAATTAAATCCGTAATATAGCGCTTGTGAGCCACATGGTTTTGACTAAAATTGCCTTAAAACTGAATCCGATTGTTTCAAATAAAATTAGCGTTATGATACAGGTAAATTGTGTCTGAACTTTATGAGATTTTTGTTTTCCTAAATGATGCAAAGTATTTTTCTCAAGTTAATTTCGGAATGATTGATCTATAAATGTTTAGTTTTAAATACCATCAAGAACTGTATGAAGCCTATAAATAGTAGTACAACCAGAAAACTAAAAGTTAAGAGTAAAATAGAGCTATTTTGAAGGATTACTTGAAATTCAAATACATTCTATCTCGGTTGGCTATGAATGAAATTGTTCACTTTTTTTGTAAGGTTACTTGGTTATTGACACTTTAGTCCTGTCTTTCCTTATCATTTTACTAAAAATCTTGGTAATTAGTTATTTTAAAGGTTATTTGACCTTATCTTTCTCATAGGTTTTTAATAAATTGTTGTTTTATCATTTCCCGATTTACTTGGCGTTAAAGTGCCGTTAAGTCGACTAGATTGCGCGAAGTGGAATCGAAACTTAATAATAGTTTTTGAAAATTTGATTTCACTACGTATTATTTATTTTATTACATATGTTTGCTAATTGAGCCAAAATTGTGCATATTGATATTTTACATTTAAAATTCGAGATACGTTATCAAAATATTGAATCAACTATTTCATTGATAAGCACAATCAATCGGATTCCTTTCAATTAATTTTAAACTACAAAACAAAAGCCAAGGCAGTAATTAGATTACCAACCATTTATTTCTTTAATGGATTTTCGCTCCTCAGGTATTGATAAATGTAACTGTATCATTTAACGTAATTAATTTGATAATGTTGAGGCGGGCAGTATCTAGGTTGAAATTTTTTAATTATAGAGTAATAGTAAGACTAAAGCTTAGGCGATATTCAATGTTATAATTGCTCTATTATCCAAATGGGAAAGATAAATCAAAATTGAACTCTTCAAGAAATTTTGATCTAATAATAAAATAGCAAAATTGATCCTAATTAATAGCTATAATAATGGGCAATTCTTGCCAAACATTTATCTCTTTCGATGAATTTAATAGCATTTTCAGAAGCTAAAAAAGAGCATTACCGGTTGATATAACAGAAATTAACATAACGAATTTTTCATACAAAGTGCGATAAATATGGCCTTAGATAAGATCTACAAGAACTTAAAGAAACTCTATTTCAATACTATACGACTATGAAAGGCTATTTTCAGTCGTATATTACGCACGCTAGCGTATGTATTCGTTTATTGACGTAATTTAATGAAATTGAATTAGGAATGATTAATATTTAAAGGCATTTTATTACAAAGAATGATCTTCACACGAGAAAATATTAATTAGTATCTTGAATGGAGTGTAAAATCATACTATATCAAATTGAATTATGCCTCAGGAATCTCTGGCATGATTAGTCTTTAAAACGATGATGAATGACGTTACTTAAATTTGCCATTCGACATTCCACATCCTATTGAGTCTATTTACTGTAAAAGGAATTATAACCTTCCAATTAGGATAAATTAAAGATATTGATCAGGATTGCACAACATGCTACTTGTGTTTTAAGCGGTAAGCAAATAAACATCAAATTGTTTTTTCCAGCAACGAGTTGTCCATGACATGCAAGTTATCCTAGCCTAACCTAAAATCCTAGAGATAGTCTACGTGCCTAGCAAATTGTTATTACTACCTTGTACTCTATTTACTTACAGCTAGGATAAGAAGTGTTGAACTTGTTGGGTTATTATCTTTGCTATTAACACCTCAATTTAACTATTGTTTTACAAGATTATATCCTGGCCTTCACAGTTGACAGACATCTTCATTCTTAATTAATTTCTTATATGTCGAGTATAATATCCTCATTGCATGATTTCCATTCGTAATAAATAGATCCATTAATAAGTTTTATAAGTAGTTAATTCAACGTCATCCATTCAGTAATCAGCGATTTCATTCCTCTTCGTAATGGCCGAATATAACATTCATATTATCCAGTGTAGTAACCTCCAGTCATTCTGACATTAATTAATTTACTCTACATCTTTGGTCTAAAAAGTAAAGCTTATGAAATTGATCTATAATATAAGTTACTGGAGCAGTTTTGACTTCTAACTTCACTATCATCGATTGATGTAATATCGATTACGACTGGTGTTGCACAAGCGATCATATTGTCCATTTTTTTCTATATTGCATATTTCAATACTGTCGATTAAACAGTAATAATCTGATAGTAAGTTTGCAGCTCGTCGATGTTAAAAGACAGGCAATTTTTACTCTCCGTTGGAAACCCTCGATCGATCTATTATCGACCACAGTTGGTTTTGCATAAGCTATCACTTTGTTCATTCTTTCGAAGTCACTGATTTCAATGGTATTGATTGAAAAGTTAATCATCCGATGATCAGTTTGCAGTCCATCAATTTTAAAAGATAGAAGCAATATGTCTTAGTTGAAGACTAGCCATAGATCTATCACAAGCTATCATTTTGCTCATTCTTTCCAAGTTACTTATCTCATTACCATCGATTGAAGAGCAAATAATCTAATAGCTAGCTTGCAGCTACTCGATGTTAAAAGGTAGAGGAGGTAATTTTTCTATTGAGTTAAAGATTTCAAGTGTATTATTGACTGATTGATTGATCTGATATCGATTAGTAGGTTAGACAAGCTATGACTTTTTTCATTCTTTCTAAATCATTAGCTGCAATGCCATTGATTGAATGGTATATAATCTGATCGTTAGTTTGCAGTTAATGTTAATGGATAGAGGCAATCCTTACTTCATAATAGTTAAATACTATCGATTGATCTGATATCGATTATGGTTGGAGTAGTATAAGCTATCATCTTTGTTTATTCTTCCAAATTACGTTATTTATCATCAGTACTATCGTCTGAAAAGTTAATAATCTGACTTCTAGCTTGCAGTTAATCAACGTTAAAAGATAGCGGCAACTTTTCTCCTTACTTGAAGATGATCGATTAATCTAATATCGATTATGGTTGGTATAGCACAGGCAGTAAGATCGTTCATTCTTTTGAAATCACTGATTTCAATACTATTAACTGAAAGTAAATAATCTGATAGCTAGTTTATAGTTAACAGATGTTAAAAGACAGACTACACAATCTTTATTTTATACTGAAGGTCTTTTATAGCTGCATTCAATGACGAGTGAACTGATAGAAGATTTCATTCGATCGAGTAAAATTAAACTGTACAATCTCTTAATTAATTCTAATAAGATTTATTTTAACAATGTGATGAGGAGTTCAGTGATTCAGTGGTGCGGACTTTGTTGCCATGCGAAGAAATATACCAATGTTTTATACGAAAAATTGGATACTATATTATGCTGTAGACTGTAATTGCGTATATGTGGTTGTTATGGTAGAACAGCGTACAAACTGACTTAAAGTAAAGTGAGGAAATATTAATACTACTACTGCTACTCAACGATATCCTAGATAGAAATCAACGATATTTATAATTTGAAGACAGCATACATGCAGAAAAAGGATTGTAGGATTAAATACAACAAATGGGTATATCATAGTAGACTATGTACTAGCGAATGATTGTAGAAAGGAATAAAACTATACGGGCTATAAATAACCAAGGCAAGCTATATATGAATATATTGCAACAAAACTGTAGCAGGTAGCTATGTTAACGGTTATGTTTAAGAATATAGTAGTTACAGTACAAACTAAATACACTACAAGTGCCATCGACGTAAACGTATCAGGCTCTGGTAGAAAATAAGTAGTTGCGGCATTATATAGTCTACCTTAATTATGTAATCCGATATTGCCTAAATCTATTCCTATTAACTGAAAATAAAATGCTAATCTGATATCTACAGTATTGATAGTTACTGCAATAACTATTAAAATGAAAGATAAAAACAATAAAAATAAATTAATCGCGGTGATCCCTTTCTTTATTTAATCTTGTATCACTGCATTGAATAATACCGTGCATGACTGATGGCTACTGACAATTTGGAGGCCTGTAAAGTTGCGTAATATTACTAGCTATCATTTTTACATCTCTATGCTGATGTGATAAAAATATCTTATTAAACATGCAATAAGAACTACAGTTTCTTGTAATACTTCATTTTATTATGTCATGCGCGTATAATTATAGTCTTAAGCTTATTTGGGACTGCCCTACAGCTGAATAAAATAAATTGTTTGACAGCCATTTTGTAAAGATCGATACATTGCAGGAAAGCGACTCAGGAGACTGTCAATCCTATTCGTTATGAAATTAGGATTTTAAATGCTATCTTGCAGTTTTGTCACTCATGGTAGTACCATATTTATCTATGGACTAGCATACCTTTCCATAATTAGTCGACATTGTTTGTAAGATCGATCTCCTTGTTCTATCTCGCCTACAGTGAAGTGTATGCAATGATTTCCTCTACGGAGTAACACTATAGCATTTCGCTCGACGAAGTCTAATTATAATTGTCAGTTTTTATTGTCAAAATAAATATGCCTGAATTGGAGACGTAAAGGTATGCATTATCCATAGCATTGTTGAAATTCAATAACTTGGCAATTTGGATCACTGATTGAATTTCCTTAATATTAATCGCGGACAATAACAGTCATGATTTGATATTATTAGTATGTTATTAATGATTAAGAGTTAACTTTGATTACTACGGCGTAAAACATATTGTTGAACGTTTTATTGTCCTGTAGTTCTTCTGTTGACTTTCGTAATGACTTTGACCCTCATTGCAGGAGTCCCACAGGGGACCAAACGATTTGAAACAACATCTGTTTATATATATGTTAGTCGGCCCTTCCTAGGAATGGGCGGTCATTCTTAGAAATGGCCGCAATCTTAGCATTGGCCGTAACCAATCTTAAGGACAAAATCATTCTTAGGAATGCCCTTAACATATATATTCATGTTGCACGCGGTCAGGATCAATTTAATATTTTTGTTTTGTAAAGTTATTGGAAATTATGTTGTATGATGATGGCTAGCACTGTCCTTCTTGTATCCATGCAGTCCTTGCACTTTGTGCATACTGTGTGGTATGTATGTACAATTAATTACAACCAGATCTCTTTGAGGACAATCAAATCAATAGCGCTCTACAAGTTATTGTTCCATAAGGCCTAGACCTGTTTTCTTCACGCCTTCAAGGCAATTGTCCTCTTCCAACTATCTGTCATACAGCAGAAACTATCATTTGTTCATTAGCATGATTCTATTAAAGATGGAAAGAATACTTTATCATTATCTTCTCCCTCTATTATTTTGCTATAGTAGGCAAATTCAAATTACATAATAATAAATTACATAATCTTCAATGAATCGTGCATCAATTCATCCTATCTTGCTATTATTGGATGAATAATATCCAGCCATATCTCTATCGCTAACGTTATTCTTTCAACATCGCTTATGTTCAATGTATAATGTTTTACTTATTCGATGGGCGTTAAAATATTATTTTGAAAGAAAGCTGCTTAACCAGAGTGAATAAGCGTTATATCATAAGCGGCCGCGCTATAACATCTAGTTTTGTCTGGGGATTGAAAGGGCAGGAGAAGGTTAAAAAAAACTTGTATTCTTAAACAGACAGTCTGGCATACAGATTACCCTCTCTCTCTCTTAATTCTAATCAATAATCCGGATGTTTAACATAATCGTTCAAAGCCAGTCTATGTATCGGCACGACCGCCAAGGAAATGAATAGCTCGCCTTGGCAGTGATTATCATTTCCTCAGTTGAATATTAGTATAGCTACCATATATGAATCATATTGAATGTTTGTGGGCACTGTAAAGCATACAGGAGTATTCTTTTCCTTCTTCATTTCTTATTGAAGTCTTAACTTTATGTAGATAAATAGGGAAGAGAGTAATTATTAACGGAGAGTGGTGAACAAAGGATAGTAAATGGTTTACAAACTCCAGGACGTAGATGTAATTCATCTCAAGACCACCCTAATAACTTACGTCATAGCAAGTCGCGTTAGAAAATAAAAGCGATTGTTCCGAAGCAGACGTTGCATAAGACAGTGTAGTTTGTTATTTTTCTAATCCCTTTTTAATTTATTAATTATTTCCTTCAACCGCTTTCCTTTCGCGGTCAAATAAATTTCAATCGCAAGGCGAGAAAGTAAAATGACGAACAATTCAAATCATCAGGAGGAACTGATCGTCGAGAGCGACCAACGTGAGGCAAATCACAGCAGTGCTAATCAGGTAGGATGCACGTAGCTTTCTTTCTCCTTCAAGTAAATACGTTTATGTCAATATGTACTTTAATCAACTTGCCATACATCAACAACGATCGATAGCGTTCTGTAAGGTAACAAGAATTAGACACGCATATTATTTAATCGTCATGATAGATATCCGAGAGATACGAGATAGATTAGGATGATAAAATAGATTGATAAGGAGAAAAAATACTAGTAGCAGTCGATAATATAGTACACGATCGAGACATCAATAGTCAAATCAATTAAAGATAAAATGTTCATACGCTATGAAATGATAGCCGATGTTCATGTCTAATTAATTCTCATCATTTTATTCATTCTTTCATTTGGACTCAAAGACATCCCGACATGAAAAGAAAAGCCTTAGTAAGTATTCTATCCAAGGCATTAGGCAACAAGATATGAAAGACCTAGTTTGTCTTGATAACAGATTAATCTCTTATAGTTGATAAATTCCCACTACAACTAATCTGACTTGCTTTATAGTTGTTTTTAAGCTTCATGAAGTTCCTCCAATTATGTTTACCATTGGCCTAGCATTCCAAGTAATCGTGTAGTATTATGCAAAGTACAATAGACTACCGATTTAATGGTAGTTATGTAGCTAGTACTTGTACTGTTTTTATTTTTTCATTAAATATTGAATTACCATTTCGATACTTGTTAAAGGTCAACGTTATTCTACAATAACTAATTAAATAATTTATCCGATCCTACTATTTTCCGGCAGCATTATTTAACCATGTTTGGTGGTACTATTTCATTGCCGTTTGTTGTATCGGCTCCGCTTTGCATTGGTAACAATAATCCATTAGCCATTAGCGATTTAATTTCCACTGTTTTCTTTGTTTCCGGCATTGCTACCTTATTGCAAGTAACATTTGGAGTCAGGTTAGTTTACATTCAATAAAGCGTATCAATGGTTCTTCTTAATGTATTGATATCTTTAATAGATCCGTACAATTTGATGCTATAGTAAAATTGATTGTACCTCATAAAGCAATAAATTCCGTTGTGTTTCCACTCTTAGTCGTTAACGTTAACACGAGGAACTTTGATACACTCCTACTAGTAAGCTTACTGAAAAAGTCCCTTTTATTTAGGATTTACTGCATTTAAATAGTATAGCTGTAATGGCGTATTATACCCTTATCTTAGTAATTCATTACCTTATCTTATGCTAACACGTTAGGTGCAGTACAACAAGTCACTGTATTCTTACATACATAACAAATTCTACTTCTGCATTATAAAAAGTCCTATGCTTTTATGCAAAGTGATTTACTTAATTTTAAGAAAGCCCCAATTAGAATTTCTTTCTCTTGCATAGTAGAGGTATAACTTAATTTCAATAATATTCATTCACACTACTTTATTTGATCTGTTTGTTGGCTTTTCTTCCAAGATAATACAGTAGGGATTATAAGGTTGTTATGGCTTGAATAATTACGTCGACCATCCAAGCTTAACCTACCGATTTAAATAGTAGTTGCTCTACCGTACGAATGTTCTATACAGTATAGCGTCAATTGATACCCATGAATAAATTTCTTCATCATTACTACTTTATCCTCAACAACGCCATGGTAGTACAATTTGTCAACATAATACGAACGATAGAATCAATATCTTCATGATTTAAATATACCGGGTATTAGTCATTAGCCTTTGATATCTGTTATGTTCTCTGGTCATCGATCGTTTCTTTAGCCTATTTGATTCAGCCAAGCATTTTAAAAGTAGATTGTCCATTAATCTGTAATCATTATATTGATTATTAAACCAACAAGTTGTATCCAATTCATTTACAGGCTACCTATCGTACAAGGAGCATCGTATGCCTTCGTGACACCAACTTTCGCTATAATGTCGCTTGAGAAATGGAAAAGTACATGTAGTCCCAATACTGTACCTTGGGCGAGTAAGTCATGATGCAGGATATTTACTAGCTATCTTTTCATAACTCAATCATCATTTCGATTTTTATCATATTACTAATCAAATAGAATACACTTTTATTGATTCTTTATAAACATAAATAATAGTAGCCAAGATAGCACTAATAATGTAAAAATTCAATGATGTTCTACTTAATAATTCATGTAGATTTGACATTAGACCAGCAAAACAATCAAACAGAAATGTGGCAGTCTCGTATTCGAGAGGTAATTTACTCCTGTCCTTATAGATAGTCAGGGATACCCATGGAGCAGTAAGATAACGAATTTGCATACTACTATATAATTCCAATCAACTATTTTTCATCATGTCTAACGATTCTACGTAAACAATTCATTCTTTTCAAATGTTTTTATCTCGCTAATAACTTATGCAAATTTTAAATAAATTAAGAAAAATTGCTTTCTATGCGTAAAAAATTATTATCAATGCATATGTTAAGATTCAAGGTGGAATCATGTTGGCATCGCTGTTTCAAGTAGTCATTGGGTTTACCGGCTTAGTTGGTCTTTGCCTACGATTTATTGGACCTATTACTGTTGCTTGCACAATCACTTTAGTTGGATTAACGCTAGTTAGTACAGCGACCCTTTATGCATGTAAGAAAATAATAGATGTTTACAATCTTGTCGATATAAATTCTAAAATATATGAAACAACTGACAATCCTGTTTTTCAGTAGCAATAAAATCTTTAAAGTAAATTTAAATGCCGAAATTCGGATACTAACTATGATAATAAATTTGATTACAGCTTCTAATTGGGGCATAGCAGTATTGTAAGTAAAAACTCCAATTAATTAAAACCATCAAATTACTAACGCTACCATCAAAAGTTGTAACAATTGTAGCCGTTCATAACAATTTGTCTAATATCTATTAAAAAATATGGTAGGACAATTTTCTTTGTAACCCTTTTCTCTCAAATTCTGGAGAAATATGCTGTTCCACTACCAGGTTATCAGAGAGGCAAAGGCTGTTATATCAGTAAAGCTCATATATTTAGACTCTTTCCGGTAAGAAAATCTCGATTACTAACAGTGATTAATCGCTAGTAATAGATTAGTATATTGCAATAGGTAAATTTCAATCGGTTACAAAATTATGTGAATCAGTTGCTCTCTATATATAAAACGTTAATTTTAACCTAGGTGCTATAAATATTTCATATTTTATAATAATGATAGGATAATGGTACAGAAATGAAGCTATGACTTTCTCTTATAAAAATTTAAATTAAAAAAAAAAATAATAAAGTAATTTTAAGATTGATGCAAGTAAAATTTTAACGGTTTGCATTGCTTCCGATTTTTTCGTGCTGGGAGCCAACTATCATTAGAACACGAGATAACAATGTTCTTAATAATTTTTTTCTGAATTAGGTGTTACTGGCTATTATAGCATCATGGGTAGTTTCGGCCATCCTTACAGCTGCTGGTGCGTTCACTTCTGATCGATCCAATCCGGGCTATTTCGCTAGAACTGATGCAAGAATTGCTGTATTGGAAACTTCACCATGGCTTCGGTTCCCGTATCCTTGTATGATAATTTTATTTACAAATCACTACAATTTTAGTAGATAATAATATAAATTCATTGTTAATATACCCTAGTGATGAAATCGCTTCTTTAAATTCACTAATATGATTGCCTTTTAATCGCCTCATCTTACCTGTACCTTCTATTTAATATTTTAGTCCAATGGGGCATACCTACTACTTCTGTTGCCGGTGTATTTGGTATGTTGGCAGGGGTTTTAGCGTCTATGATCGAGTCGATTGGCGACTATTATGCTTGTGCTAGACTTGTTGAAACTAGACCTCCTCCAAAGCATGCTATTAACCGTGGTATTGGCATGGAAGGAATCGGATGTGTCTTAGCTGGTATGATTGGTTCAGGTGCCGGAACAACCTCCTACAGCGAAAATATAGGAGCTATTGGCATAACAGGGGTATGATATATTTATTGCTAATATAGCTTTTTCAAATACAAAGAATGTAAAAATTAATACTGTGGGTGCCCATTTTCTATCACGTTTGGACGTTCATACATATGCGTAAATCAATTATATCGAGTAATTTGATCGCTTTAAGATATTTATCGATATAACTAAATCATTAGAAAAAGACTCATTGACTGCGGAAATACTATTTTACGATAATAAATTGTATGGTATAAAGGGATTAGTAGTATTTTTAACAAATACAAAATTTTACAAATTGTACAGAATGAGGGATTGGTAGAATCTTGAATAGTTATAATTCTATAATGCATTGCCGTAGTAATTCGCGTGCCATAAAAATATCTTAGCTTTCTTACATCATTATGAACTAGCTCTAATTTTGTCCTGTATCGATATATTAAAGGTTGCTAGTCGAGCTGTAATCCAGTGTGGATCAGTTATAATGATCGTGTTAGCCATAGTAAGCAAATTTGGAGCACTCTTTGCTTCTATACCCAATCCTGTTGTTGGTGGCGTATTCGTTATTATGTTTGGAATGGTGACGGCAGTTGGAATATCAAATTTGCAGTTTTGTGATATGAATTCTCCTAGAAATGTCTTTATTGTTGGTTTTTCTATTATCTTTGGTATGGCTTTCCCTACTTGGTTGAGCACTAACTCGTCCGTAATTAAAACTACCGTACCCGAACTTGATCAAATTATTGTTGTTTTACTCAGTACTAATATGGCCGTTGGAGGAGTAACGGCCTTAATCCTTGATAATATTATTCCTGGCACTTTAGAAGAACGTGGTATGCGTGCATGGTTTCAAGAAACTGAAAATAAGTCTGGTAAAATGACTGAAGAATACGTGAAAGAAATGAAAAAAACTTACGATCTCCCATTCGGGATATCGGAATTCTTTCGTAGGTTTACTTGTTCAAGCTATATACCCTTTTGTGCACCACATTACGATATAGAAGAAGAATCAGAACAACACAGAGACTTAGAAATAGGAAAAATCATCAATACTAGCAGCGTATGAGAAATGGCTTAGATTTGGACTGCGATAGTTGTTAGTTGCTCTAGTTTCATACTACTCATTTTACAGCTATTTTCAATATAAATAATAACAATTAATAATCTTTGCTAGTTACTATAGAGTGAAAAAAAGTACCAATTTTAATTATTCCGGTGTATTTATCTGGTAAAATATGTTAGTTTTCACCTCTACGAATATAAATGATATTATAATTCGCTGAATATAGCGGCAGCAAATTTTAAAGTTATTAAAGGCGTGTTTGTTCTGATATTATTTATTTACAATATTATTATTGTAGTGGAACAAACTGCTTGTACCTACGTTTTATTTTTCACTTTTTGCATGCTTCCTATTATTTATCAAAATACTAGCAACTAAAAAATAATAAACTTTAAACATGTAATACTTACTATTGTATGATAATCAAAAAAGTCAAGAAATACTAATATTTTATAACCTCATTTAATTTTTTAAGAAGCTAGTTACTGATCAAAATTAGCTAGCACTTATCCTGTTGAATAATTAATTGAATAGTATTCGAATCACTGCGACTTCGACTATTACCATAGTGTCAATAGCAATGCGAAGACACTCTATTTCTATTTCTGTATACAACATTTGCGTACTTACAAGTAGAATTCTTCAGTAAATCGTTGCCTTGCCTGGCCAACTCATACTATCCATTTTGATTCACTTAACCTATCATTTCATTCATTTTGCTGCTACTTCGTGAACTCTGCGAGACGCTTTATGGCCATTGGATCAGTTCTACATTCGGCCAATCAATAAAGTATCTTATGCACTGCAATACTTCGGCAAAGGGTAGACACAATCAATCATGATGATTTTCCAATTTTATCTAAAATTGTTTGGGAATGGTTCGTAACTATTGTCTACGAGTAGTTTTTGGATAAAATTTTATGTGGACGAATGTAATGAACTACGGATGCTGCATTCTGTATAGCAAATTAAATTCATTACTTTAGAATAAATAATTCTACATTAGCAATAACAAATCGTTAGTATATCTTACTTGTGTCCGATGATAATCTAAATAGAAATCAGATACAGGCTTAGCAGACTATCTGGTAGATGCTAATAGATTAGATACTTCACATTTCGGTGTAATATTGATTAGTGAGTAGTTAAGAATGAGCAGTTTAGCCAAATAAATGTATCAGCATAAATTGTCACGAAAGTTATACTTCAAAGTAGTCTATTAATGCTCAAGCATGTCAATAGATTATGTGTCGTATTAAATATCTGTTATGGGAGTGTAGTCAGCTTTACTTTCAGACATATCGGCTCCTTTTGAAAGGAGCAAGTTAAGACTAGTATGCATAATTAAGAATTCTCACATAGCTTAATTATATGTAATTATGATTGCTGTGCAGAGACATTATGCATATTAGTGATTGATTAATATGCATTAAATAATTGCTTTAGTTCGTGCAAAAAATTGATGAGTATCTCGTATATTCTATCTTGATACATTTGTTTACTATATGGAAAATTAAAATTAAATTAATGTGCAGTAATTGCTACTTAATATTTACATTAACTTCTATATAGAACTATTCTATCTTTCAAGTGTAGGATAATGGTTTGTTAAATGGAAATTTACGCTGGAGAATTTAATCTTCCACTGGTTATTAGATTTACAGGATGTGAATTTCGTTCCGATCCAAGGAAAAAGTATCAGGGTATTTTAGGGTTAAAACTCAGTCCCTAGCAGTAATCTAAATTACTTAATTTGCCTTTTGATGTGATATATGTTAAAGTAGGTCCACTTTTGTAGATCCAGATATTAGTAAGTACGTACATACTGTATAAGTAGTTTAGAGAGTCTTTTTCGCCTATGCTATATACAGGATTATAATTTCGCTGAAAGAACCGTCTGTTATGCTGTGATTAGTATCACTGAAATCTCATTTCGTTATTTATTATATGTTCTATATCAGAAAACGTTCATTCCTTTCCATATTTCATTGCTTTTCGTAGTCAGGTGATCAGTTCAGCCGATATTATCGTAACATATATTTTTAACAATAATATAATCAATCATTTCTGATAATATTATTTATTTCCTATTCCTAAAAATCTCTATTTATTTCTTGATGGTAAGGATGACTAATTGATGACGATCCCTAACAGTAGGACCAATGAGAATAGAAAACTTTGCCTGTAATCCGAAATTATTGACATAATTAGGATGTGCAGCACCCAAAATGTTTCAATAGCTTTTTTCTTAAAGGAGTCCAAGAGTGCAGTATACAGAACTTTACAGTTTAGCACTTTTATTCCTAAATAGCCCTAAGTATTCTTATACCCTAAACTGTATTACTCTTTAAATAAAATTACTCGTGTAATAGCGTAATAATTACATATGAACCATCTGCGTTCTATCAACTCCTCAAATAACAGTATATGTCATGGTCCATGCCCGGGCAACGTACTAGAAAACGTTCATAAGGACCGTGACATATATAGAGCACACTGAAGTATTTTACAATCCATAAACTAAGTACGCAAAGTATCATGAACATGGGTGTCACGGTCTGGGGTTTACTAGTTATTATAAAACTATAGCACACTCATACAGCTTACTTTTATATATTCATTGCAGAATTAGATATACGCGTATTAACTAATAGTCGCTATCGAACTGATGGATAGAAGATATCCGAGAACTGGCGAAACTGTACTATGAACTTTTTAGTGGAAGCACCGGCAATCGATGCATTTTATAATTATTAAGTTCATACTGGATAGTTATTATTGGATTTAAATGTTATTGATACAGTTGAAAGCTATTTATATGAAATTTTATTTGACTATCTTGATGGACAGAAATACATGTACTAGTTACACGCATCTGCAGGACAAGATCAATAGATTCTAGAACGTAGAACGAACAGATTTCCACATACACTACAACCACCATTAGTCTCAATAAAATTATTACTATCAGTATGCATATATAAGAAGTTATATTAAAAATTATTTCAAGCTCTAAAGTCGATATGATACGCAAAGCCTCGAATTTTAACTATTAAATCTTCCGATGGAGTTGAAGAATTTCAGTAGTAATAGTGTTTCATATTCTAGAAAAATCTCGGTGTTGTTTTATCACTTTTTCAAAAGCATTTTACGTTACTTATACTTATTTATGATAATTATAATATGAGCTATCTAATGTTTGGATAGAATATTTGTTAGATAATTTTGGACAATTATGGCTCTTGTAAGGGTACTCGACGAGTAAGCCACTAACCTAATAAAGCGATGTAGTAGTTTGAAAGACAATATTTAAACATCCCATCTTTATAGATAATACCATTTAATAGAGTTTTTAACAGCAACTGCAATACCGTGGCATAGCGATAGATCATTTATGTATTGTTTCGGAAAGATTGAAATGCTTTCCTACTACATCATTTCTTAACAAGCCTTTGAGATATATCTAGATTATTTAAATAAAAACAATATGTCACGACCGCACAGTATTTGAATTATGCTGTATACGTATATATGTGTGTCGACCTAGTTTACGATCGGATGTTGAATCTTAATCAGAATTACTTTAGATGTAGAGTTGATTTATATCTAATAATAGAAAAAACTTTGAGCTAACTTTGCATGACAAAGTATTTTTTAACTATGAGGAAAAAATTCTTACGCATGATATCGTTGCTTGATGTACCACACCCGTTTATTATTTAAAAGATTGTCGCGTAAAAAATATCTTTTACTTATCTTGTGAAATAGTTTCAGAGAGTTTTAAAATAATAATCAATCTGTGAACTTATCCAATCAGCGATAATTTACCTGCAACGTGAAGATGCCTCCTACGGGTAATACTCAGCGAGTTTAAATTATAGTTCAATTTTAATAGCTACCAAATATTGCTGTTTTCCAATTGGATTGATACCATATCGATGATAGCGCTGACCTTAAAATTTGATGAAATCTTTGTACATTACAATGACATCTACTAAAATACCGGATAAAATGTAGAATGGATCGTTCTGAACAAATTAGGCTTTGAATGAATTTCAATTTTTTCTATTAATGGTAACAAACAATTCATAGCATTCGTGACCACATAGCGTTGCAAATAAACTACGTCAGACCACATGCCTAGCTTTAAGTTTGTGATTATTATTAAAGACAAATTATTCGGCTGTTTAAATTGCAAAATTGGTTTATATTTCTCTGATTGTGCTGGATAGTTGCATTTGCTTTTTAGTACAATCTAAGAAAACAATTATACACTGTCCAATATGGCTGACGATCAAGACTCACCCCATGTCCAAGATAATGAAGAAACTTATTTGGACGAAGAAGAAGATGTACGAAATACAAGACTGTACTATTAAAATATTACTATCAGCATATTTGTATAGTACAATATAGCTACTCTAACTCTAGATTTAACCCTAGTCTGAGCTCTTTTCTATATTAATTTTCTCGTAGTATTTATTTTACGATTGAAAATAAATTAGCAAGGCTTTCTTCACGAACTAGCTACATTTAACGCGTTTCATAATACTACTACGCACATTATTCGTGTATTTAGAATCTAGGATAAGCTGAACAATTATCATATTAACGATTGTAAATTATTCTACTCTAGCTACACTATAAGTAGAAAATAGGACGCTAATTTATTTTAAGGGTATTGTTAGATAGGTTATGTCATTTTGCATAGAATTTCACTCTTCATTGAACACTTTTATTATCACGTAAATAACTTCAATTCCATTTATTTTAACTTGCGCCTACTTCATTTGCTGATTATGGGCATTTTAACCACTAGGCAAATAAGCCAACAAGTAAGTAAATAAGACAGACTATACATTAAACTATTGAAATTTTCTTGATTTAAATTACCGAGTTAATATCTTTATTAGTTATCTATAAATTGGAGGAGGTACCTTCCATACTTGTTACTATTGGGCTCGGTTTGCAGGTGAGCAAAGCAGCAGTATAGTTTGAATATGATATGAAAGATGGCAATTAGATTTGTTTGTTATACATATATGTAATCAATGCTCAACATTCGTACGATATATTCATTCAATCTCAATTTGATTTTTTTACAATTTAGCATTACTTAACCATGTTTGGCTCCACTGTTTCAATTCCATTCGTTTTGGCTGCGCCTCTGTGTATTGGAAATAATCCTCTGGCAATTAGTGATTTGATCTCTACAATTTTTTTCGTTTCCGGGATTAGCACTCTCTTACAATCGGTATTTGGTATCAGGTAAAACTTTAGCCTATTGCTATTTGCGTTATCAATTTGTTAGCGAGTGTTATCGTAGTTTGATATAGCTTCGACGTTATAACCGCATACAAGCCCAAACAGCTCAATTAGTAGCTAGTATTGCAATTCTTACTGAGTCTAATTTAATATTGATAATCCTAGTACGAAGAGGTTGATTGAGAATGACATCATGGTGAAAATTATATCTATATGTTAGAAATTTGAAATATTAATTATTCACCTGTATCCTCACACCTAGATTGCCAATTGTCCAAGGAGGAACTTTTGCTTTAGTAACTCCAACCATTGCCATAATGAGCCTTGATAAATGGAAATTATCATGTAGTCCTAATGTGGTTCCATTTGACAGTAAGTTAGCCATGGTATCTTTACAGCTAAGACAGCTAAATTAAATCGGATACCTACACGTAATATGACTATTTGGCGGTCTCAATACAACTATCACCCTTTTACAATAAATTTACATATAAGATATTGACTATTACGACGAGAGTATTAAAAATAATGCATTTCTATGCTGTAGAAGGTTTTATTACCCCTATATCGTATAATAACAAATTATTCTTTAAAATAATAGACCTTACCGTAGCACAACAAGCTATTCAAACTGAGATGTGGCAATCAAGGATGAGAGAAGTAAAATAAATTTCTTAAAATTCTGTAATTTTGCAAATTGCCAAGTATAGATCAATCGAGTGGTTGTTAGAATAGCCATTTTTTGGATAGCTGGAATAAAGTCAATTTAATATTTTTCTTGCTATATTGAAGTTATCTTATACTATAGTGATTGCAATAATATTAGTATGTTGATTAATTACCTACTTTTATTAAACTATAATATGTAGATTCAAGGCTCAATCATAATATCATCATTTTTTCAAGTCGTAATTGGTTTTACTGGATTAATGGGCTTGTGCTTGAGATTTATTGGACCTTTGACTATAGCTCCAACTATCGCTTTAGTTGGGCTAGCTTTAATCGACGCTGCAAAATTTTATGCATGTAGGGTTGCATTAATCGTTGATTGTTGCTTATTATTGATGATCAGTTTTCGTCTTAATCACATCATTATGGGCTGATTTGTTACCTGATCAGATTTATATATTTTGGATTACGGCCTTAAAATCAATCGGTTAATTTTTAGTAGTCAGTATTCGCTACAAGATCATAATGGAATTAAAACATATGGAATAAAATTGACTGCTAAGAATTTTGTTTAAGCCATTTTTTTTTACTTTCTTCCTTCTTCTTCAGCCTCACACTGGGGTATGGCGATTTTGTAAGTTAAAATAGCAAATATACGTATAAAAAAATTAACGTCATTAAAGCTAGAATTTTTCAATTTATTTTAAATGCCCGCATATTGCAATTTATAACCAATTCCTGCTACTTCATGAATATTAAAAATGATATTTTATTCACGTTATAGGACGATTACTTTGATTGTTCTATTCTCGCAATATTTGGAGAGATTTGCAATTCCACTCCCGGTCTACAACAAAGAAAAGAAATGCCACATTGGATGGATTCATGTATTCCGACTATTTCCTGTAAGTAGATAATCACTATTGGCGGTATTTACAGTGCTAGAACTTAATTGATTACTGCTATCATGACATTATTGAGCTTTATACGCTAATTTACATTGCAGGATTGTGATTATTGTACCCTAATTTTAACCTGTTTAATATCTATATCATTAATACATAATGTAGTCTATTTAGAAATATTTCTTTAATCGTCCTAGTGTAAATTACGTTTTTTATCTACGTAAACTGACTGTGCAGTTTTTCTTTTTACTACTGTAGTCATTAGTATAGTAACTCGCATGTTACTGCTGAGTGGCAATGTGAGCCGGATAAGTTAAAGAATGATATTGTAAACGGGTACTGTTAACGCTCTCATTTCTTTTTCAATTTATGATATATGCATAGGTATTGCTTGCGATCATTGTTGCTTGGTGCATTTCAGCCATTATTACAGCTGCCGGTGGGTTTCCTGATGATCAAAATGCACCTGCCTACAGGGCAAGAACAGATGCGAGAGGATCAGTTTTAATAAATTCTCCCTGGATTCGTTTTCCTTATCCGTGTAAGTTTGGCTTATTGATTAAAAGACTGAACTTTTCAAATTTTATCCCTCTATTTTTGCTTTAACAGTATACAGATTTAACCTGCCAGGGTTAATACTCTTAAGTATCCATAAATATTGCATACAGAATAGATTTGATGATAAAATAGATTGTCGGAACTATAAATTAACCCATTTTGATTATTTAATAATTAATTGTTTAATCTTCAGTTCAATGGGGGCTACCTACTGTATCTGTTGCTGGGGTATTTGGAATGCTTGCTGGTGTTTTAGCTTCCATGATTGAATCACTAGGTGATTATTATGCATGTGCTAGGCTTGCTGGTACTCGACCGCCGCCACAGCATGCTGTAAACCGTGGCATCGCCATCGAAGGCATAGGTAGTATCTTAGCTGGTATGATCGGGTCGGGAAATGGAACAACTTCTTACAGTGAAAATGTCGGCGCTATCGGTATTACTAAGGTAAAGCATCCCTAAGAAAGCTGCAGTAATTGAGCTGTTTACAGTAAAAAAAAACACACACGAAGGATCTTGTTATCATTTCCAGCTATATTACAAAAACAATGTAACCAGCCACTACTTATTTAGAGACTAATCAGCTTGAGAAATACGTTTACTCGTATAACTATATTTTAATTAGAAACAAACAATCTTATAGAAAGTGAGAGAATATGACGTAGCCTTGTTTCTCATCCAACAATAAATTATATCAATATCATCACTCAATTTATAGGTAGCAAGTCGCGCTGTTGTTCAATGTGGAGCTATCTTGATGATTATATTGGGTATTTTGAGCAAATTTGGAGCATTATTTTCAACTATTCCAGATCCTGTTATTGGCGGTGTATTTATTGTCATGTTTGGCATGATCACTGCGGTTGGATTGTCCAATTTACAGTTTTGCAATATGAATTCTTCTCGCAATATCTTCATTACCGGTTTTTCGATCATCTTCGGCTTGGTCTTTCCAAGTTGGCTTGCAACGGGCAATAATGCCGAATCTATTGATACTACCGTTCCAGAATTAAATCAAATCATTGTCGTTTTACTTAGCACCAGTATGGCCGTGGGTGGAATATTGGCATTTATACTGGATAATACTATACCAGGAACGTTAGAAGAGCGTGGCATGCATGTATGGCTTAAAGAAGCGGGTAGTAATTCTGCCCGCGATAAACGTATCCAAGCAGAAATACGCAGGGTGTACGATCTGCCATTTGGTTTAACTAAATTTTTTCATAAGGCTTCTTGCACAAGATATTTACCATTTTGTCCTCCTCGCCATGAAGATGATGATGTTCATGTTGCAGTTGGCAAAAATGCCGACATGGAAGCGGGAGCAGTTGGTGATGATCAATTGTAACTGAGCGATAGACTGTTTATGGTTAGTGATTTGAAAATAGAAGCCTGTAGTAGACATTATTATTTGAATGCAAGAAAGAAAAGAACAGTTCTAAAAGTATGATGTTTCCTTTACATTTATAATACTTTAGGATTATAGACACCATACAATAATACATAAAAATGAAAGTATTGATTTATAACCGTCCGTGTTAACAAATTAATTTGAATTCCAGTTGACATCCTATTAGACTTGGCTAATGAATTTAAATTTTGTCGGAATACAGTTAGGACAACTCAGAGTGTCAATGTTCAATTCCTCTACATCAAACCGATAAAATGATAATTTTATTATGAATTTCTTTAATTTATTACTTGTAGTTAACTGATATTTGGAGGTCAAATGATGTCATGTTTATTAATACGAATAGTAGTTAATGATCATGTGTTATTGAGCTCTGGTGGATATGCCTTTCACATTCATCAAGTGTGTTTCTTGCTATATATTGAATAAAATAAAGTTATTGAATGAACATCCTCATTCTAATGCCTACCAAGCACCAGTAATGTCCAGTAGTAAAGAGTCGAATGAATAAGTTTTGAGCCATTTCAGTTTTAATAGATAGCCTATTTTATAAGGGATTTTTCAGTGATTTTATATACTTTTATATCAATAGTGATGTTATAGCCCTTTTATTTTAGTCTTGGAAGTAATTTTGGTAGTATAAAATCAAGTAGTACCCCGGTCGATCATCAGATCGACCATAATTGTCTTTTATGTATCCTTGCTATTAGCAAGAGTGGATAGGGATCTTAAGACATGGCGCTTTAGAATGTAGTGGAAGTAGTTTTTGTTAACTGGCTTACGTTGGGCTGTTGGAGCCAAAATGCGCCAGTCCAAACTGAAGATTCAGTTGAAGATGATATTGTAGTGGAATACAGCTAGCTTAGCTACGGGCTAACCTAGAAAGAGTGTTTATGGTTGTTCAATATCCATGGTTGTAGTGAGCATGCTATAAAATGGTCTTTCAGAGATCAGCAAGCTAAACCCATACTACTTCAGGTAGAGAGGCAAGAAGTAGAACGATTTTGCACTAGCGTTGTAAGTTCTAAGCTAAGAAATATCGATTTCTGATCTACTCCTACTCTTGATATAAGAAAGATTCTCTGCAATCCGAAGACAGAGGTAAGTGAGTATTTGCATTTTTCTTCTCTGACTAATATAAAGTAATCTCAACGTAGCTCTAGCCCATATAACAACACTTGATCAGAAGCCTACAAGGCGATTTCTTTTTGTTTCTCCAGCCATCTTTATTTCAGCATTATCAATGATCTGTTCAACACTGTAAGCATGTATTACACTAGGCTACAGTATGCAGGTAGAAGTGCCTGGTCAATGATGATATCGCCTAATGTAATGATTTTGTCACTCATTTCTCATCAAGGTGTTCAATTTGCAATTAATTACGTACTGTACACATTTAGCCCGTAACGCCATTTTTAAAAATGACAAAAATGGCGGCGTTGGATCAGTAATTTGAAAGGGAAATGGACCACTTTGAGCAACTAGAATTCCTTGAGAATTTCTATCACGAGACTGCCACTCCTACTGTATACCGTACTCAGTGTAGTATACTGTATACTAAAGCGTGAAGCTGTTGGGAAATATTGAGTTTTAAAATTGATTTTTTAAGCAATTTATATTTTATTCTATCTAAAAATGCCTGCAAATAGTGTCCTCGAAAAGAAGCAAGTCATTTTTTTTCTGGACAGGACTAATTAAGCCAGCGAGAGAGGGCCACAGACACCGCCATCACTCTCAAGTCATGAGCGATTTCCGCCATAGACCGCGATGCGCACGCTCAGTAATGAGCAATTTCCGCCATAGACCATGATGCGCATCTACAGTAGTACCGTAGTCCGCGGTACAGTACAGTACTGTACAGTATTTGTTTAACCAGCGAGGCATTTACGTTACAGTACGTTGTACTGTAAAATGGAACAAGTGGTACTGTACATTTCTCTTCAAAGTCCCTTCTTTTTTCCAGTAGTCTATGGTACACTGTACTAACTGGCTATGGTGGATCAGGCCTGGGATAATGCGAAATTAAAAAATTGTTAGTAATTAATCGTAATTCGTAATGGAATTCAATATCTTGTAGTCGGTGATCACTTGCGTGGACCACTAGGACCTTCTTGTGGTCGATGTCACTGGCCAGTCAGGAAACGAGACAGGGGGGTTGGGTGACCCAAATCGGCCACCCCACCCCCTTAACTCCTTTCCTGGCGTTATAGACCACCGTATGACAACAGTAGATTTCCATACAGCACCTACATGCCTACTACTATTCTGAGTATTTGGCAGTCTATGACGCTACCGTAAATCTAGCAGTCGAATGGAAAACAATCCATTTTTCGAAAATATCTGCAATCTACCTCAATTTTTATACTACGCTAAACCAAAAGGATGATCAGTAGGACCACAATATTGGAAAGGCATCTACACGATTTGAGCATGGTGTAGGTATGCAGTGCACCTCAAGCAAAAATAATGTCACTCTACGTGCTTAAAGTGCCACATCGATACATTACAAAATTGCCACCACCTGTGACATCCCTTTTCGTGCATGCGGGATCGCTACAAGCAGTACAAAGTCCAGCGTACCCTACCCTACAGTACGCTGCACTGTACACTGTAAAATCAAAGGACTGCAAGCTGGCACTGCTCCGGTTCGAGCTACCTTGGACCCAGGGACCAACGCCAACTAATAATCATCTGCTTCGAGCTGGAAGAGAAGCGGATTGCCATTGCTGTTCGGTAGCATTGATCTTCATCGAATTCATTTTTAGGCAGCTAGTAAATAGAATTGAAAGAACATCATGTTGTCTGCAAGGCACATCGTCTCTCGTTATTTACCCAGGTGAGACTATACAACGGATAGATTAAGATAGACTAGCATCATATTAATCAATATCTACAAGTCAAAAGGACAATGTTGGCCATCCTGTGCAACTTGTTTCATTTAATCATCAGTAACATGCTCGCTGACTGTCTTCCAAATATCAACATGATCTACAGAATAGAGGCAATATGTTCATGCAAGGAGATGCTGCATATTATGATACAAGAAAATACCTCTTACTACAGTAGTTTGAATGGATGGATGCCTGCTAAAATGCAATTGAAATCGTTTCTATGTCATGATTGAGTATAGTAGACCCGTGAGTATACCTCACGAGCAATGATACCAACAGATGCTCATGGATCCAATTATATTCCATTCAGCAACTACAAAAATCGTACCTATCAAGGCTTATTTTACTCCTGACTTTTTGTAGTGGGTCCAATCTGAAAAGCCAATCTTTTATCGGTACATATGTAGCTGACAATAAGATCAATGCAGCTTACTGTTTTTTATACCCGCAAACAATTCATGAAAGTGAAATGCTGAATCAATCCGTAGAATTAGAATAAAGTAATTTAGCGTGAACAGGTCAAAAATAGAGTATTCAAATAAACTTACAAACCATTTTAAGCCGGTAGACGCATTCATGTTATAACTTAAGCGTATGAGTTGATCTACTTGTAACTCACATAGCCAAAGAAATAGAGTACTGTGCTGTGTTGTAGCGAATGCTAATGATCAAATCGTTTTACCATTGTACTGTACGTTCAGATATCTTCCGTCTGCTTCCGTGAACTATCGACATGATCTTGAATACAGCAATATCCATTGAGGCTGTTATGGCTAAAATGCACTATGGATAGATAGAAACTAGATCGGCGGTACAATGCCCAGTCAAATTGCCTTTAATGCTATTGATTCTCTGCAAAATTACGAATCCTTAGTATGCTTCTTTTTTTGAAAGTTTGAATTTTGAACAATACTCTATTTTGGTAGAGGATATTTCAACCTTCTCATAGAACAATTATAACGATGAACCATGTATCCATGATTATCATTGCCATAAACATCGAGCATTGCTCTCATACTACCTTGACAGTAATATTAATCGAACAATACATGACGGAGATTTTATCATTGTGGAAACTATCAACCCGCAAACAAGTGTGCGCCAAGAATAAGTTTCTTTAAATTGGCAAAACTTCGCAAATTTTGCTCTTGCTTGCTTAGTACTGCAGAGTTTACAACATTATCGTCGATTGACATTCTACACTCTAGTTACCAGCCTAGCTCATTCATATCTGTAGTTTCTATTTTTAATTACTCGTATCTTAGAAATAATCTCCTTTCCTGCAGTAATTACAAGCGCTATATCCGTAGATATGCTAACATGTATTGTAGAGAACTGAAGCAATAGGAGTGAGTATATTTCAGTTTCATCAAAGTCCCAATGCTGATGCAATAGCTAGAGTAAACATAGCATTTGCATATAGAAACTGCAAATATGTAGATATTTGAAATACACGTCATATTGATCATTTAATTAGACTGTATGTAAATTGGTATTTATCACAATCGCCTAGACTTGCTAGGTATTCTTCCGCAGGAATCATTCCGAAAGTCGAAAATGAACCAATTTTGGAGTTTAGACCAGGAAGTGCGGAAAGAAAGGCTGTAGAAGAGGTATATTTCAATCGCTAATTTTATACATACGCGTAAATAATTGGTTATGATGTAAGTCTAGCTGGGCAAATGCTTACAGTATTCAGTGTTAGATAGGTGAATGCACACAATAAATAAATATACAATTAAACAATACAGTTCTCTGATCTTATACGTGCTGCCTAAAGTCACCATTAAGGATTTTTGCGATTATTGCATGTACTATCACTCGATTTTTTTCATTTTAGATCTCTAGTTAATTGATCCATTAATTTAAACAACTCAACAAATTATGAAAATGGCTATTACTTTTATCTCCTAGGCAGTGCGTGAAATGAAAGCAAAAACGGAGGAAATCCCATGCATCGTTAATGGTGAAGAAATCTATACCGGAAATACCAAATATCAAGTTTCGGTAATCTCCTACAAGCTTCTAATATCGCTGATCAGCACTTAAAGCAACCGTTTTCATTTTATTTAGCCTTTCGAACATTCCTGCAAAATCGCCAGATTTCATTTAGCTGATGAGGTATAGCGATATTAACAATCTCTGTTAATATATATTTTTCATCAATCAATTAACTAGTAGGCTAAATATTGAATCGATTAGCTTGGATAATGAATGCGACTATCTATTAACCTGTTCTTTAGGCTCTTATTAACAAAGCAATAAAAAATTCTATGGAGGTTCGCGTAGAATGGGAAAGGACTCCATTTGAGCATAGGTTAGAATTGTTTTAAATTTCTTATTGGAAATAGTTCAATCCAGTCAATGGCAAACAACGTTATTTGTTTTCGTATTCAGAGCATCAATCCTTCTCAAGGCAGCAGATTTAATTAGTACATGCTATCGTGGCAAGATATTAGCTTCTACAATGCTTGGACAGGTAAGGGAAAATATTTTTGGACTTGTCACTTCTGTACAAGTTGATGGATTATATGCTAATTAACCGTCTATGTGTATTATTGGTTAGGCCAAGAATATCCAACAAGCAGAAATTGACGCTACTTGTGAATTAATTGACTTCTTCCGGTTTAACGTGAAGTATGCCAAGGAGATTTATCAAAGTCAGCCTGATCATCCAGTTGCCAAGCATACTTTGAACGCTTTATCGTATCGAGGACTTGAGGTAGCACTCTTATGATATTCTCGATGTGGCAAGTGTAATGTCTTGTAAATAATCAATTTTGTTCATACAAAAGCTCAATACGTCATCTAAGTTAAGACATCATTTCTAATAATGTAGGGATTTGTTGCAGCAATTTCCCCATTTAATTTTACAGCTATTGGTGCTAACTTATGTACCGCACCAGCTTTGATGGTATGGATAGCTCAATCTGTTTTTAGTTCAGTATAGTAAAGCGATCTCTTTAAGAGGTCTCAGCAATTCTTGCTTTAGGAACTTGTGATATTTAAAAGTACGTATTTACTAGGGCAATGTTGTGGTCTGGAAGCCTTCGGATACTGCCATGCTATCAAACTATTTCGTATATAAGATCCTTCAAGAATGCGGATTGCCTGATGGTGTTATCAATTTCGTACCTGCAGATGGTCCTACTTTTGGAGATACTGTAGTCAAATCCAAAGATCTTGCAGCTATCAACTTTACAGGAAGCGTTCCGTAAGCCAAATATTCATTTATACGACATCTTCTCTTAAGTTAACTAATCATTTATGGGTCACATAAAAAGATATCGTACGACTTCAATTCCTTCAATACTATACTGGATATTTTATTGTTTTATATTATTAATAGGATTAATGTAGATTTATCTTCTTAAAATGCGATTAGAATCGGATATATGCGCATATTATTTTATCTTACGTTATGTTGTGAATAAATTAAGAAGCTAAGGCGGATAATTTTTATAGGACCTTCCGACGTTTATGGAAGCAGGTTGCTGAAAATCTAGAAACTTATAGGTTAGTAATTAATAGAGTATTATTAATTTTTATGATTTTTCGGTATTTATATGATGTTTTTAACCATGGAAACTTTCTATATTCTACATGTTGATATCTTAGGAATTTTCCAAGACTTATTGGTGGTGAGTACTTATTTCTTGAATTGATTATGTTATTGGCATTCAATTGTTGATGATTTGCCCTTTAGAATGTGGTGGCAAAAATTACCATTTCGTTCATTCAAGTGCAAATATAGGTATGTTGATCGAAATTAAGATCTTGATAGTCGATATTATTAGTACTTTGTTGAATATTATTGCTAGTAGTAATGGATTTATCTGATGTCTTATATACAGACAGTGTCATTAACGGCACAATTCGTTCTGCGTTTGAATATGGCGGACAAAAATGTTCTGCGTGTTCAAGGATGTATGTCCCAGATAGCAAGTGGGATGAAATAAAATCTAAATTGCTTCAAGAATGTAAAGGAGTTAAAGTTGGTCCCGCTGATGAGTTTGCAACCTTTGTTTCAGCAGTTATTGATGATAAGGCATTTGATCGTATCAAGGGATACATTGATCATGCTAAGAGTAGCCCAAATTTGGAAATCATTTATGGTGGTAGCTATGATAATAGGTAATGTCGCAATCTACGTTTCTAGATGTCAGCAAATTAGTAATTCTCCGCTTTTCTAGGTTGATTACTTTTTACTAAAAGATGATCTTGTAATTTATTACATAGTAAGGGATACTATATTAACCCAACTGTAGTTGTGACGAAGGATCCTCATGACAAAATTATTAAAGAGGTATGTAAGTAAATAAAATGAATGAGGCATGATACTGGCGGCTTAATTCGGCTCTTTAGTAACGTTAGACTTGATTAAGGTTACGTTGGATAATTTTGCTGTTTCTAATAACTGTTGGTTGATTTATAAATTTTAATAGGAAATATTTGGGCCCGTCTTAACAATATATGTATATCCTGATGACAAGATTGAAGAAACACTAAAACTGGTAATAAGAAATCTTTTTATTTTAGTAACCCTTAGTGACTTTCTAATTCAATTATCTGTATAAATTCCAAAATTACGATCGAATAGGTTAGCGACTCTACAGCATTCGCTCTAACTGGAGCTATATACGGCGAAGATAGGTACAATTTTTCTTGAACTATATGAAATAGTAATGACAGCCCTAAATTTCATCATATTATTTATTCGTTCTTAGAAAATTCGTTCAAAAAGCCATGGCTGCTCTAAGAGATTCTGCTGGAAATTTTTACATAAATGACAAGTCGACTGGGTCCGTGGTCGGTCAACAACCTTTCGGTGGTAGCCGTCTTTCTGGTAATCTGATTATTAATATTAGCCGCTTAAAGTAACATTTAGGACCTGTTATTCTCTACTTTCCGTAAACTCACTCAGTTTAGCTTATATTTAATTAAGTGATGCTTGTCAGAATTCTTCGATCAATAATGTAGAATACTGTATGTTAATTCTTGGCTGTGTTGTATTCACGTCATGATTAGTTAATACTGTATTTGAGATAATTAATCAATTAATACTGCCAAAAATATCGAATAGCCAACTATTCCTGAGCATAGGATTGAACAATTGAAGTGTATTGCCTTAGACGTTCGCAAGAGAACGATTAATCTTGCTCTTCGAGTATTTGAAATTTGATAAGGAGAAAAATTTAAATTAGAGTGTAACGTATCATTTCATGGTGTGCAATAAACTTATTAATAAATAAATATAAATCTTCGATTAGGTACAAATGATAAAGCCGGCATGAGCACTTACCTTTTGAAATGGGCCTCACCCCAATCAATTAAGGAATCATTGGTGCCCTTACGCTCTATAAAATATCCTTCCAATGAACCTTAAGAGCTGCGTGTCTAGGCCGATAACATACTATCAACGCAGTGGTGATGCGATTAGAGCAATTCGTTTGGCTTACGTATTCGTTCTTTAAAATTTTAGAATAATGGTAATGGTAATAGCATAAATACGAGTTACTTTTTATTCCATTAACTTCGATATAAATTCACTTGAAACCATCAGTTACTAAAGCTAATAAACTACATAGACTGATTTCTTAAAAATCACAATTAGCCAGGTAAGTTTAGTGCCACACTACATTTCGGTGTGTATGTATGAGGTCTTTTTAGCTATAATAGATATCGACATATTGTATTGCAATCTCACAAAATATATAATAGATAAGCTTATATTGACCAGCTTTTAAAACCAATTGTACCAAATGGAAGATGCATATCTTTCTTGTAAATTAAAATAAAGCTTTCCATTATCAAAATTTTTCTACAAATTTATTATATTATACACGCGACATTAATCTTTTATAAGATTTGAAAGCAACTATAAAAGCTTAGCCGAGTGATTTTAAATTCTCGCTTTGTAATGATATTTCAAGAATAGAGTGTACTGTAAAAATTTTAATTACATGATGCACTAATTTCGGTCTGTGCAAACCGCAGTACCCTCTGTAAAAGCCCTCTGCAATGACTGACCTTGCGCGTAACTAAGTTAACTGATAGATCTCCTTTTTTGGATAGTGCAGCTCTAAGACATAATGAATTGGTCTTTAGGACAGAAAATTCGACAAAACCCTTTATCATGTATTAAATTTTAGAAAGGTAGTCATGCAACATAAGTACAAAATATATTCAGAAATTCTTTTTGCGTAACTGAGCATAAGTGCATGATGATGCCGTTACTCTTGTCCTTGTATTCGGTGAGCTGAAAGTAAATATACCAAAAATTAGCGATAGTCAGCTAGAAGTTCACCCAAAAGTATGTCACCGTACTGACAATAAACTGTATTTACATTGCTTTGGGACGCGTAAAGCTTCTTTTTCATTGATAGTAACTTCATGAGATATTAGACGAAATTCATATTCGATTCGCAACATCTTCTCTTCACCAGGGCATGGGTCGTAAAAGCCTAATATCTCGTTCTAAGAGTAGTTAAATATTACGTTATCCTATTTTATAGCCGATAATATGCTTAAACTTTACTGCTAAATCAATATTCACCTTTTCTCCTTCTGGGATTATTAAGCGAGAATCTTTCACTTGACATTGCAGCGGAATCGTTACATCAATAATTTTATTTATGTCTTCTCGAGAGCTAGATAAAAGCTTCCCAAACCAAGCTCTTACAATTATTAAGCCTGCAATAAAAAAGTACCAACCAATGCTGAAAAATCATTACATCAAGATTTACAGATGTGCCTTTACTGTATACTTACCACCTTTAGATCTTTCACTGTCTACTGATCTATTATAGCTTTCTTCCATAAGTTTTATAGCCGATTCAGCTTCACGTTTCGCTTTCCGTCTCGTTTCTGCTCTAGTTTCAGCATTGTATTTGTCTTCTTCTCGCTTCATTCTCGCTATAAATGGTTTTATGATTAAGGACTGGACTGTCCAATAAGTTAACAATGGAACAACTGTTGCGTAAAAGACAATAGTTCGATCGACTTCTTCAGAGAGATATATGGGCAACTTGTATGTTTGTGTTCCACGCGTAACTCTAATATTGATAATTGCAAGAGGAAAGTTTTAATTATGAAACAACATCACAATCAGTCCTAGATTCCATGGCATCTTTTCATATCTTAAATTAAGTAACATATGGATAATATAAGCGAACAATAAATGTCGTACTTAAGTTTCAACGTAATACCGCGCGGGACGGAAACTGAAACAGCTGCAGAAAGTAAACTGTGTTTCGTTACTTTGGTTTCAGCTCCATATATTAGAGCCATAGATAATAATCCATATCTAGAAGACAAAGACAAAATACCATAACTAACAAGTTATTATTTGCGAAGGGTTTTACTACAGATAACAGACCTAGCTTCAGCAAAAAGTCTCGATTCACTCTGAAAGCGCCTCACATATCTAGCCATAAGGAATGTGTCAGCAAAACCAACCTTAAATTAAAAATTTGATATGATCAATATACATTTCTATTCAAACAAGATTAAGAATTAATTGTTATATTGTATTATTGCACTATCGTAAGCATGACAGACGTACAATATCAAACACATAGAGTATAAAGAAATATAGTGATGTCTACAACCTGCAAACCAACAACGACTTGATTGGTGCCATCATCGTGCACGACAGTTGTATTTATAGATGATTGAATTCCCGCTCTCCATGTTAGGTAGCCAATAGTATGACTGTCTAGTTGTTGTACGAACACTACAGTAGTAAAATTATAATATGTAATGCAACTTCGTGATTGATAAAATATACCATGGTAATATCTATTATACAATATCAATTAAGAACATGATAGTATCATCCTTACTTGCAGTTAACCCTGGGCGAAGGTAACCATTAGTGATTTGTGAGTTCAATTTGACTACTGAGTGACTGAAAAAAATTAAAGAAAAACGCGATATTAATTGAAGCCCTTGAGTTGCTATTCCATTTAATCATAATGAAACCTTGATAAGTTGAGATCTCATATCATGACTCTATTTGTTACCTGTGTTTACCAATATATCTGCAACCGCCAACATTGAATAAAATACCATTTCCGGCTCCTACTTCAACCTAATACATAAATTAAAATATAATGAACCAAATACAAACGATACGCAGATGGTAGCAAACTATAAATCTCTACAATCGCTACGTAGTAGAATTACCTCATGCCATCCTGTAGCAATACGATTTCTGAAAGTTAGCAATGCATTGCCTCCTCCAATACCGTTTCGAGATGCCAACGCTCCGGATAGTGTAACGGTGTTGTTAACCGTAACTGGAAACTAAATGAGAAAAAGAAAGTTCTCTAACCGAGTTTTCATACCTGCCATGAATGAAATAGGATACATACATCGATTGCCTGAGATATTTCCATTTCTCGGACTTCGATATTTGGCATTTCCCTAGAAAAAAGGCAGAAGCAAGAGAAGTGGTTTAGCAAATCAATTAATAGTATGGATTTGTTGTCTTTGAAAGAAGAAACAAGAACATTGATCAAGTAATAAACCTTTCGATTCCATCATAACCGTCATCATAACGATTAAATAGATCTGTTGCGTCAATACCAATGGAAAATGTTCCCTAAATAAGATATATATTGATTATCATGCATTTCGTATAGTGGGTTATAAATCACTATATTATTCATGTAAAATTGGCAAAATTCATATCATATCAGATAATGTGACGGCAATTCCTACTTTGGGGTTAGTCCTCTCTTCTAATTTCTGCTTATCTCTGGTTTCTTTAAGGCGTTCGAAATCTGCGTATATCTGCAATAAAATTTGACTAAATTTTAAAAACTAAAAGCAGCTATTGCTAGTTGTTCACAATTAACAAGTACCTCCGCAGGTGTTCGTTTTCGTGAGACAACCTATTGTTTAAAGAATGATATGCGTATGTCAGGAATTATTAACTGATACCACGAATTCAGATTTTCAGTTAAGTATGCATTGGTAAATACTGAGATTGGCAATCACTTAGTAAAATTTGCTTACCTCCCATCCGGCTTCTAGTCCCGCTTCACCGTAAATATCGTAAATCTGACGCTTGTTAGGATCACTTAGAACTATAGTATTTAAGAAAGCATTTTTTACTGAGTGAAGAATACGTTAGATTTTATGTTTTCCGATTTTATATTTACCTCTATAAGCGTTATGTAACTTGGCAAAGAGTTCTTCAGCGATCTACGAATTTGTAAATGTCATACGGATAATTAGATGAAATGTTTCTATAAAGTGATTTGTTTTCATACATCTGTGATTGGGTTGTCTAGACTTACTTAAACAACATTAACTATATACATATATAGTTCTAATGTCTCATCATGAGTTAGCAACACTAGTTACAAATCAACAACTAGAAGGTTTGATGCTGCGTATAAAAACACAGATGATGAAATTTGAATCGTGTAATAAAAGTCATCAGAAGTACTGCGGATGTACGCAGTAAAATATTGTGTAACACGTAACGCTGCAATTACTACTGTTCTTTGGTGAAAAAAATTGCTAACCGCTGCTTTGTTCGACTAAAGGTTATCCATTTATACGAAGACAATTTTATCATAGAATGGCTGTTGCGATAACGTTAGTAAAGCGATACCATCCTTACCTGTTTCTTGGTAGGATCAGCGTGTTTGTCAGGATGGTAAACTACGCACATGCGACGGTAAGCAGTTCGTAATTCTTCAGGGGAAGCCTATCAGAAGATTTGGTTTGCAAAATATTAATAAGTTAACGCATTATGACAATATCTAAGACAATTGAATACAGATAGATCACGGCCTATTAAGAATGTAGACATCACCTTTACAATAGTGCACTTATGAAAGCAGAAATAACATGAAATGCGAGTATGCTTTACAGCAATCCCTAGTTTTAAAGTCGTATATATTTTTGTGTACACATGCAAGCATTTCTAAATAAATAAATAAATTTTCCCGTTCGGAGAGATTTTTAAGCTTTCTTAGCTAAAGAGTTTCAATGGTTTTACAAATTTCGGAACCTATTTTAACTGCTGATGTAACTATCTAATAAACAATATAATCACTTGTTACATTGTCAAAGAATCTCGATTACTATCTTTTTCAGGGTTCAACCAGAACTGTTTTTGCGGAATAATTCATTAAGCAATCCTACAATTCCTAGTTGCTATTCGACAACCACAAAATTATTATGATGAACCCAGGTAATATTTTCCGCTCCTACCCAGTATCTATCACATAGTGTATCGCTTACTTGCATAATATTCAAGTACGTCCAAATTGCCAGAAGTGCTACGATGGTAATTTTAAGATCCATAAACTTATGTAAAATAGGTCGTGTGCTGATTGTTTCCTACTACTATTTTGATACAGTAGTACAGTAATTGCATTCGATAGAGCAAGTAATCGTTCAATATAGTTGATATTCAAAGAGTAAATGACAACAAGATACAGTAAATTTCATACCCATGCTCATGCAAGTATTGTAAAATGATATATACCTCTTGCAGAATCTACAGGGCAACACGCCAATTGGGTGTAATCTCAATATAAAGATAATATCTATCCACTACTCCAGGCTCATGCTTCAACTTAGACTACTAGAATTCCATCAACTCAAAATGTATTCACATTGTTACTAGCATGTTCCCATCACACTATAAGCTACTAGAAATTGTTCTAGGTCTATTTTTAGTTTTTACATAAGTATAAACCCTCTTATTATCGACACCTTACTCAAGAACTGATGTGAAATAATATACGTAAAACGTCAAGTGGTAAGCTACATGTGTAAAGCTTCTTTCTCAATCTGAGTGCAAGTATAACTTTCCATGGATTAAGATTACGATTGTATCTTTATGTCCAGCATGTTCCCATCAAGTCCATATGGTAAACTACCAGCAACAGAATACGAAAATCTGTTTTCAGTCCTCTACGTTATTACAAACCTTCTTATGATCTGTAGATTGCTTGTAAGACCTTCAATATATTCATCTCATTAATATAACAGCATCGCAATATACCCAACGCAGACAACCTGTGCAAATACTTTTGTTAATCTAGCTACAAATTTGAAAAGATGAATGCATACCCTAAATTACTAGTAATACATTGAGTGGAAGCCTATTCTCAGTCTACTAAGTCACAATAATCCTCTTGTTTTCTCTAGATTGCTCAAAAAACTAGTTCTATCCTTATACCAAAAGCACCTGCGGTATAGGTCGCATGTATAAATCTTCTTTCCTAATCTACCTGCAAGTATTGTCGTCCACAGATTAAGATTTCAAATGTATCTATATGACTAATACGTAGGTAGTACGAGTACATTTCACCAATTTGATACCGTAAACTACTAGTCCAGGACTAAGCAGATCTACTTGTAGTTTTCTATGTCACTGCAAAGTGCAAAGCTTCTTGTGATCGGTAGATTTTTCAATACCTCATACCCATAGTATGCATAATCTCTTTAAAATCGTTTTACTGTATACGACTATACTCGTCTGATGCAATCCAATGCAAGAGCATGATACTTATACCCAAAGGCCACATGTGCAATTTCTCTTCTTTCTCAATCTGACTGCTGATGCTGTTTCCACACATTCATAAACAATCATAATAAGTAGTAAAGTATTCCATTGCTTAACTAATCTAACCTATACTGCTTCCATGCATAATACAGATGGAAGCTAAGAATGTTGTTGCCTAGCTCTTACGATAGTTCACAATTTTAGCAAATTGATTAATTCATCTTGATACATGCCGATTGGACAACATCACTTTCAGAATGGAAATAGTCCAATCGAATACATTGAATTTACTATAATCGAGTATTTATCGATGCTATAACTCTACTTACATCACGTCGAACGTTAAGGATAGCGTAGTACTCTGAATGATCAGAATTAGGATCAATTTTCTCTTGGAAATCTTCCGCCATGGAGGCAGTGAGCAATTTCAAGTTGGAAATAAAATTTGCGCGGGCGCAGACCAAATTCAAACTGGTATCGAACTGCCCTAGGAGGAGAGGAAGATGCGCATGCGCGATACTCGAGTGTTCGGCAGTCGAGTGGGATAATGTGATGAAATTGGCTTACTGGGTACTGATTCAATCAGGTGAAGTAGTAACTACCATTGACTAGTTGTCTGTTTTTACTCCATTTGCTATGCGCATTGCAATGTACTGTACGAGTACTACCATAGAGATTTAAAAGCACTTTGGATCAGAACCGCAACCATGGAAATAGCTCCTAGCAACCAGCTGCTTGAAGAGTACCTTTGCATTCCCAGGGGGGATCTCTCGAAGATTACTAGTGGCAATATCATGCGATAGAGTTTGCAATCTTTTGTAGTAATAGCTTGGCTGCAGAAGCAGTGGAAGAGATACACAAGATAAACTTAACAAGTCATCGATGAGAACTATCTTCCTTCTTCAACTTGCATTAGTAGCTAATGGTTTGATAGCAAAGATTGTGCAAGAGCTTCCAGGATGAACTCGATGATCATCGGTAAATATGACTGTATCTACAATCTTAATATGTGCTAATTACTAATCTATACACATAAATAAACAATTGACTGCAGAAATAGTGGAAGAATACGTTCTAGCATTAACTTAATAATCAACTGTAATACCTATCCTCTACGTCCTATTTGTATTAGTAGTGAGTACATTGCCTTAACTGCAATAGCTATGGTGGAAGAATACACGTTGGCATTAGCGGTAATAACTTTCTTCCACGTCCTACTTGTGTTAGTAATGAATTACCTAAATGCAGCAATAGTGCAAGAGTACGTACAACCATTTACTTAACTATGATCAGTTGTAGCTACTATATTTTTATCCACATATCTGAGTTCGTAATTCTATACTTGACTGCAGAAATAGTGAGCGAGTATACGTAAAGACTAGCTCAATAAGTGATGAGCGATAGCTCCCTTTCATCTCAAATTTGTGCGGCTGTTGATAATAACTACCCTACAGAAAAGAGTGAAAGAGTCTTCACAAGCAGCTTAACAATGTTCGCTAGCGATTACTGTATCTTCGATCTTATATGTATTACTAGCTGATTGCTTAGTACAATAGTAGTAGAAGAGTGCACACCACGATTAAGTCAGTAATCATTGGTAATAATTTACTATATCTTCAATCTCTGCTTGTATTAATTACTAATTTATATAAAACAACCTACCTTATAAGTAAGAAAAAGAATTTGCTAAAGGATAACTCAGCAAATCATCGTTAATATTTACTGTATCTTCAATAATCTCAACTTGTATTAGTACCTAATATCACTGGGTTGCAGAAATGGTGGCAGACAATAACCACTATATCTTCAATCTCGCACACAGCATTAACCGCTAGTTTAAACAAAGACATAAACACTTAACTCCAGAAATAATCCAAGAGGACACACTAGGGTTAACTTAGTAATCATTGCTAATAATTGTTATATCTTCAATCTCATGCTTGTATTAGTTGGCAATTGACTGCAGAGATTGTGGAAGAGTATATGCATCTAACTCAGCGATCAGGCTAGGTTATTACGAGCTAAATTATAGACGCATACTAGATTTACGTTGATCACATTGATCGGTGATAACTATCTTCAATCATATATTTATATTGCTTGCTTATCGAATGATTGAAGAAATAGTGAAAGGGCAAGGATTAACTCAGTAATTAGGGTCAGTTTGCATAATTACTGACCAGCTTATTAACGCTTATAAAACTTGCATTGACTGATCGATAACCATTGTTAATTTCAATCTTGTATTAATAGCTAGGCAATTGAGTGCAAGACGAATATAAAGGTACCTTAAAATTTCTACAGTAGTGCTACATTCTCCCATTCCTATCTCGGTAATGCTGCTCTTCAACAAGCCATGGCAGGCAATAGCAGTGGTAATGCTATGCCTTCTCTTCATGACAAATCCACAATATGGTAATGGTGCTAAAATATTATCTATTGCACTATTCTATCCAAGTCATGCAAGAGTTATGAAGGAAATAGCAGCCCAATTACAAGCAAGAGATCACTCCGTTGTCCTTGTTATTTCATCTATCAGTGAGACTGTACAAGATCTTCAGGAGTATCAATTTAAAACCAAATACTATCAGACACCAGTAACAAAATCAGCTATATCAGATTGTTCTGCTATAGCGTTACAAAACAATGACCCTCTACTGACGGCATGTTATGAATTAATTATCAGCGATGCACGAGCATTTAGCAATGATAAGAAGCTATTGGATGAATTAAAGAATGAAAATTTTGGTAAGCAATTGATTGAGCGATATGGTCATGAAGCATAGCATTACCTAGGCAGATCTAAAAGATTTGGATACTATCAGTTATAAATTGACATACAATAAAAACAGGCTGCAAATGAATACTAATGAAAGGCTGTAAATAATCGATAAACTTAAACAGCAGATTATTGTTTACCATGTATGTAGTAACAGATCAATTTGCGTTTATGCACCACAAATGTAGTAAAAGAATGCAAACAATAGATGCAGTTTAGAGTAATTTACGAATCTCTATCTATCACTACTATGTTATGGTTGTTTACGTCAACGAGAATAAAGATAAATCATACCTTGTGGGTATATTTTACTTCTTTAGTTGTTTTAAATTTTAGCGCACCTCACGATAGAAGTAAGTCATTTGATTTTGATTGCTGCTGTAATGCTATTATTTTTATCATTAGTGTACTTAACAACATAGTTTAGGTAAAACATTGAAATAACTATTACTGATGCTAGTCATTGGTATTATTCATAGATGCGATAGTGTGCGATGTTAGCTGCTACATGTGTCAAGTAGTAGCCGAATATATTGATATTAAGATCCAAGTGGATGTATCCCTATTTGGATTTGGTGATCCTTTGCTGGCGCGTGCATTCAATATTCCTAGTCCATTAGCTTATGTTCGTCAAGTTGGATTAACATCACCGTACAAAATGGGTTTATATCATCGTACATTTAATGTCATCTTAAGATTGATTGTGCCCTTTTTCATCGATCAATTCATGTTTAATCCGATGTATGCAGCTATCAATACTACAAATCTTGGCCTTGATTCCTTGCCAAATTACAGCATTAAAAGATCTACCTTCTTGCTTGTCAACTCCGATTTTGCTCTTGAGAACTCACGTCCAATTACTCCAACGACGAAAGTCGTTGGTCCAATTCTTCCAAGGCCACCAGCAGCATTACCCCCTAATTTACAGCAATTTATCAATTCTAATAATAAAGGCACAATTGTGGTATCGTTTGGTTCAGTTTTTAGTGCCTTAAAGTTTTTAACCGATATTCAAATTTTTTTCCATTCATTTGATCGGTTACCTTACAATGTTATATGGAAATATCCCGATGAAAATCGTGTAAATATGGATAACTCTATCAAGACAGTTCAATGGCTGCCACAAAACGATCTTCTTGGACATCCAAATGTGATAGCTTTCGTTACACATTGTGGATTAAATAGTGTCCTTGAAGCTGCCTATCATGGCGTACCTATGGTAGCTATTCCTGTAGCGGGTGATGGATATGATCATGCTCAAAAAATTTTAGCTAAAAATATAGGCGTTGTTTTGGACGTTAAGACGATTACTAGTGACGAAGTATTTAATGCCATTATGCAAGTGACAACTGATAAAAGTATTATTGCAAGTGTTAAACGAGTAGCTAAATGCATTAAAAATAGACCTAATAACAGAACACCAGTTGAGGAAGCTGTAGACTGGATAGAATATGCACTAGGCAATGAAGGAGGACATTATCTTCGAACTATGGAATATACAATACCATGGTATAAACTATATTTAATAGATATTTTCACTATATTTTTTATTGCACTTTTTATAATTCTAAAAATCTTTCAATTCATACACAAGAAATTTTTCTAAAATTGAAATTACGGTACAATACTATATTTATTTACAGTCAGAAATTTGTACGCCATAATTTTAAAAAAGAAACCACAGTAGAGTTTAATACATGGCTTTGAACGAATAATGAACGATTGCCAACAATTTACTGTTATTATCGTTTTGAACCTGCAAACTCTGTTGGTATCTTTTCCTTTGCTCATTTAGGTAATCCTAGGCAATGCCGTGAGTTTAGTATTGCTTCTTAATAGGTTATGTACTAAGGTATATAAACTGATGCATCGAGTAGATCGGTAGTTCTTGCCTATGCGTATGTTGTAGATTCTTTAGCGGTTTAAGATTTTACTGTAACAAAAGTTTAATTCATTACATTAATTAAATCCGATTTGTTTAATGTTATCATTATGTACCCCAACGAATTGACTTTGTTACATCCTACAGCATAATTTTTCGAGTAATAAAAGACGCCCACATTAGATTGTTTGTCTGTATTTATGGAACTTAATTTTCACATTTTGAGACTTGGAGCTTAAGTAGCTAACATGTAAAATTTTGTGTTAGTTACTCATTATATCGTTATTTATTATCTATGTAAAATGGTACACTTCGGAATCTCAAATTAGCGATAAAATTTAACTGATCTGGAATTTCCTAACAAGTTTGCGATCTATTCTTTGATTGAATTTGCTTTCAAGCCAAACACAACTTGGTATTGTTGCTACAAAATCCTGAATTGGTATTAATATTGTTGTTCTGTTAATTGCTTCTCTTCATATTCTGTTTCGTAAATCAAATATACCAAAGTATCACAAAGCAATAAACTATAGTAATATATTATAATTATCTATCAACAACCAGATGTAAGCATCGTAGGACGTAATGTACGATAAATTTATTTCAAACTGTGAATCAGAAAATTTCGAGTAGAGAGTTAAGAAGTTTTTTTTTTGAAGAACTTGTTACAATTCAAAGGCCTTCTCTCATTTCATGACACTACAATGCTGTAGTAACTCGCTATTACATAGCGCATTAGTTCGTACATCAGTCCAGTAAGACCGTAGTTTATCGTAATAATTTACTATAAACCGTTTGTTGTCGAAATGGTGATATTTTTCAGGATTCATCAATACATAATATTAAAATCAACCTTCAATATAATAACTCATAACTACAGTTTATTATACGCAAGAAAACGCATCATTGCTACCACAACAGAGTCCCTAACAGTACGTATTGTAACTTATACCCATTAGCCTACTAATTTATTCGTATCAAAATTTGAATAGCTATTGGAATTGTTGGCGACATTCATAATCTAGTAAATTATCTTAATCAAAATTATCAGTAAGTAAAGAAAATAAGGAATTCCCTTAATTATAACTTATAGTAATAAAGCGATCAAAACTATATATCCCATAATCTTGTACAACAGTCGCTGCCAACAGATACGAATGAAGAATTGTCCAACCAGACAATACCATTCACAGGGGACATCGGATGGGCTCCTACAGATATATTTAAAGTTAAGTATAATCGATAACTGTTTCCATTAAGGTAATACCTAATTATTTATAAAATCTCCTTCATTACTACAATATACAGGCCTAAACTTTTAGTGAGTCGGAACTACAGTTATACTGTACCTTTGACGATTGCTTTCTTGCCAGCATCGGCAACTGACCACAATATAACATTGGAATCAATGCCACCAGATGCAATATATGTAGAATCAGGTGACCAAGCAAGGTACGATACTCGGGCGGTATGATAACTCCAACTATGTAGTGTCTACAATATATTTCAAATGACATTAATAATCGGAAATACAATAATCGCTAAGTTGTATAATTGAAGATTCATGATATCAAATAATGCTTCTTACTACAGAGTAAGCCTTTGTTGCCATTACGGTGAGACATCTTTGAGAATCTCCAACAGCTAACAATTCGCCATTTGGCGAATATGCCAGATGCGACGGAGTACCTCTCACAGATACCTTAGTTATTTCTTCCAAGTTATACCCGCTTACTTTGTAAACATACACGAAATTTTCCTATATTCAAATATTAAAACTACTTACAACATATTTCTGTAACAAGTGTTATTTTGCCAATTTAATTTAGCTATCTTGTACCTTGCTACTTCCAACAGCTAGTTCACAAGTTACAGAGTTGAATGAGATACTGTTTGGCTCATACTTCACAAGTAAACTATTTTCTTTTTGGCCTTCATTAGTGATCGAGATCTGATATCATAACGTAAATATAATAGAAACGAAATTACCGTTTGATAAACAAATCTTGAAAGGCCTTGTCTAATTTCATGTATTATGTACCTCGTTCATGCACGCAACAAAAATAATGTTGCCTCCCCCACTACACAAAGCGCGAGGTTGAGAGTCTAATTTCAGGGAATAAGAACTAAAACAAAGTTATAAAAATCGATTATATTTTCACTAAAAATAATTTCTATAGTAATCTACTGCTATAACATACCTGTACTCGTTAGATGCGGTTGAAAACTTTTTCATGCAATCGTCAATTCCTACGGTGTAAACTTCGTCTCCAACGGTAAGCATAGCGTTAACTTGATTGTTATGACCGACGCCTTTAATTTCATCGTTATCTCCAGTGGTAGTATCCCAAGATAGTGTCATAGGTTAAAGACATAAAACAATCTAAAAATTCATTTAATTCTGTAATGGTAACGTTATCTATACAGTAAAATACGGGTTACAGTTAGACGATCGAAAAGATATTTGTTAATCCGGTATAGTCTACAGTGTATATCTTTTTCTTGTCAGCCGATAAGGTTATAGCAGTAATAGCCTTTTGATGTCCCTATATTAACAAATAGATGATTAATATGAATAAGTATTGCTTCAAAGAACGTTTAAGTTTAGAGCAATTGAACCTTTATGATTATACCTTAATAACTTTCGTCAAAGCTGAATTACTAAAGTCTAAATAGTTTATGTAGCCGGAAAGTGATACTGATAGAATATGATCCCCTTGCCACAAGCATCCCAATTGTTGATCGAGTAACTTACTGCCTACGTTAATTGTACTAAAAAATTTTCATGTCAAAAAGATGTAAATCCAAATTTATGTATAAATTCAATAAGTAGTATAAGCGACTAAATATTTACCCCATCAGCTCAAGCGTATTAGCATCCCATAATTTGACAGATTTATCCGCGGAACAAGTAATAAGTTGGGCTGAGTCTGCTTTCCAGGCAGACTGTTTTAAAATAAAACGAATTGATATAATCAAGTATCTTTCCTAAGCTATCATGATATAGCTATTATTAATACTTTTATAACTACTGTGGAAAAATGGATAATTAATACATTACTCTACCCCATAGATTCCACCACTATGAGCGGGATTGCCAAGTTCTCCTTCTTTTTCTGCAGTCTTACCGTTATACAAAAATGCTCTTCCATCTGCTCCACCAGATACGAATTTTTCTCCATTAGGAGAAAATTTAATGGTATTAATAAACTTAGAATGGCTCTATGAATAGGTAAAATAAGCTTTAATAAAGTATTCCAGTATAACAGTAAAATTAATCGATCACTAAATAAATGATCATTACATTGATCTTTTGATCGAATTTAAAAGGTGGTCCAGAATGAAACGCGATCTGCATGTCTTCTCCTCCAGTAGCAACCTTGTATGGTCGTGATGGTTTGAAGTCAACACAAGTTATTGGCTTATGATGACCAGTGATAGTACCGACGCTACTTCCGCTGTCCCATAAGAAGGCGCTCGCGAACCTTATCAATACAAAATATAAGCAATTAGACTTTTTATCCCTATGAAAGTATTATTGTCTGAATAGAGCCCTACTTCTCTCTACCATCACCAGCGGTAATGATCCTCTTACTGTCTGGTGACCAACAAAGATCATAAATCGCTCCGTGGGGTTGATACTCATACTTTAACAAATGTTCACGCTGTGTAGTGTCCCAAATTCGAATTTTTCCTCCAGTGTCTGAATATAGGTAGCAGTAACAATGAATATAGTCGTAATTTTGATCACATTCATATGAAGAATGGAGAAATCGTTCTATGGAATTTGCTTACCAGCAGATGCAATATAGAACCCACTCGGAGCATAGCGTGCAACTGTTGTTTGCAGAGCATGTTGAGCATAAACATCACTTTCAGCTAAGTTCTGTGGACGTTAATATCATTAGTTAATTTTTGATTTAGTAATTAATGATTTACTGAGTCAATTTGACGATTAATAACACATGATGTAGAGCATTCAAATTCTTTATCATTACAGTAGTATTATATATCAAATGTTGTCAGGATTTTGTAGACGCCTTTGCAAGGAATTAAAGTTGTATAGTACTGTATACCGATCTCTAGATGAAAGTAATTCAATATTTGTATCACGGTATCTAAGTGCTCCAAATACCTCGATATTTCTGATTATAACATGGTTTCCAATACAATATAAGAAATTTTTGCCCTTAGGATCGCCACCAATCTGAACACTTCGTCCACGTTCTGTTCGAGGCAAAGCTGCAAAGCAGTTCTCTAGAAAAGATTTAATGTATTAATCATTTTAATATTATTTTTAATTTTATAGCTATAATAACGACTACCGATTAATCCTTAAATTAACGAGAACATCGGCAGATATCACACCTCTTTACTATGTCTACTGAGTTAAATTTTAATTTCTTATTGCTCAGGAATTTCTTGTACGTCAAATAGCATCCATGAAATGTATTTCTACAAGAATGTTTACAACATGAACTATGATCCTTTATTTCTTACAATGGAAAAATACTGTACCAGAAAAGCAATTTAGCTTCTGATTTACAAAAAGTTAAGAATAGTAAAATGTGTTTTCTGTCAGAGCAAAAATAGTAGCAACTACTCCACTCTACATTTCATTTCTGTAATATAAGGTTTGCATCCAAATTCGTAGTATCTGGTGTTAGTATTGGTAGTTAACCTAGCAGAGTTGTAAATCGTCACACCTGATCTGATACTTGATTAGCTTACGACTTTATCATGACCAAATCAAAAGTATAGTAGAGTACTTTCCGTAGTACTTGTTATGTACTATCATTATTCTTATTTTCTAGCAACAAGGTTGAAGATAACTTGATCACTCACAATTCAAGAGATTGCATGCTTGCAGTCTACCGTACCAGTGCTACTGTCGTTAATTTGTTAATTATTTATTTGAACCGTAATCTTGAAGTCTATTCAATTTGCTAACAACAATCAATTTATCAAGAAGTAAACTTGGTTTAGCTTAAAATTTAATATGATAGACTAGATGATGATTGTCTATTTGCTTGTTTCATTAGCAACATGTTCTAAAAGAGCTTGCTTACGAGAGATTACACACCTATAGCCTATCGTAGCAGGACTAAAAAAATTGTAATTATTTGACCCCTAATCTTGAAATCGATTCAATGAAGCTCACAAATCTATCTGTCAAGGCAAGTCGATAAAAATTGACGTTGGATCAGCTTTAAACTTAGCACGATAGAGTCGATCGACATTGTCTCCTAGTGTATTTCAATAGCAATACACTTGGAGACAACTAAACTTCCAATTTAAGAGATTAAGCGCCTGCAGCCTAATGTTCAAGGAGCCTAGGACTACTGAATTATTATTATTTGACCCCTAATCCTGAGACCAATTCTAAGACGTCAATCCCTCAAGACAAGTCGATAAAACTGGATGTTGGATCAATTTATCAGCCTACCATAGCAGTATTACCGTCATGAATTAATGAATTTACATGACCCGTCATGCTGGAAGTCGATTCAATTTGCTAACAAATCTATTCCATCAAGACAAGTCGATAAAAATTAAAGTTGGATCTACTTCCAATTTCATACGATAGAGTCGATCGATATGGTCTCTATGCGTGTTCCAATAGCAACACGCTTGGAGATAAACTAAAAACTCACAATTCAAGAGATTACGTGCCTGCAGCCTAACGTACAAGGACTAATCAATTATTTGACCCCTATTTCATGATGCCAATTCTTCAGGAAAAGTAGATGAAATGTAATGCACGATCAATTTATAACTCAACATGATAGAGTAGATCCACATTGTCTCTTTGCTTGTCTAATGAATAACATGCTCACAACTGAAGAGACTATATGCATACAGCCTACCATCACAGAATATTACGATGAGGAATATTCATTTATTTGACCCTCAATCATGACATCAATACAATTTATGAAGCAATCTATCGATCAAGATTAGTCGATAAAAATTGACGTAGGATCCATTTCAAAATTAGCAGGATAGAGTCGATCGGCACTGTCTTCTTGCGTATTCGAATAGCAAGACGCTTAGAGAGACAAATTTAACTCCTAATTTAGCAAATTACACGCCTACAGCCTACTGTACCAGGACTAACGAAATCACTTGAATGAATTCGTTAGCCGTTAATCCTAAGGGCGATTAATGTTTACGCGATCGACAAGTAGATAAAATTAGACGTTGGATCAACTTAGAACTTAATAGGATAGCGTAGATCGACATTATCTCCTTGATTGTTCGTCTAACAACATGCTTGAAGACAACTTACTCCCAATTTAAGGCAATATCACTTACTTAAATTACAAGACATGGCGGATTTCTTCTTCAAGACAAGGCGGCGTAGAAAAGTAGAAGGCTTATTGGAGGTTGTCGTCTACTAGACTATCAAAAGAGAGCCAAATAGAAATGCTGTGCTGATACTAAATACTGATCAGTGATGGCAGTAGTTTGTATAAAGATTTGGTGGGTGGATTTTAGTAGCCTAACTTCCCATTGGTCCTGCATACTCATAGCCATAAATGGATTGATTCACGCCCTGGTCATATTCCTATAACGCATCGACGCGCATAATACAGTAGACTATAGCCATAGGATTGCCATTAAAAAAATGGCGTGACATGGTTCGCAATTTTGGCATCTACTCAGATCGTCTCTACTCCATTATCCCCTAAAATACTCTAATAAGGATGATAGAATACTATTGCAGTGTTCCTATGCCACGTAGATCCGCCATTGCATTGCTATCGACTAGGATAGACACTATAAGGTAAAAGATTTTACTAGCGAAATCGGCCAGAAAGTCGAAATGATCAATGGCGTGATTAGTTAGTCATGTTTCAGCCATTAAAATGGTCTCTACTCCATGATATCATCCATTTAAATACTAGTCAAAATACGAATAGAAATCCATGATAGGATGGTGGAGAAATAATAACTCATTCTATATTAAAAACGAAAGTGTTATAAACGCTTCAGAAATGGAAATCTCCCTATTAAAGTTAGATATGCGCGTGCACGATTGTCGAGAATGCATGGTGGCGCAAATGGAGTTTGATATCCAATATGAGATTAAAAAATACAGATAGATACTGATGTACGATTAATTAGAGGTCCTAGTCTGCCAGCCTTCAGCTACTGGTGTTCAATTTTTGATTTCGAATTTAGTTATCCTATAAAGCACACAAGTTATCCACCTTTCAATATGGATGGGTTTGGCTTTTCTGTGCACTAAATAAATATTAGTTGTTCGTCGTCGACACTCTACCCTGGGTACAGTTTGCATCTCTAAATTTACAAATTTTAGCTATATAGAAGCATATATAGCATGACTAGGGTTGATGTATAGTTATTTAATATATGGTGTTTGAAAATGGAATAAAGCAGAGCAAGCAATATAGCGTGTACCAAGGACTACTCAAGAACCTATCTTCTTCCTCCTTTCTTATTTCTACATTCATGGTCATGATGTTAGAAAGAGGGAGAGAAAAGCATATTGTTAAGTAGCTTCGAAGATTAGATTAAGAAGAGCAACATAATATTAACTCGTATTGTCCAATAATCTATTCAATTGCAAGCAGAAGGAAGTCAATAAATACATATTGCTGAGTGAGTCTTTTATCGTACATAAGTTCAAGATGAAGTTTTACAGTAGGCTTACTCAGCTCGAGCTTGTAGTCAATAAATGGAGTGTAACTAATTATAGGCGCAACTTATCACGCAAATGGAAACTAGTAAAGTTCAATAATCATTGCCTATACTATTTGAATCCAACTTTCTTTGCTATAGCATAATCACATCCTTCATCATGCTTAATGTGCAATTCTACCGCCTACTCTAAATGCTTCATTAATTGAATTTAATCTATTTTACTAATAGTCAACGGTATCCTATACTTTAACTTGGGTATGATAATACTTTCTTTCAATCATGATTTAATGAACTTACAGCTTACTCATAACATACTATTGAGCAAAACATTGAAATTAAATCAGCAACATGATCTAATTAATAGTATATGCCAACAAGGTCACTGCTAAATCAAACACGAGTCTCCATTTGCTACTAACAGGTTGTTCTTTCAATGTGACTGTAGTATGATTTCACACAGAACTCGCCATGATAGATAATGCCACTTTCGTGCTTATGTATATACTGGCGATATTAGTTCGTATATCAGTCTAGTAAGACGATAGTTTATCGTAGTCATTTACTATAAGCCGTTTATTATCGCTAATGGTGATATTTTCCAGGATTCGTTAATACATAATATTAAATTCAACCTTCAATATCATAGCTCATAACTACAGTTTATTATACGCAAGAAAACGCGCTACCACAACAAGATCCCAAACACTACATATCGTAACTTATAGTTATTAGTCTACCAATTTATTCATATCGAAATGTGGATAGCTATTGCTATAAATACTGACGATTAATGTACTTTACGAAATGCGCATCTTAATATTATACCTTAATGTAGGCTAGTACTTGCTATCTATGAATAATTTAATTGCTCGTAAATGATTAAATGCACGTTGCACGGTATATTACTCTTTCAACTGTTGGTAGAATATAATAAAAGGAGCTATACTTATTTGCTCGAGCAGAGTTCAACAATGAGAGATATTTAGATGTAAGACACGACTCTATTTCATATGATTTAATGTGATTTTAATGTGATTTTCCAAGTTTTTTATTGTGTATACTTCTATCTATCTATCTTGAGATGGAAGTAATTCAATATTTGTATTACGATATCTAAGTGCTCCATGTGATGGAAATTCGAATAATAGAAATGGCACACAGACTTAAACGGTAAAGCTTATTCTTACTGTTATGGATTTCGACGCGACAATTAGTTTTTCCAAAACCTAACATTCTACTTATATGCGAACCTTTTTATATCTACTCTCATCTTTTCTAGCATATTATACTGTACTGTGCATGGCGAGCTATTTAAGAATATTTGTCATCATAGCGTTATTAATTGTATTACAATATATATACTTAATACAAGACTATGCTAAGAGCCATATTAGAGCAAATGATATTTAGTCTACTTTAACGAATTTACGGCACTCCAAATACCTCGCTATATCGGATTATAACATGATTTCCAATACAATATAAGAATCTTTTCCCTTAAGATCACCACCAATCTGAACACTTCGTCTACGTTCTGTTCGAGGCAAAGCTGCAAAACAGTTCTCTAGGAAAGATTTATTGTATTAATTATTTTAATATTGTTTCATTTTCAATTTTATCGCGATAATAACGACTATCAATTAATCCATAAATTAACGAGAATAACAGCAGATATCACCCATGTTTACTACGTCTACTGAGCTAAACTTTAATTTCGAGTTGCCGAGGAATTTATTATACGTCAAATTTCACCCACAAAAGGTATTTCTACACGAATGTTTACAACATGAACTATGATCCTTGATTTCTTACAATGGAAAAATATTGTACCAGAAAAGCGATTTAGCTTCCAATTTTACAAAAATTTAAGAACAGTAAAATATGTTATCTGTCAGAACAAAAATAGTAGCAACTGCTGCAGTATGCATTCCATTTCTACAATATAAGGTTTGCATCAAAATTCGTAATATCTGGTGTTAGTATTGGTAGTTAACCTTACCAAGTTGCCAACAGATCCACCTAATTTGATACTCGATTAGTTTACGAATTCGTCAGGAACTAAAATCAAAACTATAATAGGGTACATTCTGCAGTACTTGTTATGTACTATCATTATTATTTTCTAGCAACAAGCCTGAAGACAACTTGGTCACAATTCAAGAGATTACATGCTTGCAGTCTACCGTACCAGTGCTACAGTAGTTAACTTATTATTTGAACCTTAATCCGAAAGTCTGTTCAGTTTGTTAACAACAATCAATTTATCGAGAAGTAAGTAACTATTAGCGTTGGATTAACTTAAAACTTAATATGATAGAGAAGATCATGGCTACTTCCTGACTCGTTTGAATAGCAACATAGTGTAAAGAACTTGGTCATAAATTCATAATTGAAGAAATTACAGACGTGCCGCCAGCTGCACCGATACTACAATAAGTAATCAATCTGTCAAGATAAGTGGATAAAAATCGATGCTGGACTATTTTAAAAAATTATTAATATGATAGAATGGATCAACGTTGCCCCTTACTTGTTTGAAATTCAAGACATTTAGAGACAAGTTACTGACAATTTAATCCTAAGGTCAATTTTAAGGAATCAATCCGCCAAGGCAAGTCGATGAAATTTGACCTAGGATCTACTTAAAACTTAATATGATAGCGTAGATGATGGTTGTCTTGTTGGTTGTTTGATTAATTAGCATAATTAGCAACATGCTCTAGAACAGCTTGCTCACAAGAGATTTTATGCCTGTTAGCCTACCTTACTAGGACTAAAGAATGGTAATGAATTGACCCCTAATCTTGAAGTTATTTCAATTACCTAACAAATCTATCCGTCAAGGCAAGTCGATAAAAATTGACGTTGGATCAGCTTTAAACTTAATATGATAAAGTAGATAGGTGTTTTCTCTTGGCGTGAATTTAAGGGATTATGCGCCTGCATCCTAATGTATAAGGATTGATGAATTATTTAACCTCTAATCCTGAGACTGATTCTGAGACGTTAATCCCTCAAGACAAGTAGATGAAATTAGATATTGGATCAATTTATAATTCAAGATGACAGAGTAGATCAACGTTGTCTCTTAGCTTGTTTGATTAGTGGCATGCTCACAATTGAAGAGACTTCACGCCTTCAGTCTACTTTGCTGAAGCTGCATCATGAAAATTTTCACAGGGGGGGGGGTGATTACCCCATACTTCTAATTTTGGTATATGGTAAGCGCATCCTTCCAATTGCTCTTTTTTCTACTGAAAACTCCCCCACACAATGTAGCACAGATTTAAGAATTACGGTAATTAACGACAGGAATATTAATTTAGAACTTTTTTTAGGGGGGGGGGCGCTTACTCAGTACTTTACGGTCATTAATTTATTTGACCAGCAATCTTGAAGTCGATAAAAATTGACATTAGATCCATTTCAAACTTAACACGATGGAGTCGATCGGTGTTGTCTCCTTGCTTGTTCGAATAGTTAGTAGTACACTTAGAGCTGAACTAATCTCATGAGATTACACGCCTGTAGTCTACCGGACCAGGGACTGATAAATTAACCTTAATGAATTCTTTAGCCCCAAATCCTGAGGTCGATTAATGTTTATCCGACAGACAGGTAGATGAAATTGGACGTTGAATCAACTTATAACTTAACAGGATAGCGTAGATCGACATTATCTCCTTGCTTGTTCAACTAGCAACATGCTTGGAGACAACTTGCTCACAATTTAAGGTATTAGTACTATCTTAAATAACAAGACGTGGCAAATTTCTTCTTCTAAATGAAGCCGCGTAGAAAGAAGAAGGCGTATTTGTGGAGGAATAGAGGAAAGTTAGTTAGGAGCGGGGAACAATTTTTTGTTTAGTAGTCCCTGCTCTTCTCTTTGGGAAATAGACGAAAGTTGATTAGGAGTGGGGGCAACTCTTTGTTTAGTAGTCCTTTTCCTTCTCTTTGGGGATTACGGGAAAGTTGATTAGGAGTGGGGAGGGGGAGACAATTCTCTGTTTAGTAGTCGTTGTTCTTCTCTTTGGGAATGCGAGAGAGTTGATTAGGAGCATGGGACAATTTTTCGTTTAATAGTTCCCGTTCTCCTCTTTGAGGAATAGGGGACAGTTGCTTAGGAGCGTGGCGGGATAATTTGGATGTTTGGATCAAGAGCATTGAACAGACCCAGAATTTTTTACACTATATCATATACAAATAGGCGAAAACATGAGTCTATCGGCTAAATGAAGAGATAACTTTTAATGTATAAGTACGTACAATAACCACATCAGTAGTCGAATAAAGTATGAATTTTATTAGTAGCACGCTCTCCTAGATTTTATCCATAAATAGTAATCAGAATAGCAAGATAAAATGTCATAATCTAGTAGTATGCTACTGTACAATAATGGAATGTAAATCTTTACATGTATGTAGTAAAACTGACGGGTAAGTTTCCACCAATCTGAAAACAATCGAGAACTGCCAAATTATTTTTATCGCTGATATACTTTTCATCTAACAAGTAAATTTTTGATGCTAAGGTCTAGTACTTGTGTAACTTCTTGCTAACTATGACCATGATGCTCTCCTTCAATATTGAATGAGGAGCCCATCATCACAGTATCAAAATTAACTTTTTGACACATCGACATCACAAGGAATTACAAATGATGTCACCATATCATAAAATTTATAATAATTCTAGCCTGTTAACAAAATGAAACAGCTACAATTTAGTTGGTATAAGGTGTAGGTTAAACCGTTGAGTTGTCTGCAACCTCGTAGTTTCATCAATCATAGTAGCCTCTTGACATTGAATGAGTTACCTGCTATGACATCATTACAAGAACAAATAAAGGTTGCATTGAGGTGCTACCAAACTTTTCAGTTTGGTATTTAGCGCTTGCCAATAGTTAAATCAGCAAGCGCTTTACCTATAAAAATGGAAAACACACCGTCAATCATGCCCATCCCAGTATCTAATGATTTCATCGATGATCAAGTAATATCAACTTAGGATTCTCATTTTTACCTTCCTCATCCGCCACCGCCACCAGCCATGGGAGGACTAGCTGGACCATCTATTGGTAGGAGTAGAACACATCAATGATTCTCACTTCGAAATTAGTTTTATAGGCGTAAAATCACTTGCAAACTAATGTAAAACATACTTTGTCCTCCTGGATTAATTCTGCCAATCTTTTTCCGAGGCGGTCCCGGCGGTGGTCTATAAATGAACGATTATTTTAACTTTAGTTCTAGAAAATCTTTAACGGTCTAGTAGACAAGCGATTTTACAAGTATTATATAGAAAAGTACAGTAAGTTTAAGCTCTTGCAAATGGATAGTCGAATGTGAAGATAATTCAGTGATTTTAGTTTACATATTGAAATGGCCAAAGCATAACACGTAAACGAGTTGTTTTAATTCTTAATATTATTAAATAGTCCATAAGGAATACAGTACAAAGTAAGTGATTCTACATTATGTTCAGTGGAAAAAGTAGAACAAAATTAAGCTGTAGCAATGGATGATCAAATGCAATGATAATCCAGTGACTTCAATGCACTTATGAATATAGTTAAACATAACATGTCAACAGTTATTTTGATATTGTAATACTAAATAGTCTATAAGGAATAACAGTACAGTAGTAAGTCATTCCATAGTGTAGAGCAGAGGAAATTAAATGAATACAAAGTTATCGTCCAATATGAAGCTAATCCAATAATTAATTCTACTTTTGTGTCATTATCATTATAGAGCACGATGTGTCATGGCAAAGACGGACCTTTTATCTGGTCGGAAAGTCGGGGTTTCTTTCTTCTTGTCGTTATCAAGCTAATTGGAGAAATTGTAGTAGTATTAGTAAATAATTTTTATATCTATCATTCTTTCAAATAACGAAAAAGAAAGTACATAGGCTATATCACGATAACAATGAAAGAACTTACCAGAAGCATCGACTTAATGCTGTTGTAAAATAAGATAGAATAAAAAATTTTAGATTATTGTAATCAATAAGCCATTTCATGACAATGATGTTGTTATTCGTATTGCTGTAGTACTACAACATTACTAGGGAGAGTCTTTATGGTATGATATTACAAACAGTAGTTGATGTTTCTATAAGCATTCAACAATTAAACTAAATAGAGCTTGTATTGCAAGAAATGAGTATATAAGCCAAGTCTATTCTTTCCATATTATTTCACTCTTAATACTTACAATAGCACCATGCACGCTACAAATGTTGTGAAGAAATTCTTTATAGAAGACAGCGTCCACGGGCTGTTTCCTTGAACGAGTTGACCTAAGTATATCAATAGCATCGTTAAGTCCAATGTAAAAACTTATCTAAGTATTTCTAGTTACTAAATTAGATATACACTTATGATGTAAACTCCTACGTATGCAATATCCATGTTGTCAATGTATTCTTACGTGCATCTAATCATATGCAATAAGAATTTGCGAATGAATGATGCGAAAGTTTATATTTAAAGACCCATCACTCATTCTACTCTACTAGTCAATGCTAAAGGAAGTAGATGAAAAAGTGCTTCTTTTCTATAGCACCGTCCAAATCATATCACCATGATAGCGAATCGATAGCGAGATGAAACTCAACCTACTCATTTCTAGCTATAATTCTGTTTCTCATGTCTATCAAATATGTTACTCCTGTACAAATGGATTTTATACGATCATTATGGTTATCATTATTGCTATCCTTGTCGGGAAGATTTACGCGTATACTGTTTATCCATCCACAGGCCATTTCTGTTATGTGCGACCTGACTAGAGCGCTGAATTGGTAGTCTAGTATAAGGTTGACTTTGTGCTTATCCTCCTATTAAGTTGAGTTATTATTTCAATGGATGGAAGAAACGGCTATGGTACCCAATTGAATCAGACTTGGTGTTTTTAATATTGCTAAAGCAAATGGTTTGGTCATTGGATATTACATGATATTTTTTAGCGTTGATTCTACGACAAAAATGTTGGATTCTATTCATAAATTATCCTATGTATACATATACATACACACAAGTGGAGAGAATGATCATCTCGTAAAGGAAAAATGTGATGAAAGCCTATACAGATTACTAGTAGTGCACTTTACAGTAAGTTGGTGATTATTCTTTTCGCTACGACTATACAGATAGAATCGCAAGTGAGATATTTTCTAATGCATTCAGTGTAGATTCGCAGCAATATACTCGTCAAAATAATATTGAATTGATGTAGAATTTCAAGTCGATTCTCTGCTCATGATCTCATGATGAAATTTCCATACAACACATACTGTACAGGAAGAAGAATCCATAGTCCAGTATCAAGCCCATTATCCTACACGTCTACACTAGTGGAGAAAATAATCATCTACTAGATGGAATTGATACCAATTTGAAGTCGACATTCTTCTGATGATCAAGTTTCCTTACATCCTTTCCATGTCAACACACAAGATGAAGAGTAACTGTATATTGAGACTACGTGTATTCTTCTTGATAATAGTCATGACTGTATAACGTCGAACTGGGGAAGAAACGGCTAACAAAAGATTTTACATTTTGTGAAGTTGGATGGGTATTTTTCTTGCTCCAATGCATCACACTGACAGCTATCTTACCATTTTTGTCAATGTAAACCATGATGAGCCAAGGCTACGTCCAAGCTCTGTTAAAGTCCTACAACAGAAAACAGTGATGATTCTATTAATTAACCCAACAAGTGCCTCTTCTCATCTATGCCATCAACACGCCGCCACTACACGATAGTATTCTGCTTAGTCATAACCGATGATTGCAATGGATCTTACCCAAAATCTTCAAGGAAAAGGTCAAGATTTCTTAGTTTAATGTCTACTTTTTGGTCTTTCCAACAACCTTTTTTTACCTGGTAGAGACGATGATGAGTTAATGGAGTTGATTCTAGACTCTCAACGCCTCCATCTTGATGACGATTTCAATGATGAACAGTTGACGTCACTAACCTAGTCCTCGAGCAGTAGCATGAGTACAGTGTCCAATACATCAGTTCGTGTGTAATATTGTTACTTTAAAAGAGTTGGCGAAATGGATTTCACTAAGGGGAAACCAGCATTACTAAGCAAAACAAATGGTTGATGCTATCGTCAGTATCAAAAGATGATCCAGTCTGCTATACTAAAGTGTACAAAGCGCACTACTGTACTGCACCATAGGCTACGATTGTTCCACTAGTCCACTCTGTCTGGTCGTCTGATACCCGGTCCATCGGGCAATGGACAATTGGACAATTGGACATGCTGAGAATTGCTGATTTTGGCACAGCCATTCATTAATATGTTCATCAATCATCTGTATTTGTAGTCCAAAGAGTTGGTAAATTGTACAACAGTGTGCCACAGGCTACTCAAGGTTGTTCCTCTTGTAGTAGGACTTGGTACTATGCTCAAGTAGAGTAGGAAGCATCGCCATTTTGCAATACTATACAGAAGACTACTTTCACCAGTATTGAATCAACACAAGCGATTTGTACAGTACTAGACTGGTCGAGAGCTCGTCCCTAATAATCACTATACTAGTAGAAGAAGACTTGGACACCCTCCGACAGACGGACTTCCCTTGCTTGTCGAAAAATGGCTACTTAGTATGGTTCTTTTGTGTCTGTTTCCTAAATCACTGGTACTAATTTCAAGAACATCGACACATCTTATAGAACTGCTTCTAAGCGTAGCTTAATAACCGATAATATGATTTAACGTAATATAACTTTATTTAGAATAAATCAGTCCGTTCAAAATCTACCATCTCCATACTTAAGTACTGCCATCATGATGGGTTTGGCACAATAGTGGAATAAGATGAGATCGATCATGTCTGTCCGTCCAAGCGGGAGTCTATCCTGGACAAGCATATTTGTAAACAAGTCAGTGAGAGGCTATGCGTTATAGTAGGATGCAATACAGTTCTACAATTCGATACAGAACAGTACTGTTACGAGTATTGAATCGGCACCACATTAAGTGGTCAGAAGCTCCACCAGCTTAAAACGAATGCAAGACGGGAAGAAGCTCTTGGAAATGAGGTAAAATTAATATTGGTAAGAGCTACAACATCAATTCTTAACCGTGCTAGTCTGCAAATAGTGCAAGAAAATTCATTCCACTTCAATGATAGACAATTGATGTGCAGTATAGGAATTTGAATACTTTGATCGGATAGAATGGGTTTGGGCAGAGTTGCTATCGCATCCATTTCCATTGCCATCACTATCTTATTAGCCTTAACCAAGTCGTGCCATTCAGCTAAAATATTATTAGTCGTCCAACACTATCATAGCCATGCACAGGTAGTTGCAGCAGTTGGAGATGAATTGCATGCCAGAGGTCATGCAGTAACGATGGTTGCAGCTCAAGCTGTCCAATCCTTGTCCAGCAAAGAATTTAAAGTTCGATATTATCAGACGCCTGTCAGAGATCAAGACCTCGCAGATTGTACCGCGCAATCATTAAAAAATCAAGATCCTCTACTATCAGCGTGCAATCGGCTTTTTCGAGATGATATTCTTGCTTTTACCAATGGAAAGGAGCTACTGGATGAATTAAAGCGTGAAAATTTCGGTAAATGATTTTGAGTAACATTACATAAATACCAGACATGCGTCTATTACGCCATCTTAGCTTGCAAAAACCTTCAACGAAACAATAGAGCTAGTTCAGCCAGGGACTACTCAAGTAAAAATGTTACCCCCTTTCCACCGTCTACTTTCTCTCTCTCTCTCACACTATAATCCCCAGAGATGATATAGTAAGAGAGAGGAGTGGGAGACGATGGAAGAAGGGTAACACTTTTACTTGGGCAGTCTCTGGTTCAGAAATGTGAAGTGGGAGTTTTGCAAGCTGGAGTGGCAATAGTATGCATGCATCGCATTGCATCGAGTAGTGCTAGCAACCGACTCTTTCTAATCCTAGTAGCTTGTATAGTATAGCACTTTACGCTTATAGTACTTCTATTAATGCGGATTCTAATTTTCAATGACCAAACTCTTTCTCAATTTGTCATCGTCTAGATGGATTAATTTGCGACGTAGCAAGCTATGCATGCTTGATTGTTGCTGAATATATCAACATCAAAGTCCAAGTAGATGTATCACCAATCGGTCTGCTTGATCCATTAACAACTTCGCCATATCATATACCAGGTCCTCCTGCCTACGTCCCACAAATGGCAGTCATCGCGACTAACAAAATGAATTTATATCAACGCACACAAAATGTCATCTTTTACGGCATTATGATCACTCTCTTACGAACCTTTATGTTTAGTAACATGTATCGGTCTGCTAACATAACTAATTTAGGCTTCAACTCACCACCTAGCTTTGAACTCAGAAGATCCACATTTCTGATTGCTAACGGTGATTTCGCTGTTGATTACCCTCGACCAATTACACCAGCAACAAAAGTAGTAGGCCCTTTATTACCAAAACCCGCTCAAACTCTTCCTGACGACTTACAACAGTTTGCCTCTGCTAACAAAAACGGGACTATTGTAGTCTCCTTTGGTTCAGTCATGATTGGTTTAAAATATGTCACTGACCTAGAAATATTTTTCCAAGCTTTTGGTCAATTACCTTACAATGTCATATGGAAATTTAGTGATAAAATCACCCATCACATTCCCGATAATTTAAAAGTCGTTCAGTGGTTGCCGCAAAATGACCTACTTGGCCATCATAATGTCAAAGCTTTGGTAACACATTGTGGCTTAAATAGTGTCCTAGAAGCTGCCTACCATGGTGTACCTATGATTGGTATTCCTATTGCTGCTGATGGAATGAATCATGCTCAAAAGATTATAGCTAGAAATATCGGTGTGATACTAGATATCAAAACGATGACGAGCAATGATCTATCCAATGCAATCATCAATGTCGTAACCGATAAATTTATCGCAGAAAATGCTACAAAGATATCAGCATTTATCAAGAACAGACCTAATGGTAGAACACCAGCACAAGAAGCCGGAGACTGGGTTGAATTTGCGTTAGGTAGTGAAGGAGGAAATTATTTACGGACTGAAGAATATAATTTAAGATGGTATGAATTGTATTTGATCGATGTTTATGCAGTTCTTATAATAATATGTTATTTATTCATTAAACTAATGAAATTAGTGTGGAAAGGAATTGCTAATGTATGTTGTCGTAGAAAAGAAAAGGTTAAAAAGTCCTAATTGAAGCAATTGAATGTGTAACAAACTTTAGCTTACAGCACCTGTTAAGATTCTGTTGAAGTTTATACACTTGTTAATACACTTATATAGTTTTACAATATGTGGTGATAACTAGTAATAAGTGCAAGCCATTATTTGCAGTACTAGCATTCGTAGATTAACCTGCCAATATTTTCATGCAATCAATACAGAAAAGTTGATTCTATATTAGCAGCGATGATTCTATTATGAATAATATGACACTGGATAATTGCAAAACTCTTGTGACGATTGTAGAGTACATTGCATATTGCCTTCCAATAAAAATTGTATGCGCTAGAAATCTGGCACCATTATTAGCCTTTCTTTACCGGGTTAATAGCTGAAAGCAAATGCAGAATGGATTGGATCATATTGTGATCGAAATCTGTAATAAAGACATCTAGAAATTACATCTCATGATTTACTAATGTTACCAGGGGGTTACTAATAATGACACGTTTAGCCGGTCGTTATCAAAGGCCGCATAGCACTATAGTTATAAAATAAATAAATTTATCTCCAATTTGAAGGGTAGTACTACATGAAACATTTGCTTATTTCTCTTAGAGCAACGAATATACTATATTATTGATACAAAACATGAGAATGAGCCACCTAATATGAATTATTTTGGTGAATATTGATTAGTCATTCTAGTCTTTGTCACATCTGTAATTATAGTTGCATCACATTGAATCCATAAGAGCTGACAGATCTTAACTCATTACAATCGAAATGAGCCGCTTCAGACCCCCATCTCTTTCTCACCTTCCATGTAAAACATTAGTGAATAACAGGATGTGTACGCGTGTAATGAGATAAAGAATTAATTATAGCTAAAAAATATGGATTATACGAATTCTTAAAATGCTGTGAAGTAAGAAGAATTTGTAGATTCACATTCGGCACATTTTACATGAACTAGATCATCTGGTAGTAGTGGAGTAGTTATTTACAAATCAAGAAGTTGTATCAGACGATATCCTTTTGCAGACTTGCAGCATCTATAGATTGCTATCTGTCGTAACTGGTATTTAACGATAAAATATTTCATATCTTTATAAGTTTCCGATTTTCCATAAAGAATGTGCTTGAAAAACGGCATTATGAAATAAAGAATTTTATGCCGATAGAGCAGGTAGGATATAAATTGATTAAGGCTATCAATATTGCTGCACGTTGCATAGACACTTTTTGATTAATCCCTAAAGTCTACTGTTATTCATATAAATATTCTAGGCTTGTGAATTTATTACCTTGGTTGATATCATCTCATGCATAGAAGGTAAATTAGAGGATGCAAATTTACTTTGTAAAGTAGCTACTCCTAGACTACAACATGGTGAGACAAAGAATTTTTATACCGATAGAGTAGTGTAGCCAGCCAGATAGTATATAGGTACATCTACACTGTCTGAGCACAAGCAACGAATCATGTTGCTATGCGAGCATTACATCTTAATGCGGCACCTATTCGTGATTTCGGTACCGGTTAAGAATTCAACTTTAGTGCTAAATTCACGGCACTACAAGTTGGTGAGTGGAAATTCATGAGAGCCATGAATGTTACTGGACGTTAGGCATGTTATAATCAATCCCTAAAGCTTGCTACTATCCGAAAAAAAGTCTTAATCTTACGAATTTTATTACCATTACTTCTATCATCTCGGGCAGTAGAAGAAGGTGAATTTAAGGATGCAAGGTTAATTTGAAACGTAGCTACGCCTAGTTTAGCCTTATATTCGTGTTGATATTATCATAATAAATATTTCAAGCTTACAAATGGATTACCTTTACTTTTACCATCTTATGTAGTAAAAAGATGAATTCAAGGACGTAAATTTAATTTGTAAACTCTTATACTTTTGTCAATGTATCATTGACTGCCAGAAAGAGTTGTCTATTTTTATAGGGGAGCCGATGTGTCCCGTATACACATTACGGTTATGACTTGTTTACTATCTGTATCATAAATCGATGAACTTTTATATTAGAAGTCAGAGTATACAAAACCATCAATTTCATTCATATCGTTACCATGAAAAATGTCACTTTGAATGCTAAGTATAATTGATTAAGACGATGAACTTTTGTACTAGAACTCAGAGCATGCAAACCTCTCAATTTCATTCATTTCGTTAGCTATCAATTAGCTAGCTAACTAACGAGTTAGCTATTCTTTAGCTATTCGTTAGCAATCCATTCCATTCATTTCGTTACCATGAAAAATGTCACTTTGAATGCTAAATATAATTGATTAAGACGATGAACTTTTGTACTAGAACTCAGAGCATGCAAACCTCTCAATTTCATTCATTTCGTTAGCTATCAATTAGCTAGCTAACTAACGAGTTAGCTATTCTTTAGCTATTCGTTAGCAATCCATTCCATTCATTTCGTTACCATGAAAAATGTCACTTTGAATGCTAAATATAATTGATTAAGACGATGAACTTTTGCACTAGAACTCAGAGTATGCAGAACCATCAATTTCATGCATATCGTTAGGATGAAAAATGTCAATTTGAATGCTAACTAAGTTAATTACGACAAACAGAACGCTCACGTTGCTAGGTGGCGCAACCAGCTACCTTAGCTTACCTTACTACGGTAGTGTCTGCAGTACCAGTGTGGTTCAACTCCGCCCTATCTCTCGTCTACAGTACAGTAGTAGAGTATTACTAGTACAGTATATGCTACCGCATGGTGTGGATGGTAATAGCTTAACACACGGACGATCGCTGTACTGTTAGTATGATCATAAACCAACAAAACCATAAACCATCATCAATCGATCATAAGAGGAAGAGGAAAACCCTAACACACTACACATCCATTGACTGATTTAGCTGGCATTTTGCAGAATACGTTATATTGCTCTGCCTGTAAAACACCATGAGCATTGTTGAATACAAGGCAATCGTTGAATATGGCGATAGAGCGATCATCTTTGTTGGAATGAACCATTTCTATCCTTTGGTCGTGCAACGAGGTCAAGTCATGCACAGCAAATATGGTGCATTTCCTCACGATTGGATGGTCGGGAAAACATTTGGAAGTAAAATTTGGGCTAGAAATAATAAAGGTTGGCTGTATATTCTTCATCCTACAGCTGAATTATGGACTTTATCACTACTACATCGAACTCAAGTAATTTATAGTACGGATATTAGTATGATTATAAGTGAATTAGAAATTATGCCTGGATGCTTAGTAATTGAATCGGGTACAGGGAGTGGATCATTATCTCATGCGATTATCCGAGCTGTTTCGCCAAATGGCAAGCTGTTAACGTATGAATTTCATAACGAACGAGCAGATAAAGCTGAAAATGATTTTAAACTTAATGGATTAAATCATCTAGTTACGGTACACTGTCGCAATGTTTGCCAAGAAGGATTTGATATAACATCGGAAGCAGATGCAGTTATTTTAGATTTACCCATTCCCTGGGAAGCAATTCCATATGCAAAACAAGCACTCAAACCGGGTGGTAGAATTTGCTGTTTCTCCCCTTGTATCGAACAAGTGCAAAGAAGTTGTATGTGCTTACGTGATCATGGTTTTATCGATGTCAAAGTTCTAGAAACGATATTAAGACCGTATCGTGTTAAGAAAATGGAATTGCCTATCGCTAATACTGGTAATTGCGAATCCTTCCAATCCAACGAGCGTAGTGATCCATCAACGAGTCATCATGAAAATAAAAGTAAACGAGAATTACTATCAACATTTCCCGTAGCAACCACTCCAGGCCATACTGGTTATTTAACGTTTGCCACATTCTATCCACAAGAATGATTTGACAAATAAGAAAAAGGATATCTATACTCGATCACCATGGACATTCTTGATAAAGTCAAATCAAAGTATGCTTGTACTACAGTATACCCGTATGTTACGAGTCATGGACATCATCGATTTCAAAGAATCATCACCAAATTGTATTTTTTTGTATTATAATTGTAATCTTGCATAGTAGGCGCCTTAATGTTACAATTATTATTAATAAACTGAATCGTTTTATGTTACATTCAATGATGATTGCAGACTGTCACTCAGAAGGAAATGATACCTGATTGTATCAATTTACTGCTTGACTATTTATTGTGGTTTCGATCGCTTGCGGCGTCGTAAATTATAGATTATTGAGCATAATACAAGTCTTATTTCAGTGGTATATCATGAAATTTCGGCAACTCCTGTTCGTGAATGACAGCTTTTAATTCACTACCGAGTATACGTATGTCACGTACGAGTATATCATAAATTCTCGATTAACTAAGGTGTTCTGAATTATAGTTTGCTTGGTATGATATTCTGACTACTGTACGTATATGCATGTTTTCCAACTCGACAGTTATCTTCAATATTGTAAACAATTATATTCATACATACACGAATGTCAACAAGAGTCAAATAGGCGTTCGCATATTAGTGTAAGTTACGCAAGAATAACTGCTTCATTGAGCAGCTCCAATTCTGTTAAGAACTTAAGTATGTGCATACGTAAGTGTATATTCAAACCTATCATTAATCCGATATGAAATCACCTATTAATCCGAAAACCCATTAAACTTATTGCTTACAACACACCAAGACTAAAAGGACTTGCAAAGCAAAAATTCAAAGCATCGATTGATCAATGATTAATATATACTTTTGTTGAAGTGAAGATTGAGGCAGGTAACTTGATACGGTGAATCACCGATTATCTCGTTCGCACTATTGAGTGCGATCTCACATTTAGTTACTAAAGTAAGAAATACGCAACAGCTGAGAAATAAAATTACAAACTTAATATCGCTAAAGTCAATATCCATGACTTAATATTTTCTTTACATTTGATCATCAGTTAGTTATTGTAATAAATACTACGTCAATAATATCATATAAAACATCCGTTTCAAGCCACTAGAATTCAAAATAAAAAATGTGTCAGCTAAGACACGTAAATCAGATATCAGCTAATTTCAGACAAAGATCACACAGCAGCAACATTGAAAAAGACAATCAGCATTTATTTGAGTAATTTGTCGATAAGTCAACGAAAACAATTTTCGGTATCTGTTAAAATAATGTAGAAATTGTGCATCGAACATTCTCTCGAAGTTTCAACTGACGAATCATTAAATCTAGCATTCGTAATAGAACTTAATTATATTTACTTAAGTCGTACTGATACAAAGTATAATTAAGTCATAAATATTTATCAAATGTTATTTAAATGGTATCTGTATAGTTTTTGTTATATCCAGAGTGATAAAGATTTATGTTCTATAAAACGGTACTTTTATGAGATATACGAATCTATTAATTGCCCAACTAAATGTTAGTGCTATACTGTACTGTACTAGCGAACAAAATCTCTACCACCTGCATTTGATTAATTCCGACAGCTATAATCAGTATTTCTTCTACAAAGAAATCTGTAAATTACTAATCATTGAATCCATGCTTTTAAGCCCGAATTTATTCATTTCTACGGTACTGAGCCGGAATAGACATAAACGGCAAGTAAAATACAGTTAGTTAAAAATATCGTAAGCTAAATAGAAATTTTTAGAAACATTTCTAGTGTATGCCTGTGCTATACTCAGAAGACAACGAACTAAACACAGTTAACATCTTAGGCAACATTATTACTCCACAAATCAGTTACTGCGGAAAACATGAAAGCTATTTTTTTTTAATTTCCTATAATATAAGATTTCAAAGATTTCATTGCTGTTTATGCTTATGCATTTACTCCCGATCAATGTATAATGATCACTGTCAATTTTAATAATTTACAGTACACAATTACTTGTACTATAACATGAATACATTTATGAACGATCCAAAGGAGCAATAACATAGCACATATCTTGGATATATTCTCGATGATTAAAATTTGAGACAAATTAATTATCAAAATTTATTCTGAGTTAATCAATTTATTACTTAGTAGTCTTGAATATTCCTACCAGATAGAGCAGTATTTTGACTAGGACCCCAATTGCTATTGGGTCCATTTGAATCTATGGAATCACCAAAAGCTGGAAAAGCTTGAGTGTCAGTAGTACTTGGAGGTGATAATCCCTGTGAGTGATCCCAAGGTGCATTTCTAACAACATAGCCTCTACTTTTCGAATTTCTCCCTCGGCTCGACGATTGATGATCCTGGCGTTCTTCTCGTTTATACATATAATGACTTAAAAGTTCTTTTTCTTCGATCTTTTCCCGCTACATACGCCAAGAAAATATACAATAGCCAGCCATTAAAGGCAACAATTTCGTGGTATTTACCTATGCACAATAAATTTAATGAATACTTACTTCAGTTTCAATTAGCTTATCAAGGTCTTTCTTAGCACCCTCAATATTTTCTGCTAATCCAGTTATTTCAACGTTGTTATTCTCTTGATCTTTGGAAAATTTAATGCTGACTTTGCGATCTTTGGTTATTTCGCGAATATCAGGAAGACGACTAATATTTCTTTGTATGCGGTATTCCATAGTGTATGATTCAACAATCTGATTTTCCTATATCGGAATAAAAAAGACCGTTAGCATAAGCTATTTAAAGAATTACTTAAAGAGCTCAAATGTGTTTTCTAACCAAATCTTGAACGATCTTTTCTATTTTAAGCTTGGCAGCATTAGCTTCATTTTCATAACCAGTAATGACGATTTTACGATCGTTGCTTTCTTTGTCTGAAGGAACTTTCACTTGAACATTATGATCAGCACGAATCTTGCTAATTGTCGAACCTTTCGGGCCAATGATTTTGGAATGATGACAAGGATCAACTTCAACAACTATTTGGAAATTTCTCTTTTTCTATTACGATAATGCAACGGTTGTTACAACATTTCCAACTTACAAATCATTCCAACAAATTATTACCTTATCCTCTTTTTCCTCTTCTAATTCTTTAATTCTATCCAGTATGGCTGATTTGGCTTTTTCAATTTGACTTGGGGTTCCAAAAATTTTGATACAATCACTATGTTGATCAGCAGGAGGTACTGAAATGTTAACGCTGTATTTTTCCATCATTGCACGAATATCTCGGCCTTTCACTCCAATTAGAGAGCGATGATATTCGATGGAGACATTCATCTCTTCGCTTATAGGCACAAATGACTAATAATCATAAATACAATGAGCATATTAATTGTAAAGAATGACTACTTTCGACATAAAAAATAAAGTTTACATTAACAATACTGACTGTCACTTACCAAGATAGCTTCTTTAGCGCCTTCAACATTGGCGGGTAGTCCTGTAATTGTAATGATATCTGTCTTGATTGGATCATTATCATCGACTGCACCTCCATTAGGTAAATTTTTCTGACGATTAGCTGCACCTAATCGAAAGGTATAAATGCCAATGATTAAAAAATAGTATTCATCTATATGCATATTAGGATTCATGTTAATTACCTGATTTATTAGGAAACTTCACATCAACTTTAAAATCAGATACAACTTGCTGTATGTTACATCCTTTTACACCTAGTATGTTCTTATGATATTTCTGAGAAACCTGACAATCAATGGTAACCATAGAATCCTAATATACAACATTTATGTTATATGAGACTTGATCCAAAAAATGAACAATCCTGATTAAGATCAACACTAACGATTTCATCCACAATTTCTAATAATTTCACTTTGGCACTATCAACACAGCTACTTGATCCTTTAATAATGACTTTATCTGAGGCGTTATCTCTTGGTATAGAAATTATTACATTGCCATTTTCTTCCGAGATTTCCCTTAAAATCTGATAAGCATAAAATGGAATTTAAATTCTTTCCCTTATATCATTGTTTAATTGTTCACGTACCTGTCTACCATTTGCGAGAAGGCGTTTATAATATTTTGGAGCAATTGATATTGTCTCTTCTTTAGTGTTTTCCTAAATAAAAATCCGTGAATAGTTCAATATTTACTACAACAGATGCTACAATATTAAAAAGAATGTTAAAAACAGAAATTATATAATTGATAAGGTGGTACAGCAAATCATAAATTATACCAGCTCGCGTATCTGATCTTCTAATTCAGCTTTGGTTTTCTCAATGTTTTCTTTAGTACCTATAATGACGATAAGTTCTTTATCTTCATCCTTTTGCGTTGGAAATATAATTCGAGTAGAAGTATTCTGCTTTAACTATAAAAGAATTAGATCATTAAAAATTTACAATGAGTAAACTTTAGTAAATTAACATCAATTCATACTAAATTACCTTGTTAATCTTTCGGCCACCAGCACCAATTAAAAATCTATGAAATTCTGGCTTGGCGCGAACTTCAGTAGTAAAACTATGCAATTCCTGGCGGGAAGTAAAATTTTACCATTAATGGAAGCCAATAGCAATATATCTAAGCTGCTATACAAGTATAATGGGATACCTGCTCGTTAGCAATCTCCAATAGCATTGCCTTAGCATTTTTGATATCGTCTTTGGGTCCTCTAATAACAATTTTATCGCTGGTTGTCTTACCATCAGGTATCTTGATAATAACCCCACCACAGTCATTACTAATAGAGCGAATTAATTTTCCTTTACTACCAATCAGTCTATTATGATATTTTTGTGGTATAGAGACAGTAATTTCTTCAACATTGGCCTGTAATATAATAAAACCATTCATATAGCAAAGGTATATACTATACATATCGTAGCAATACAAGCATTTAAAGCAATTACAATTTTAATAAGTTAAGGTAAGTATAAAACACGTACGAGTTCCTTTTGAATAGCTAAGATCTTTTCCCTTGCCATTTTCACATCTTTCTGACGACCAGTTACCTTAATAATATCACTACCACTATTTTCATTTGGAATATCTATCCTTGTGTTTGTTTCCTCTCGGATCTAATCATCAAGGATTAGAAATCACAACAGCTTATAAATTACGATCAAGGATACAATAATAAGAATATATAACAGTATACCTTTCTAATCGTGATTCCACCTTTCCCAATTATATTACGATGAAATTGCTTGAAAACACTGAACTCTTCTACGTGATTGCTTTCTATCAAGTTCGAATAAATTTTCTTCAATTTACTGCAAACCTTGTCTACATCATCCTTCGGACCACGTACTTGAACAACATCGCTATCGCTTTGTGGATCGGGAAAATTAATGCTAATCTCCGGATATGCAGCGCTTATTTCTCGAATATTACTACCCTTTGATCCGATTATCCTTCTATGGAATTTCTGTTCGAAAACCAGGTCTTTAACCCTTTCATTTTCCTAAAGCATGAACCGTAAAATTTAGTTCAAGCTCAAGTGCAATCTATATCATTATTACTTCGTACCCATTTTTTAACAAGGCTAAGAATTTTTTCTTTAGCTAATTTAACACCATCAGAATCTCCTTCTATGGAAATAACTTCGCTACTTTCATCAGATGGGAAATAAATCATAGTACCAGTTTGATTTTTAATCGCATTTACTACAAAGTAATTTAGAAAAGGAAGCAAAATTATATCAATTTCAATTATACCCATATAAGAATATTTATCAATAACAGTTAATAAAAAAATACATACTGTTAGCCTTATTTTTGCCGATAAGCTGCTTGTAAAATCGTCGGTTAATTTTGATTTCAATGTGATCCATTTTATCCACCTACAATACATTAATAATACATTAGATCATAAACAAAACTTATAAAATCTACAGTAACTAAGAAAATAAACTTATTAAGAGTAATGTTAGCGATTAATTGATAAGTCTTACCAAATTTTTCATAAATTTTTGCAAGTTTTTCTTTACGACTTGAACTTCCTCTGGTTTACCTTCTAGAATAATTAGATCTCGATCTCTCTCAAATTCGACATGAAGCTATAAAACAAGCAATTTTAATCACATTCATATAACGTTCAGATGAACTAATAATAAAGCAATTATCTTGAGCATATCTAATCTATACTTTACTTTGGACATGTCCTGCAATACTTTCGAGATATTTTCTCCTTTCTTTCCTATTAGATGCCTATGCAGCCAAACAGGAGCATCAACTTTTTCACTGATTGTACTATTTGCCTGAGGTTACAAAATAAGCGTTAAGTCATTTTTTAGTTTCAGCAATCAAGATTTGAAACAAGATAATATAATCACAGTATGAACTATTATTAAAGACCAGATACCTTTTCATAAACATGAGTTAAAGCATTGCCCAAGTGCTCTTGTTCACCTCGTAATGTTATTGTTTCCGAATTACTATCACTAGGAGGAACTTCAACTGAGACACCTAGATGTAATTAAAAGGTCCTTTTTTAAAGTAATTTTAGAGCATCTAAAGTCTCATCATCGCAGCAGAGAGCTTAACTAGAGTCGATATGCTTTCTTTACATATACAAACCATATAAGAGCATAGTAACTAATAAAATGAAATTACCAGTTAATTCTAAAATCTCTTGCAATCCTTGTCCACGGTGTCCGATAACGTATTTATGCTGAGATTTCTTTACCTCAACCGATACCGTCTTACATTTTCGCCTCTGCCAATATCAAACAAAAAATTCGGTTAGAAACGCAAATCTACGGTATATCTGTTTACCACATAAAACACGAGAACGTTATTAGCAATACCTTTTCGTTATAAATTGCACTTATTTCTTTTACAGCCTTCAATACTCCATCTTTCTCGCCAGACACGACAATCTCATCCTTTTCTACCGAAATAGGTGGTACATGAATACGAGCTCCAGTTTTTTCAGAGATTGTCTTAATTATAGAACCATTTGGGCCAGAAATAAATGGATGATAAATTTTCGAAATATTCAATCTTTCATGAGCTAGCTTTTCCTAATTTATATCCCAATGGTTGGCATAAATTTTGTTAAAAATTTACTATTAATAGTTAAAAATACAAAAACTAAACAAAACATTAGAGCTATCCAGTTTAAAGTTGAATACAACGATTACTCTTATTTGCCAAAATAAAATATCCGACCTGCTGATCGACTAATACAAGAATTTGATGCCGCGCGTCATCTATCTTATCGCGTGATCCAGTAATACGGATATTGACAATCGGGCCTTCACCAATGACTTTTATTTTAGTGGAGGTAGTTAATTCTAATTGTTGTAAGGATTTACCACCTCTACCAAGAATAGCACCTAAATATTCCTTCTGTACTGGAAGTTCAATCGCACTCTATTTCGGAATGAAAGAAACGAAAAAAAATCATTGTAAGCTACCACATATTGCCCAATTTTACAACGATCATTTCCCTCCTATAGTACTGTCTATTCCATTAAAATATCTATACCTTCAGGTTAAAATCATCTCATTGAATATATATCACAAATATACATTGTAAATGATGTCGATATGTATTTTTTATATCGGTACTTTGCAATAATTTCATATCCATCGTCAATTATTATCATACCTGTTTTTGTAACCCGATCAAGATTAATCTTTTAGCTTTTGCTACGGCATCCTTTTTACCAGTTACCATTATGGTTAGCGTTTGATCTTTAGTTGAGCTTACTTCTATAGTAGTATTAGTTTTCTGCATAACCTCCTTGCAAACTTGAGCTTGTTGTTGTTCCGGTCCAAGCACTTGTTCACCATGTCGGCCAAATTTGCGTTCTTCCATTGGAACGTGAAACACCTATCCAACAATTGTCATAGCAAATTCAATCTCCAATATAGAACATCAAGAAAGTTGTAGTAGTCGATATCATCTATCTCAGTGTATAATACATTCGTATACGATGTATACTTGTGTCGCATACAGATGTCATCGTTGTTTTACAGTAGCGTAAATCATAACATAGTTACGTAATTATTAAGTAATGAACAATTATAGCATATAATCTAATCGGCCGTTTAATACAAGCTAAAGGGCAATATTACATGAACACGTCATTTTATGTCATTGCTAATTATTTATCTTGCAAAGTAGAAATTTTAAATTCAAATGCCTTTTAAAATTGTATATTATTCATTTATGTTTTAAATTAGGATAGATAGAAAATTGATTTCAACACATTCCATGACGTTTTACTAAAAGCATTAATACCATTCATGTCATCATTAAATCATTGTTAGTGTTTCATTATTACGAACTATATTTATGGATACCGATGGAGCTTTCTTATTTATTCATTATTATCAATGAGTTATCATTTTAATCACTTCCTAGTCAATTTATATGGAATAAGTCGTAGATAGGTATTATAAAGGCGAAATGAATTGTTCAATAACTATTTCCTAAGTATTGGTGGTTTATCGCACAGTATGCGTTTTAATTTGTATGATACCGCTAGTTCTTAAACCGCTACATGCATACAGTAATTGTAACGTACATTTACTACGAAAAGCAACAAGACCGCCATGTTTTATACAAATAATGTAATAATTTATGACTTGGATATCAGTAGTACCGTACCGTACAAATTCAACATGGATTTATAGAAAATACAGCTACGACATTTAAATATTGTATCAAACTATTTAATTCTATTTCATTTGAATGTCTGTCTTACATACATACAGAAAAGCATTCAATCACTAAGTAGAATGTAATAGATTCTCCCTGATTGTTACTGCATAAAAATCAAGCTGGCTAGAGATGAATAACTACGTTAGCCTTGAATCAATATCATTTTCTATTGTTACCTGTGTTATACTAGATGAAGGAATGCTTGGCAAAGCTGACGGACCCCATTTCATGTTGGTTGTTGTTTCTTGCGGTCGTGAACTTGTAGGCAAAGGAGGAAAAGCCTGTGGGTAATCTGGTTTCTGATCATCCACCACATCAGAAATTGTGTCCATACTTTCTATTTTTTGCCTATTTGTTACTTTCCTCGTTCCCAATGTAGTTACTAACTTGTAATTTCTATATTTAAGAAATAGTACTGTCACATCAGTTTCAAGACGGCAGTTCCAATTGTTATATTTGTAATAATAAACAATGATTGAATGATTTAATCAGAGTGATTGGTACTCTTTGCACAAACTCTTTCAACGACCTCTAAATAAGGTTAGGCAATCGATATGATCCATGATAATATCATCACAATCAGTGGGTACGACCAAGAAGCAACACATGCTACAGGCGCACGAAAAAGCATACTGTACAGTGTGATAATTCTAGAGGTAGCATGAATTAGCATAGGATTGTATTCATTTAAATCGTACCAATCTGCTCTACTCGATGACTCGAACAGTAGGTTATACTGTACTGTATCTTTGTAAACATTTAAAGTTATCATGGTAATCGTACGTTCAATCAGCCTGTCGTGATAACTCTAAGGCAGGCTTTCCGCACCAACAATGTCATTGATATTAACATTATTATAAAAGTAATATATTCCATATCTTACTGTAAGTGAACTAGCCGGTCATGATTAAATATTAATAGAGAAGATATAGAGATAGGTCCAAATTATAATTATCAAACGTATAGACAAAATAAGATTGTCAAAATTGATGCTGTCTTTTATTTCTGTCATTGTATGCCCGTATTGACTATCATCCGTGTCTGGAAAATACCTTGGGACATAATACACATCTCTCCATGGCGAGACGTGCCTCGCATAACAGAAGCCATTGAATGAAGATTAATTATTACGATTATCCACTATTTGTTGCGGCTACGCACGAGTACACTATCGTGATATATAAACAGAGTAGACAAATATCTCGTCTTTTGTGTACGCACCCATAAGCGTTGGTGAAAGACAACGACTACTGTATTGAAAGGTTGGCTAAAAACACTTGTACATCCGTATCGTTGTCAGTTCTATCCAAATGTCCATTTTATCATGACTTTCTACCTGTATTATTCAATTCATTGACTCTTGACTGTATCAACTGTAGTAATACTGTATTGTATACACAGCTTTTTACCGTATGTACATCAGGGAAGAAATGATGTAGGAAGATGATGTTGCAATGGGAAGCTGTGTGCGCCCGACAAATCGACGGGGCACGTTGGTATGACTAGATAAAAACCTCTATCGAAAATGTTTTTCATCAATTGAACTACATCAGTACACTGATAGAGGAAACAAGCCACTTTTGATCAACAACAGTGCATGTATGGATAAGAAATGAACATCTACCGTTGAATCTGCTATCCAGGATACCAGTTTAGCTGGAGTGGATGGATAATTTTTCTCTAGAAATTCCAACCTCAACGACAACAGCACGTTGATCTTCAACAGTGAACAACTGTGCAGTCCTGTACTGTACCATGGCTGTACCCTACGCAGTATTTGAGTCCGGTCCTGGAAGGCTACAGTACATGACAGGACAGTACTGTACGGTGGGAGGTATCCGGTGACTTTTTCTCGCTGGCGTACAGTACACAACAGTGCAGTAGTGTACAGTATGTGATGGATTGGATGAACTGTGCACACTGGAGAAATTTGTTCTTGAAAGAGACATTGTACTGTTTATTTACAGTACTGTACACTGTACACTGTACACTGTGTTGTGACCGTTTTCGGGAGTCTTCCTCAATCGCATGGCTGTAGTTCAAATCAGGTACACGTGTATAGTGTACACTAAGTAACGATAGCATTGATTGAGTAACTTCAGTCAGGCAGTATTGCACTTGCAAAATAAGTATTTTTCGCCAGCTTCCTCAGCTGCTTTTTTGCTTCCTACCAGACTCCAGCAGTGGATGACAATGGATGGCTTGGTGGACCCTCCCTATTTTATGCCCATAAAATGTTCTTTTTTCAACTCAAAAGCAGTATACTGTACTGGACACATTACCTATGAATACAGTAAGCTATGATCGCAGTTACTGTACTGAAGGTGAAATACTGTAGCCAGTTAGGACCCCCCAAAAATGATCAATACAACACACTACGGTTACACCTAGACAGTGCTACTATACAGTATGTCGTCAGAGAAGACGAAGCTACGGAACTCATCCAGTAGTTAAAAGCTCGCTAGTAGCTACTGAGTCAATCAGTGATTTTCTGTCTAAAAGTCGACGAGTCACTAACGTCTTACTTTCTACTTTATACGATGTCAATGGACGACATGAATAATAAAATTTGTGAAAACATCAGCGATCATCTTCAATACTACACCACTGACTTTGTAGTCCAAGAGGTACTGTATGGGGAAGATAGTAAAACCATAGGAGTTGGCTGAAGCATATACTGTACAGTGTACTAGTGTGTCCATCTGTGCAATGTCAATGGAGATGTAAAATTGAAATATCAAATCAAAGCCTTTCAGCAGTAAACGATTTTCTACAAGTACGATAACTTCAATAGTCACGCCCTGACATTATCGCATCAGAGAAAAGATACAGTATCGCAAGATTATTATTTTTATAACTGGACACTCAACCTTGATATACTGTACAGTACTGTAGTTAGACGATCTCAACCTTTCAACTTTTCCATTTTCAACGTGTATAGTAGAGTATATTGCAATCCATCTTCCCAGTGCAGTATCGTAGTAGGAATCGAAATTGATGTTCGCAATTTTACCCAATGCATTACTGCATACCCTGAAAATCCTACAACACTATTGCTTGTACGCGTATAGTACTAGTAAGCAGATAATATATCCAACGAAATCATGTACAGTAATGGAAAAGGTAATTTTAAAAGGGACAACACTGCTGCAATACGTAATACACAAGGAAAATTATTATTTTAGTCAACCAGTGAAAATGAGTGGAGAGAAAAATATCCACTTCAATAGTGAACTGGGATCAACTTTTAAGTTGATTCGTCAACTGTATCCACCCCGCAATCTGAAATGTGGTTATGTTGCATTTGTGGGTGTTTGGCTCATTTCCTAGCCGGATCTAGGTTTGATGACTGCGTTTAAATGACTTCTTAGTCGTTACTACGAGGATGCCTTGCGTTACTGTACGTGTAAAGAGAAAGAGAGATACAGTATTGCACTGCATGGGCCATTTTTACCAGCATAACCATGATTTCAAGATTAACGATAGGATAGATTCAAACTCTATTCAGCATAAATCAAAATTGTCGAATAAAAAGGACAAACACCTACCGATTATTGTAACGAACCGGACAGATTGACGAAAGATGATTTCAAATCCTGGCGTGGACTTGGAGTTTAGGCAGCTTTAAATCGTCACTCGCCTTGTGCGGTACTGGCAGACTTGGCCTGAGGTTGGGGATAGTTGTGCTGTACAAGATCCGTTGAATACTACCAGACCAGGATGAAATCTTTGCCACGGATCTCCCACCTTCAACCCAACTACAGGACAGACAGACTACATGTTACAGTACAGTACAGTACAGTACCCTACAGTATGTACTGTACCGTACTCAGTGTACTGTACTGTACACTGTACAGTATAATCCAGTACTTTTTACAGTGTTGGACGTGCAGGATGTACTGTACAGTACAGTACTGTACTGTTCAGTACAGTATAATCCAGTACTTTTTACAGTGTTGGACGTGCAGGATGTACTGTACAGTACAGTACTGTACTGTACTGTACTGTATAATCCAGTACTTTTTACAGTGTTGGACGTGCAGTATGTACTGTAGTATACAGACACTCAGACAGTACCATGCCGTGCACATTGCCGCACAATAAAGTACTGTAGAGTGTACACTAGGGTGTCGATGAAAGGTCTTTCCTGTGCCGCTGATTGAAATTTAATTTCGGCTGATTTTAAAATCTTGTGGTCTCTCTAAAACAACTATAAAATAACAATTGATGCACTATTTTTACCCCAATCACACTGGATTGCAGCATTTTTTACAGTACAGTATTGACTACAGTACACTCTGTACAGTTTCGACTAGATACACTTGCATATTCGTATAATATTGTATTGCCATAACTTGCCATGACGATAGGGTAATGGCAAGTTGGGAACTGCCATGTCATGAGATTGACCCAGACCAGATACCAAAAACCAAAATCTGACTTTTTTACTACTACGGGTGGTCCCTCTCTTCTTCTTTCCTGTACCCCCCTCATGATATTACTACAGCCACTACCGTAATTACTTGTCCTACTCTATGGAAAAACGTAACTATCGACGTTATGTGGAAAATTGCAGCCATCCGGCGGCAACTGTTATGGCAAAATTGTAGCGTTCCCATTCAAATTTAAAGGCTGCTGGAGCTTGATACAATGGGCGTGGTACACAAGTCTCGACCTATCTTCCTACTTGATCACAGGGCACGAGAGAGTCAAATCGACCTTCGACTGGACTTGAGTGGTCCGCGTGCATTTTGAGCCCCTCGCGTACTCTGTAGCCTCCGTAGCTAAATGCCTAATGCACTTTGGCTTAAAGTTCTTGCTTGCAGGAATGAATTAACAAAAATTGGTTGGACGCTATGGCGTATGAGGCAGATGTTGAGGTCGAATAATAATAATTATTAGTATTACCCTTTTACAACATCCAACACCAACATTGGGTATCCCTCCCCCTATATAATCTAGCAAAAAACCAGGCGCTCTCGGCAGTTGCACAAGGTCAATCAAACTTTATTTATTTTATTATTATCTTAAATAAAATAAAAATAAATAAATAACGGAAAGAGTTCAGATCTGTTTTCCTCAACGATAGTTAGTAATTTGATACAGTAAAATTGAGAATGGATTACTATTCAATATTTATAACTGTACAGTATATTACACCCCTGTCATGAAAAAAAGTGAATCAGCTAAACGGACATCGGATTTCAAAATGTCCAATTTTGCTTTTCACCTATGTTAGTGTAGAAAAACACCTTGATGTCTTCGCAAAATGAAGTTCATCCTAATTCACTTCCTACTAGCCCGTTGGAAACTGCAGTAAGGCTAATTTTAG